AATGTATAATACAATTTTAATAGTACAACGATTAAATTAATATTGTTCAATATGCATGCAGAACATATATAATCAAACATTTATATAATAAAAGTCACGTTGCAAAGGCCTATCAAAATTCGACTCGACACGATTAATCGATACGAATTAAGCAAGTTTTGGGGAGATCTTACTGGTTTTGGATGGTAAACGGGTTGACCCCGCTAGACACGTTTAATAAAACGGATCATGTTCGAGTGAAATCTGTCAAATCGTTTATCACACATTTACCCGTTTAAATAAAAATAATATAATAATAAATTAATAATTATTTAAAAAAATTAGTCAGAAAAAAATAAAGAAATCAATACAAAAAAATATATAAATTAATAGTTCAAAGACAAAGAGTGAGAGATGGTTGATAAAGGCAAACTAATCCTATAAAAGGCACTAGGGAGGTTTGCCTACTACCTATAAAAGACTACTCTTGCCCTTTTTTTTGGCCTTCAAATTTGATTTTTATGCAAAATTTGGTTAGAAATTCCTCTTTATTGAGGTAAATATAATTGATAGTAAAAAAAGTGGTGTATTAAAATTTATTGATATAATTTTTTTAAATTAAACAATTTGTTGATATAATTTAAAATAAAATAAAATTAAGTGAGTTAAAGGAGTTGTGTTGTATTATCCGTTTATTAAAGTGATCGTGTTCGTGTTGAGATTTTTCACTCATTTATTAAACGTGTCGTGTACAGGTTTACATGTTTTTCACCTATCACCCGTTTAATCCGACACATTTGACATTCACTACTGCAACATATTAAATTTAAAAATTTAATAAAATATAATTATTATTAATCAAACATCCACAATTTTAACATTTTTAATAAATTTTATGTCAATTTTTTTTAAAAGATAACTATTTATTTTTCTGTAGGTTAGGTTTCAACCTAAAGTTCATAATATTATATCTGCACCATTTTTTTCAATATGAATTTGTATAACTTTTGTGAAGAAAATATCCAAAAAATTTCATGTGAATTATCGTAATTGTATAAAAATTTGTTGAGAAATTAAAATTAATTTTCATTTGAGTTCAATTTAAATATTTGTAAAATTCAATCGAATTTAAGTTTTTGTGAGGCTACTCCTACTCCACAAATTTCTATTTCCACCCCATTTAATTTCTCAGTATCAAATTACTAAGTTCATCCCATTTAATAGTTATTATATTATTACATACTAAAAAATAAAATATAACATATATTTGACTGTAGAATTCAATTTAATAATTACATGTATATAATAATTTAATATATATATGACTTTACTTATTCTTATATATATAGAAAATTGTATGTAAGGGTACTACTAATAAATGAGTTCAAAAAAAATTTAAAGTTTTTATAAAAAAGTCTAAAATAAGTTGAAAGTTAAATAAGAGTAAAAAAAACAAAAATTAGATGAAAGAATAGGTGGATATAATTGAATTTATTATAATAATTAGAAATAAAATAAAAAATTAATTTTTTTTCACAAATACTTACATTTATAAATAGTATAAATATAAATTTTGGAATCCTTGGGCGTAGGCTAACTTTTGCCACTAGCTTATAAACAGTCTGACCCAGCATTTTACAGTCCATTTGTCAGGTAAGTAGAGACATGGTCCATTATACTTGGGCTAATGGCCCAGTAAGTAGGCCCGATAGCTTAAAATGTTTGCCAATGGCCCAGTAAGCAGGCCCTACATATCGAAAAAAAAAATTTAAATTTTTTTTATGAGTAAATTGTAAAAGGGTACACCAAATTAGACTTATTTGATAAAAAATACACACTAAAAAATGTAGGGTTATTAAGTACTTAATTTTGATACTTATTTATATCCAAGTACATAATTTGAATTTATCTATTTTTATTGTGATATTTTTGCCCTCCATTAATCCATGTGTATTTAATACACCACTTTTCTTTGGAAAAATGGTACATTAAATAATTCCTAGTTTTATGAGAGAACTTTAATACACACACACACACACACATATATATATATATATTGAATTGTAATGCACCTTGATTCATGCATTTTTTTTAGAAGATGGTTTTATTTTCAAATTAATTTAGTATTCGAATAGTGTAATAGTGTAACAATAAAAGTGTAACAGTGTAACAATAAAAGTGTAAGAGTGTAACACTAACAATGTAACAGTATAACAATAATAGTGTAACAATCTATTTACACAAAATATTGTATTATTATATTTTGTCAAATATATAGTTTCATATAATTTCATTAAAAATAGTCTATCTCTATTTTGAATTTGTTACCATATACACAAAATTAGTTAACACTGTTTTGGTTACAGTGTATTTGTTGCACTGTCTTTGTTATAGTGTATTTGTTACATTATTATTGTTATACTATTACATTATTCAGATATTAAATTAATTTAAAAATAAAACTATTTAAAAGAAAAAAAAATGGTTGAATCAAGGTGCATTAAAAATAATTCAAAATTTAAATAAGAGATTTAACAATAAATATATATATATATATATATATATATATATATATATATGTGTGTGTGTGTGTGTATTAACAAATATACATGAATCAATGTGTATTAAATACGTATTTATATATATTAATAAACACACATGAATCAAGGTGTATTAAAGATAAAAAATNGTATTAAATACGTATTTATATATATTAATAAACACACATGAATCAAGGTGTATTAACGATAAAAATTTTTGAATTAAATGACCCTAAAATGAGCATTTATGTCTTTTTAGCTCACATTTTATTTTATGTACTTTTTGTCAAATAAGTTTAATAAGGTCTACCAACTTTCAAAAAATCCTTTTTTTATTTATTATATTATATTAAAATTAAACTTTTTAGGCAGGCGGGGCTCTATCTGACCATAATTGTCTATCTAATAATACTGTTAGAAAATTTAATTTAAATTTAATTCTCAATTTATAAAAACATAATAATAGTTAAAATTTATTAAATTTTAATATATTTTGTTCAAATAGTATAAAATTTATCTTAAATTTTTTTCGTTAAAAATATCTTAGTCTCTGATTCCTAATGTCAGATATCTAAACATTTCTCTCATAATTTCACTTTATTGATTTTTATTTTAAATTATGTGATTAAAAAATTATAATTTAAAATATAAATATTATAAAATAAATATTTAATTTTTTATAATATCTTTAAATACTTAATTATTTTGTAGTTATATTATCTTGTATTATATATTACTATTTTATATGAGGAATAATTATTGAAACCACACGTGGAATTAATGTTGCTTGAATATTTTTTCAAAGCCGTTGAAACAAAAGAAGAGAGAAAGAGAGAGAGAGAGAGAAGCAGGGTCTTCGAAAACTAATGAGGAAAATATTGAGACACGTGTCAGATGGAGAGTGGTGGGTAAGTTCTAGAAAGTCGTAGAATGTGAAAGGGAGTCTAAACTCTCCTTCGGTCGTAGGTCGTCCAGGAGAATCTTTGGTGTTCCTATAAGACGCCTCAAAGGTTCTCCTCTTTGGCTTCGTCTTCGACTTCTGGTTGCTTTTTCTCATTGGCAAAGTTTGAACGCTTCCTTAGGCCTTGTCAGGTATGACTTTCTCTGCTACACACATTCGCCATTGTTGAACTATGTTACTGTGGCTCGTCTTTCTCAATTTTTTCTCAATTTTTTTTAGTACTTGTGTGTTTTTAAAACAATTTTGATGCATTAATCTTCGAGAGATCTCAACGGAGACTTCTAGTTTCTGTTTGAAATTCTAGGGCCTCAAATTTATGTGTGGGGTTTGTTTTTCCTTTCGTTTTCTACTTTGTAGGATTTTTTTAATTGATTTTGAAGGAGTTACTGATTCTTCGATCTAATACTTTAACTTCTCTTGAAAGTTTGTGTTTAGGGAGTTTTGCATTCGTGCATTGATAATTTGCGTTCGGCGCGTGTAGGTGTTGTGTCAGAAAGGGACCATTGAATCGGAATCTGAATTGGGTCAGAAAGGGACCATTTAATTAGAATCTGAATTGGATTTTCTGAAATATTTGATTATATTGTGTGAATGTTGTTATGTTTTGATAGCTTTTGCTGGTATTCTGGGGTGATTGTCTCTTTCCTTACCTATAAAGTTGGTTTGGGATAAATTATCAGGCACTGCTGTTGATTATTGTGACACTAATCTAGATCTGTTCTTACAATTTGGATTTTGAGCATTCCAAACTGCGGTGAGAAGATGATTATTGTGTGAGATTCCTTGGAATTGCTACTGCGGTTGATGATTTTGTTGTCACTGTTTGGTTGTTTGACAAATTGGTAATGCGGTTGATGAGAAGCTTTGTATAATGGACTCCAAACAAGAAACAGCCTTATGGCCTTAATATATTGTCCGCACTCTCTGACAATTACATATTCAAGGCAGTTGTTTGTTTCTTTTTGTTTAAAAAAAAAGGGTGTGTAGAAGAGCATACGGCATTATTTGTTTCAGTACCTGCATTTGGAGGCAATGTGTGTTTTACCATTGTATCTCTGATTCNCATCCCATTTAATAGTTATTATATTATTACATACTAAAAAATAAAATATAACATATATTTGACTGTAGAATTCAATTTAATAATTACATGTATATAATAATTTAATATGTATATGACTTTACTTATTCTTATATATATAGAAAATTGTATGTAAGAGTACTACTAATAAATTAGTTCAAAAAAAATTTAAAATTTTTATAAAAGAGTCTAAAATAAGTTGAAAGTTAAATAAGAGTAAAAAAAACAAAAATTAGATGAAAGAATAGATGGATATAATTGAATTTATTATAATAATTAGAGATAAAATAAAAAATTAAAATTTTTTCACAAATACTGACATTTATAAATAGTATAAATATAAATTTTTGGAATCCTTGGGCGTAGGCTAACTTTTGCCACTAGCTTATAAACAGTCTGACCCAGCATTTTACAGTCCATTTGTCAGGTAAGTAGAGACATGGTCCATTATACTTGGGCTAATGGCCCAGTAAGTAGGCCCGATAGCTCAAAATGTTTGCCAATGGCCCAGTAAGCAGGCCCTACATATCGAAAAAAAAATTTAAATTTTTTTTATGGGTAAATTGTAAAAGAGTACACCAAATTAGACTTATTTGACAAAAAATACACACTAAAAAATATAGGGTTATTAAGTACTTAATTTTGATACTTATTTATATCCAAGTACATAATTTGAATTTATCTATTTTTATTGTGATATTTTTGCCCTCCATTAATCCATGTGTATTTAATACACCACTTTTCTTTGGAAAATGGTACATTAAACAATTTCTAGTTTTATGAGAGAACTTTAATACACACACACACACACATATATATATTGAATTATAATGCACCTTGATTCATGCATTTTTTTTTAAAAGATGATTTTATTTTCAAATTAATTTAGTATCCGAATAGTGTAATAGTGTAACAATAAAAGTGTAACAGTGTAACAATAAAAGTGTAAGAGTGTAACACTAACAATGTAACAGTATAACAATAATAGTGTAACAATCTATTTACACAAAATATTGTACTATTATATTTTGTCAAATATATAGTTTCATATAATTTCATTCAAAATAGTCTATCTCCATTTTGAATTTGTTACTATATACACAAAACTACTTAACACTGTTTTTGTTACAGTGTATTTGTTGCACTGTCTTTGTTATAGTGTATTTGTTACATTATTATTGTTATACTATTACATTATTCAGATATTAAATTAATTTAAAAATAAAACTATTTAAAAGAAAAAAAAATGGTTGAATCAAGGTGCATTAAAAATAATTCAAAATTTAAATAAGAGATTTAACAATAAATATATATATATATATATATATATATATATATATATATGTGTGTGTGTGTGTGTATTAACAAATATACATGAATCAATGTGTATTAAATACGTATTTATATATATTAATAAACACACATGAATCAAGGTGTATTAAAGATAAAAAATTTTGAATTAAATGACCCTAAAATGAGCATTTATGTCTTTTTAGCTCACATTTTATTTTATGTACTTTTTGTCAAATAAGTTTAATAAGGTCTACCAACTTTCAAAAAATCCTTTTTTTATTTATTATATTATATTAAAATTAAACTTTTTAGGCAGGCGGGGCTCTATCTGACCATAATTGTCTATCTAATAATACTGTTAGAAAATTTAATTTAAATTTAATTCTCAATTTATAAAAACATAATAATAGTTAAAATTTATTAAATTTTAATATATTTTGTTCAAATAGTATAAAATTTATCTTAAATTTTTTTCGTTAAAAATATCTTAGTCTCTGATTCCTAATGTCAGATATCTAAACATTTCTCTCATAATTTCACTTTATTGATTTTTATTTTAAATTATGTGATTAAAAAATTATAATTTAAAATATAAATATTATAAAATAAATATTTAATTTTTTATAATATCTTTAAATACTTAATTATTTTGTAGTTATATTATCTTGTATTATATATTACTATTTTATATGAGGAATAATTATTGAAACCACACGTGGAATTAATGTTGCTTGAATATTTTTTCAAAGCCGTTGAAACAAAAGAAGAGAGAAAGAGAGAGAGAGAGAGAAGCAGGGTCTTCGAAAACTAATGAGGAAAATATTGAGACACGTGTCAGATGGAGAGTGGTGGGTAAGTTCTAGAAAGTCGTAGAATGTGAAAGGGAGTCTAAACTCTCCTTCGGTCGTAGGTCGTCCAGGAGAATCTTTGGTGTTCCTATAAGACGCCTCAAAGGTTCTCCTCTTTGGCTTCGTCTTCGACTTCTGGTTGCTTTTTCTCATTGGCAAAGTTTGAACGCTTCCTTAGGCCTTGTCAGGTATGACTTTCTCTGCTACACACATTCGCCATTGTTGAACTATGTTACTGTGGCTCGTCTTTCTCAATTTTTTCTCAATTTTTTTTAGTACTTGTGTGTTTTTAAAACAATTTTGATGCATTAATCTTCGAGAGATCTCAACGGAGACTTCTAGTTTCTGTTTGAAATTCTAGGGCCTCAAATTTATGTGTGGGGTTTGTTTTTCCTTTCGTTTTCTACTTTGTAGGATTTTTTTAATTGATTTTGAAGGAGTTACTGATTCTTCGATCTAATACTTTAACTTCTCTTGAAAGTTTGTGTTTAGGGAGTTTTGCATTCGTGCATTGATAATTTGCGTTCGGCGCGTGTAGGTGTTGTGTCAGAAAGGGACCATTGAATCGGAATCTGAATTGGGTCAGAAAGGGACCATTTAATTAGAATCTGAATTGGATTTTCTGAAATATTTGATTATATTGTGTGAATGTTGTTATGTTTTGATAGCTTTTGCTGGTATTCTGGGGTGATTGTCTCTTTCCTTACCTATAAAGTTGGTTTGGGATAAATTATCAGGCACTGCTGTTGATTATTGTGACACTAATCTAGATCTGTTCTTACAATTTGGATTTTGAGCATTCCAAACTGCGGTGAGAAGATGATTATTGTGTGAGATTCCTTGGAATTGCTACTGCGGTTGATGATTTTGTTGTCACTGTTTGGTTGTTTGACAAATTGGTAATGCGGTTGATGAGAAGCTTTGTATAATGGACTCCAAACAAGAAACAGCCTTATGGCCTTAATATATTGTCCGCACTCTCTGACAATTACATATTCAAGGCAGTTGTTTGTTTCTTTTTGTTTAAAAAAAAAGGGTGTGTAGAAGAGCATACGGCATTATTTGTTTCAGTACCTGCATTTGGAGGCAATGTGTGTTTTACCATTGTATCTCTGATTCATTTGTCATAGATTTTGCTTATGCTTTCTATCGAAATCATATGATTCTGACTTTTGTAGGTTATCTTTTTCAGCTCCAATAGAAGAGTCTGTAACGCTTTGAATTCTCATCTACTGAAGCTTTTAGATTGAATTGTAGGAGATGGCTGAGGTTTGTAATTCCTCTGCTGTTAGTTTGATTGCTATCATGTGCTTATTTTGTCTTTCCACTCTTGTTTTGTTTTGTGTTCGAAGAATGCATATTTTTTGCACTCATTACTGTCTTGGATGATTGCAGGACGGTTACAAGGTTTCCTTGAATGTGTATGACTTAAGTCAAGGACTAGCTCGCCAACTCTCCACGTCATTTTTGGGAAAAGCAATTGAAGGCATATGGTAAGTTGTTTCTTATCTATTGAGATTTGGATATGGATCTTAGGGAATTATTTTCTCCAGTATCAATATCAAGCTGAAATTGTCATATTCTGATATGAACGACTCCAAATGGTGGAATCTTTTCACAAGTTTGTTTAGATTGGTAGTAAGAACAATGACCTAAGATTGGTAATTAGGTACTGATAAACATCTCTTTGTTGCATAATTTAAATGTGCTTGGAATGTGTTTGGGCAAGTATGCTTTGTTGTGGTAGGCTTCTCTTTCTGGCTTGAGACAATGTTAGAAGCAGAATTTTGCTTCCATGATTTTGAGATTGCTATTACAGAGTCATCCAGCCTCATTGTGTTCTACAAGAGCTGTTCTGAATTGCTACCAGAATATCAAACTTAATGAGGTTATTGACTAGGCTGAGTTTAAAGTTGGTGTAAGATATTTTTCTAGTCTGCTCTGGATAAGTTGGACATGTTTCTTTCAGTTGATGAAAGATAATTTTGGTTATATGATGTTGCTTTTTGCTTTGCTTGTTTTGGATTCAATGCTTTGAGGTTTTTGTTATTTATTTTCATGACAGGCATACAGGAGTAGTTGTATATGACAAGGAGTACTATTTTGGGGGTGGTATACAACATTCTCTGGTCGGATCGACACCATATGGGACCCCAATTCGAACGGTGGATCTTGGGGTCACGCATGTGCCCAAGGATGTCTTTGAAATGTATTTGCAAGAGATTGGTCCTCGATACACAGCAGAAACGTACAGTCTGCTCACTCATAACTGTAATAATTTTAGTAATGAGGTAGCTCAATTTTTGGTCGGCGCAACCATTCCAGACTACATACTGAACCTCCCCAATGAAGTTATGAGCAGCCCCATGGGTGCTCTTATAAGTAAGTTTTCATCTCTATACATTAAATGTCATGTAGATACATCATATTTTACCCCAGTTTTTCTAGATGAACGATTTAGCTTATCAAAAATTCCAAGGTAGGGTGGATTTGGGTGGGGTCTTTTATTGCATTCATTGGTTTGTGGAATCTATTATTCTATATCAATTTTTACTAATTATACACTTTTTTTTTTTGTTTTTTTTCTTGCTGTTGTCGCACAAGGATTAGCATACAGTTTATTTGTGTTCTGGAGCATTGCAGAAGGCGATTCTATTTTTTGATTTTTTTTTAATTTGAAGTATCTAGAGGACTAGGATCAATGTTAGGTGAATTATTTTGGCACGTGATACGGATATGGGTACATGATATGAGACTTTCTTAGGTACGCGATACGAAGGGGGTAGACATAGATGATATGGTATTTTGGATCGCAATTTGTTTTAAAACTCTTATGTAAATCGTTTTCACTATTATATAATATTGTATATTACAGAATATCCGTAAATACTAAGTTATTTATTATTTGTCTTATACTTGTGCTTGATTTTTTATTAATTAAAAAAATATATAATTATAAATCTATATACATGTAGGCAATTAATATATATTTTATATATGTGCTATATGTTCTAATGCGAATTGATTTAGGGTTGGTATTACAATTTAGGGTCGTTCATTTTGGTGATTTAGATCCCGAACACACCCCATTTGGGATTGCTGTACTCAAATTGTGAGTCGTCGGTGGTTTGAGTGAATTGTAGTAACCATGACNTGATTATTGTGACACTAATCTAGATCTGTTCTTACAATTTGGATTTTGAGCATTCCAAACTGCGGTGAGAAGATGATTCTTGTGTGAGATTCCTTGGAATTGCTACTGCGGTTGATGATTTTGTTGTCACTGTTTGGTTGTTTGACAAATTGGTAATGCGGTTGATGAGAAGCTTTGTATAATGGACTCCAAACAAGAAACAGCCTTATGGCCTTAATATATTGTCCGCACTCTCTGACAATTACATATTCAAGGCAGTTGTTTGTTTCTTTTTGTTTAAAAAAAAAGGGTGTGTAGAAGAGCATACGGCATTATTTGTTTCAGTACCTGCATTTGGAGGCAATGTGTGTTTTACCATTGTATCTCTGATTCATTTGTCATAGATTTTGCTTATGCTTTCTATCGAAATCATATGATTCTGACTTTTGTAGGTTATCTTTTTCAGCTCCAATAGAAGAGTCTGTAACGCTTTGAATTCTCATCTACTGAAGCTTTTAGATTGAATTGTAGGAGATGGCTGAGGTTTGTAATTCCTCTGCTGTTAGTTTGATTGCTATCATGTGCTTATTTTGTCTTTCCACTCTTGTTTTGTTTTGTGTTCGAAGAATGCATATTTTTTGCACTCATTACTGTCTTGGATGATTGCAGGACGGTTACAAGGTTTCCTTGAATGTGTATGACTTAAGTCAAGGACTAGCTCGTCAACTCTCCACGTCATTTTTGGGAAAAGCAATTGAAGGCATATGGTAAGTTGTTTCTTATCTATTGAGATTTGGATATGGATCTTAGGGAATTATTTTCTCCAGTATCAATATCAAGCTGAAATTGTCATATTCTGATATGAACGACTCCAAATGGTGGAATCTTTTCACAAGTTTGTTTAGATTGGTAGTAAGAACAATGACCTAAGATTGGTAATTAGGTACTGATAAACATCTCTTTGTTGCATAATTTAAATGTGCTTGGAATGTGTTTGGGCAAGTATGCTTTGTTGTGGTAGGTTTCTCTTTCTGGCTTGAGACAATGTTAGAAGCAGAATTTTGCTTCCATGATTTTGAGATTGCTATTACAGAGTCATCCAGCCTCATTGTGTTCTACAAGAGCTGTTCTGAATTGCTACCAGAATATCAAACTTAATGAGGTTATTGACTAGGCTGAGTTTAAAGTTGGTGTAAGATATTTTTCTAGTCTGCTCTGGATAAGTTGGACATGTTTCTTTCAGTTGATGAAAGATAATTTTGGTTATATGATGTTGCTTTTTGCTTTGCTTGTTTTGGATTCAATGCTTTGAGGTTTTTGTTATTTATTTTCATGACAGGCATACAGGAGTAGTTGTATATGACAAGGAGTACTATTTTGGGGGTGGTATACAACATTCTCTGGTCGGATCGACACCATATGGGACCCCAATTCGAACGGTGGATCTTGGGGTCACGCATGTGCCCAAGGATGTCTTTGAAATGTATTTGCAAGAGATTGGTCCTCGATACACAGCAGAAACGTACAGTCTGCTCACTCATAACTGTAATAATTTTAGTAATGAGGTAGCTCAATTTTTGGTCGGCGCAACCATTCCAGACTACATACTGAACCTCCCCAATGAAGTTATGAGCAGCCCCATGGGTGCTCTTATAAGTAAGTTTTCATCTCTATACATTAAATGTCATGTAGATACATCATATTTTACCCCAGTTTTTCTAGATGAACGATTTAGCTTATCAAAAATTCCAAGGTAGGATGGATTTGGGTGGGGCCTTTTATTGCATTCATTGGTTTGTGGAATCTATTATTCTATATCAATTTTTACTAATTATACACTTTTTTTTTTGTTTTTTTTCTTGCTGTTGTCGCACAAGGATTAGCATACAGTTTATTTGTGTTCTGGAGCATTGCAGAAGGCGATTCTATTTTTTGATTTTTTTTTAATTTGAAGTATCTAGAGGACTAGGATCAATGTTAGGTGAATTATTTTGGCACGTGATACGGATATGGGTACATGATATGAGACTTTCTTAGGTACGCGATATGAAGAGGGTAGACATAGATGATATGGTATTTTGGATCGCAATTTGTTTGAAAACTCTTATGTAGATCGTTTTCACTATTATATAATATTGTATATTACAGAATATCCATNAATGTTTGGTAAATGCATAATTAGTCCGGAGTTTGAAACCCAACTAACATTAGGCTTGGGAATCATATGTGGGTTAATGAGTTTAAACTAGCAAATGACATTTATACCTCCATATATCTTATATACGTAAATAAACATGAGTTTGAANTCTTATACTTGTGCTTGATTTTTTATTAATTAAAAAAATATATAATTATAAATCTAAATACATGTAGGCAATTAATATATATTTTATATATGTGCTATATGTTCTAATGCGAATTGATTTAGGGTTGGTATTACAATTTGGAGTCGTTCATTTTGGTGATTTAGATCGTGAACACACCCCATTTGGGATTGATGTACTCAAATTGTGAGTCGTCAGTGGTTTGAGTGAATTGTAGTAACCATGGCNTTAAGGGGTACAATAGTCATTTAAATACAAATATATTATCATAATAATTATACATCTGTGTGCATACCAAATATGAGTATGAACGATATTGAATATTGAATCCCATCTTTAAATTTGAAAGGGTTTGGATAAGCCAATCCAAACCCTTCTCAAAAAACCAACCAAACAACCCCCAAATGCACAAGTCTTCATGCATATAGAAGCATTAGGTTGTACTGGAAGATCTGCAACTGCNTTAAGGGGTACAATAGTCATTTAAATACAAATATATTATCATAATAATTATACATCCGTGTGCATACCAAACATGAGTATGAACGATATTGAATATTGAATCCCATCTTTAAATTTGAAAGGGTTTGGATAAGCCAATCCAAACCCTTCCCAAAAAACCAACCAAACAACCCCCAAATGCACAAGTCTTCATGCATATAGAAGCATTTGGTTGTACTGGAAGATCTGCAACTCCGGATGGCAGGGTCAGCAAGTGATGACTTAGTCTCATTCTCCACTTCCACCCAACCATCTACCTAACCACCTCCTAGAAAATATCTGATAGAGAGAAGCCACCTAAGGCACATTTAAGCCCTTCACTAGTATGTTTCGTGATAATAGTTACCTATATTTTATGGTAAACTCCAGAAGAACCCTGTATGCAGATAAGTTGTAAGGTAATTGTTTTTCTTCAATGTCGCACAAAACCAAATTCAACAATTTAAGTTAAAAATGAGGCTCTAGTCAATACGAGAACAAACTTCAAAAGCTAGATCATATATTCAAAAATCAATATGAGAACAAACTCCAAAAGCTAGATCATATATTCAAAAATACAGCGTAAAATGTCAAAGAAACAGACAATTTGCAGTCAGAAACTGAGGATTTAGTCAGCATTGGATAACATGAAGTCATATGTATGCAGTTGGTGCACACACATAACACTAAGCCAATCAAGGTATTTCCTTTATGAAGTGGTTAACATGGAGCACTGGAATGCTTTAGCCCTTTATAATCTTGGTAAGTCGCTCAAACCAAGGTTAAAGAATCAGAATGTTGATATACTTCTCAGTAACTGCTGTAAAGAATAGGATATGGTACATTCATAGGATTCCCATCTGAAATGACTTCTAAAACACCAGCAAAAACATGCTAGCAATGACTATCTTTTTACCTTGATGAAAGACGATCTTGATCAGTTGAACTGACATTTCCGTTTTCTAATTCGAGAATGGCTTCATTTGATCTTGAAAAGGTGTCTTCAGGAATATTAATACCTGCGAAACCAACCATGACAGCAGCAGCTCCAACGAAATCCATGAAATTAGGCATATTGCCCGTCAAGGAATCCACAACAGCTGCTAACGGCACCTGAATTGTAAGTCCAGCTGTTGCTACTGTGGTGGTTGTAAGAAGAATAGCCTTGGCCCATAAGTAGTCGCTTAGCACATTATCCAACAGACCTGAACATGATCACAGTAAAATTTGAAATAATAAAGTAGGATATTTGCAATAAATTATCACTCAGAAATCAAAACCAACCCCCCAAAAATAGAAATAGGCTTTGCTCAGTAAGACAAATAACAATCGTCTGTCATTAAGGAAAACTAAATTTAGGAAAAGTTCTAGCTAAGCACCATTGTATTCATGAAGAGATTGATTTTTTTTTTGGATGGGTACTGAAGAGATTGATTTGGTCAAGAAGAAAACTGACAATGTTGAACCCTCCAAAAGAGAAAACAAAAACAATGCTAACTTATCCAGGTATCACAAACATTATGATCAAACCTATTCCTGTTCTTGCCAAAGGGTGGTTAATGAAATTGGGATGCGCAATCGGGCATCCGAGTTTTGTTATGACAGGCACTTTTACGAGCCAGTTGATTACTCCATTTACAATTTAGAAGCGCAGGGCAACTGGCTCTTTTACGAACAAGGTGATTACTCAATTCGCAATTTAGAAGCAGAGGGCAACTTGCAGGTATAATGAGAAGGTGTTCCTGTTATGATCAAGAATTGGAATTGTTCGTTACACCCCTTTGTCTCAGAAAGCTTGGAGCTTAACACATTAAGCTTACTCTTGGGCTAGCAGCTTAAATTAGCATTCCTATCAGAGGTTCTTACCACTTCATCACCACAAGTACGGGGAAGAAAGAATTAAACAAAGGATAGTCGGTGGCTTTTTTGGTGGGTTGACTCTACATTCTGTTGATGCAACAGTTTGCACAGGTAAAGATGAGAGGATCCTATTGTTTTATTTATGTTTAGTTCCTGTTGTTACACCTGAGAAAATGCTGTGCCAAGAAATTACAGAAGTCTATCAGGGCTCGAAATCTTGATATATCCATAAGTCAAAGAATGATGCTTTCCAAAATTCCAAAAATATTGACAAACTTTCCTTTGATATCTGCTACCCTATTGATTTGATCAATGCAACATTTTCATTCTACGAAGGATATATGAATTTGATATGATTACGTTGATTCAGAATTGATATTGCATATTGAAAATATGCATCTCCACAAAGTTGTAAATTTATGCCACTTCAGTTTTTATTGGAAACTTCACCAGTCGTTCATATACCTAAATTCAGCACAAGCCCTTATTATAAATGGCTTTCTTCAACCCTCAAACCTACCAACATAACAGTTAAAAAAAAGGTGCTACCTGGTTAAAATGAATGAAGTCGGTAATAATTAATAGCACAAATCAGATACAACTGTCATGATGAAGGGCAAAAAGGCTTTTTGGCAATCAAAATAGTTTATGTTCGTCTCACATCTTTAGTAAACATAGAACAATTTGCCAAGTTGTCCATATGAAACTGGGAACAAAATCAATGGGATCTAAGAGCCTATGCTAATGTGTGTACATGTAATTATGTATGGATCCATAACTATAAATACAAGGTTTGCCACAGCGGCAACATTACAGCAAAAAAGAGCTGCAAAACAGATGTTGGTGCCAGTGCCAGTGCCAGGGCCACAGCAAATCTGTGCAGTCCAATGTAATGAAAATTTACCATAATAGCCATGTCTCAATTACATAGTATGTACACGAAGAACACAAGATAAAAAGCTCTAGCTAATAACTTATACAACCAAAAAATGATTATTAATATACCAAATATGTAAGTCTTCAAACAAGCGAGAANCTAATAACTTATACAACCAAAAAATGATTATTAATATACCAAATATGTAAGTCTTCAAACAAGCGAGAATTTAACTTCATACATACCTTTACCAACAATTAGACCAAACTGCTTCAGGGTAAGCGTATTAAAAGGCTCCAGCTTGGCAAAATTGAGTAAGAGGGCAACAGGTAGGAAAATCAAGAGGTTGAACAACCCCAAAAAACCAAGGAACTGAGCCATACTGGCACGACCATTCCGTCCATCATCATCATCATCTGGTAAATTTTTACGAATTAGGGTAATATACGCAGCATAAAATGCTGCTGACAGAAGTGCAAGGATGTCTCCAAGAAGAGGATTTGAAGCAATTGCGCTTAATCCGGTAGTTTCTGAGTCACCCAAGCTGACAATAATTGTTCCTCCCATGCAAAGCAGAACGCTAATCAGTTTCACCCAAGTAAATTTCTCACCCAAGAATACAAGAGAGACCAAAAAGGTGAAAAGGCTGGAGGCACTGCTTAAGATGGTATTTGACTGTAAAAACAAGAAAGAAACAAAACTTACCACGCCACATTGCTAACAGTTAGGGTGTGAAAACAATCCAAAACTGAAAGAGACTTACTGTAACTGTAGTATACTTGAGAGAGAGATTAAATGTGAGTTGTGCCAGGAACCAAAAGGGGCAAATCAACAGGCTAACCATTGCCACTCTGGTTCGTGTCCAACGTCCATGTGCATCTAATCCTATATTAACAACATCTTCACCAACTGGAGTCTGCTCCAAAACAACAACTCCTTCATGGGTATTGTCCACTTCACCTTGTTCCGCAACTACACCTTGATTCAAACCATTAGCTTGACCACCAATACCATTCGCTCCAAGAAGAATGGCCTCCTCCCCATCTCCTAATTCTTGCAAATTAACATCATCATCATCATCATCTCTACTACGCCAAAACAACAAACTTCCATATCTATCCTCCAAATATCGCCCTAATTCAACAATTGGGATGTAAACCACAAACAATGAGTTGCAAATGTAGGTAATGAGAAACGGCGAAACACCCCCCTCTACAACTGACTGAACCACAAAACTAGCAGCAATCCATATTGTTGCAACAGCAAATATATATACCAAACCTAAAACCCATCTCCAAGCTTGACTTTTCATTCCTAATTTCGAACCTAAATCAAATCAAAACTTCCACTCAATATCTTGACAATCCCCGAACTTCGTTGCAGAACATCCCGGAATTGGTCGATTCGAAATCGACTGGATCGGTGGTGGAGGGATCCGGAGCCGATCTAAATCAAAATCCCTCAACTACATATATCACCAGGCACAACAGTCAAAGCTTTTTTTTTTTGAACAATTGAAATTATGGGAAATAAATTCTTCTTGACGTGATCAGTGCAAATAATTAATTATTTTTTCTGTTTAATAATTTTATTTCTTTTTAATTTCAAATTTGTTGGTTGATTTGTAAATTTGATAATTAGAAATAAATATTCATATAGGAAAGAATATGAAAAATATTTGAATTTAACAAAAAAAATTTAATATATTTATCACTAGTAACAAATACAATATAACAAAAAAATTTATGTTAAAATTAAGTAAATAAACAAGAATAAGTCTCATAAAGGGATGCATGGCATAAAACTTGATTAATAATTATCATCTCAAAAAATAAAATACATTTTTTTTTTAAAGTAATTTTAGGGATCAGAAATTTGGACTTTTGGAGCATGTGACGCACATGCGTGTTATTTTATAGCCTTAGTTCGTTGGGGTTTCTATTTTTTTAAAAATTTATACTCTTTTCTTTTAAATCATATTTGACTCTTTGACCTAATTTTTGGTCATTCTTCACCGTTTTGCTTATCCTAGTTTTTTCCATCGGCCTCTTCACCGTTATAATTTTTTTGGGATATAGGTTACATTTTTTAAAAGTATAATCGATCATAAAAAATTAAAATCGACACCAANTCTTTGACCTAATTTTTGGTCATTCTTCACCGTTTTGCTTATCCTAGTTTTTTCCATCCGCCTCTTCACCGTTATAATTTTTTTGGGATATAGGTTACATTTTCTAAAAGTATAATCGATCATAAAAAATTGAAATCGACACCGAAAATTCATTGTAAGTTTTCATTTTAAAGTTAGAATTTTACTATAAAAGTGGTAATTAGAATTTTCAGTGCCGTAGATTTTTCGAAACTTGTATGTTTTTGTGAACTACGTTTCTTAAATAAATTGAAGCCAATATAGAGTAAATTTGACCAAAATGTACAATAGATCAAATTCTTTTTGGGTAAATAGAGCAGATTGTTTTTTTTTTTTTGTTTTTTTTTATTGTTCATGTGTGTCAAAGTTCTCATAACTGTAATATACACACAATATTGTATTGTCTCGAACAGACCGTTTATTCTCTTTGTACAAACAATATCGACCATTAGATATCGGGTTTTCATAAATTTTATATCCTTAAAAAGACAAAAAAACTTGTCACACTGAACTGCCAATTGATGCCACTGATATGTGCTTGTGGCCTCTTGAGTTTGAACCCCATTCTATGGCTTCTGCTACAGCTCTTTGGCGTTCATTTGCACTAACTTGGCTCTGATGGTTTTTAGTTGTCTCTGTCATTCTATCATGATCAGATGGCGGAGAAGAAGCCGAAATAGGAGATGCCAGGCCAGTGGCTGGTCCGACCCCAAGGAAACTGAGAGCGGTGACCACATCGCTGATCAGGGGACGAACTGATGCATCCTCTTGTAGGCACATAGCAGCAACAGCAACAGCCTGATTCAAACTTCTGGTTGGGAAGTCTCCTTGAAGAAGTGGATCAGCCAGTTCTGAGAATCTGCTTGGTTCCTTGAATATTGGTTCCGCCTGCTCAGAAATTACATCAAGCACAACTTACATTTGGAATAGAAAGATAATTGGACTGCTCAATTTAATACAATGAAAATCCCAACATAACAATAACATGTATAATTATGTTGCACTAAGATAATGCCTAGGCATGTCTGCTTTAAAGTAAGGGAAACAATTTATGATACGACATGTAAATCTGACATGAAATTAGTGGGTTATAATTGACTAATTCTCAACATGAATAAGAAAATGACGTGACTTGCTAATATGAATGACAAACGGTTTAAGTTATAGTCAAACAAGAATAACTCAGAATTTGATATGACAAATCTCTATATCTGTTATGGTGTATAGAAGATATCTGAACATGAACGAACTTTTAATAAACAAGTCAAGTTCATTAAATGAATTTGGTTAGAGTAGACTCGTACTTGAAACAAGCTGACGACAACACGACACAACTTGATGTCAACACCAATGCAGAGGTCGCTTCAGCTCTAAAACAATGCCATATTCATTCTGTTTTGGCTGTGAGATTGCCTTCAATAGGACCATAACTATGCGAGAGTTTGATGTATAAACAAGTAAAAGATGAAAGAAGAGGAAAAGAACTTACCCAAGAAACTAGAGTTTGCTCCTCAATTCTCCTTGTGGTATCAATGGCTCTCCTTCCCGTAATTAACTCCAGAAAAACAACACCAAAACTATATACGTCTGATTTCACAGTTAATTGACCTGTTCTTTGGTATTCCGGGGCACAGTAGCCATATGTTCCCATCACCCTTGAAGACACATGTGAGTTATCCCCAACAGGTCCGAGCTTGGCCAGGCCAAAATCAGAAAGCTTTGCATTGAACTCCTTGTCCAGCAAGATGTTGGAGGATTTTAAGTCGCGATATATTACCGGGGGGTTGGCCTTATCGTGCAGATACTCTAGACCTTTGGCAGCATGTAAAGCTATTTTCATCCTCGTGACCCAATCTAATGGGGCCTGACCTGGTGGAATCTCTGAAAATTTTGAGCCAATATAAGGAAGATGTTTAGATAATTGCTGTCAAATGCTAAGCAACAACTCATATATTTCAAGGGCCATCAGTAAACAGATCAAAAGCAAACCGTTCACCTTTGGATTTTTATTGTTCAACTTTGTATTTTGGACTTACAAGTTACAACCCAAATTAAACAAGTTGATTGCGTTCTTAGTAGGATTTGGAGAACTTCGTTGGGTTTTGGTGCAATTATATGTTTGTCTAGCATATACTAGAAATGTGTTTGTTGAATCTTAAAGAGTGAAAGGAATTAATTGCTACATTCTTGTTGATGGTGTTTTTAACACTAATACCTACTTAGCTAAGATACAATATAGAACTTAACATGACTTAATCATTATCAAAACGTATATACCCCATCTCTTACTTGCCTAACTGCAAAAACTTTACCTCGGATTCCATGACACTTAGATAAGCCAAGAGCTTTTCTTCTTTTTTCTAACTATAAATAAGGTTAATAAGCAGCCTCAAACTTTTGGCATATAATTCTGGTTACAGAGACAACAATTAGATATGATGCACTATCATGCTCAACTTCAATGAACATTAATTTCATTTCAATAATGATGAAAAGAAACAGCATAATGCATAAATCTGAGAGAGAAAATAGCAACCAAAACAATACCAAGTAGATGGTCTTCCAAAGATCCCAATGACATGTACTCATACACCAGAAGTCTTTGATCTCCATCAGCACAATATCCAATAAGATTTACCAGATTTGAATGGTGCAGGAGGCTCAGCATCAGAACCTCTACAAGAAATTCCCTGTTCCCTTGCAACCCATTGCGGTCAAGTTGCTTCACTGCCACAATCTGAATTAAAATGAAACTGTTAAGCTTAATTACCAAATATAACAAGGAAGCTACCAAGTCCAGTACTCTGAGCATTCTGAAGTTCTAAATCACCTGGCCAGTTTTCTCAAGTCGACCCTTATAAACGCGCCCAAATCCACCTTCCCCTACCAGACTTTCTTGTCGGAAATTCTTTGTAGCTGTTGCCAGCTCACGGAAAGTGAATGTTTCGGCTGCAATATTGTTGTTGCCACTTTCTTTAGTTGTAGGTTTATCGTTTACAGCCCTATTATTTGTAGCTTCAGCTGTGACCTTTGCAGGATGCTCTGTAAAAGATAAGTTTGAGAATTTAAGTGTCCCTCCAACATTAATTTACCAGATGCTAGACACTGAATCATAGAACAAGGCTAATAAAACTACAATGTTGTCTCGATTTACGTGCTACAATCCTATTGAATTCCAGTTAACAAAAGTTTTGGGCAGATAATAAGGACTTTTTATTATCTTTGACAAGTTTGGTCACTTCAAACACGAACTTNATTCCAGTTAACAAAAGTTTTAGGCAGATAATAAGGACTTTTTATTATCTATGACAAGTTTGGTCACTTCAAACAAGAACATCAAAGCTCAAACTCAACTGCAATATAGATAGCTTCAACATCACTAGAAATTAAACTTACTTGCTATGCTTCAATGATTACAAAAACCAATGTACTCACCAGGTTTTGGCTGTGGGCGTGGATGTGGAGCAGGGGACATTGGCCCNCAGGGGACATTGGCTCCCTATACCTCTTAGATGCTTTCTGTTCATGGGAGGAAAAACACGAGAAACAACTCATGTCTTGAGCCTAACAATATAAAGTGATGAAGAATTTCCTTTCGACTTGAAAAGTGATCACCCTTTATCCACCAGAATCACAATTCAATCAAATGCACCTCCGGAAATGCTATCTTGAAGACTTGTAATTTATTCAACCACTAAAGTTACACAGCCTCAGAGGGTTGTTTTTGACATAAAAGCACATGAATACATGAAATTCCAGCTACAAAAGTAGGAACTCAATTTATTTTGCCACCAGCAAATTGAAACTCTGGCATTAAATTTCTAAAACCTATTGTCTTATGTCTATAAATTAAAAAGTTGCTTCCAATTCAAACCTCAAAAGGTGAGAATATGCAGAGTGTTAAATTCCTCGATCAATTAAACTTCCAAACGCCAAGGTCCCAAAATTTCAATATAGACTTCACCTTTGGAATATCAATATTGACAATGTGAGCCACAAGGTTTCACAGGCCAAAAGATTGAAAACATCAAACGCATAAAAACCCCAGATGATGAAAGTTATAACCACCTTAAAAAATACAAGAATTCCAAAAAAAAAAAAATGGGATGTTAAATTCGGCCAAAAATAAGCCCAGAACAGGAAATGTATAATAATCCTGGTACGAGACAGCTAAGGTTAACTAAAGAAAGAAAATGTATGAATATTTCTGGCCATATACATTAAGGTAAGGTGGCCTGAGGAAGACATGATATGAGAACGTGAGAGAGAGAGAGAGAGAGAGAGAGAGAGAGAGATGAGTTGTTCCCTCTGAATTACCGCAGAAAATGGAGACAGAAAGGAAGGGAGAATTTGAAGGGGTGTGTCAAGACTTTAGAGAGATACAAGTGTGGGAACCAACACGCGGGGAGTCGGAAAGCCTATCAAGGTTGTCATCATCAAATTTTGATTCGCATTCGAATTTTAAATTCGATTAATTAGATATAAATTAATATTTTTTATTGATAATTTGAATTTAAATTTGATATCTTATATTTCATGGATTTAAATTTAAATATATCTATATATATGTTCAAATTATAATTCAATTCGAATTTTTATATATTTTAATATAAATATTGAAAAAATTAAATAATTATTTAAAAAAAGTTAGTTGAAATTTACGTATAATTTGTTAAATTTTATTTGATTAAGTTATTCGAATCAGATCAAAATTTTAAATTATTAACAAATTCGGCTATAAACAAAAACAATTATTGAATTTTTAAATTAAAATCTTAAAATCAAATTTAAATTCAAATTCAAATGGATAACAATCCAATCCAAACAGGATAGTTAGAACACAAGGACTCTTGGGCTCACGGCGGCCAAACTGTCCCTATGTATAAACTAAGTAACGGCACAAGTTATTTAAAATTAATGATCCAACAGTAGTGTTACTAACCTGAAGGTCTATTGTAACACATTCGAATGGAAACGGAAACGACATCTGTTCTTATGTGATTGATACTCCTTTTGGCTGCCGTTAGAAATATATTATTTTTAAAGACATCCTTCTTCGTGTATAAGGAAAGATGTTTTCAGTATTGAAGTAGTAAATCTTCTACAAATACATTCAAGTCATTTAAGTCGAATTTCTCTAAAACTATCTCCTATTCATCCACTTCGACTATTTCATGAATACACTTATTTACCATCAAGTAAAGTGGTCTAATAGAGTATCGATCTTACTCCTCATTTTGAGGTTGACAGTTCGAATCTTGGAATCACCATTGAGACTTGGTGGTTGACCACTATGCTAGCCTAGTTAGGTCTAATCTTGAGAGGTGTTCCAGATGCGATCAGGAACTTTATGATCCCACCGGTGAAGTCTATCAAGATGGTCGTTGGACGCTCTTCATTACCCCCATCTCTTTTCTTTCACAACAACTAACCTAATTAGGTTTGATCCTGAGAGGTGTTTTAAACGCAATTAAGAACTTTATAATCTCATCGGTGAGGGCCTATCAAGGTGGTCGTTGAACGCTTTTCCTTACTTCCATCTCTTTTCTTTCACAACAACTAGCTTATCTAGGTCTAGTCCTGAGAGGTGTTTCAGGCGCAGTCAGAGGTCTTCTGATCTCTCTGGTGAGGATTTATCAAAGTAATTTTTGGACGCTCTTCCTTATCTCCACTCCTTTTTTTTCACAGCAAAAGAGTACACTTATTTGATTTTCTCATCCTGTCATTTTTAGCTTAACCGTAGGTCGTATTTACATTGGCATTTCAATCACAAATAGTTTCCTAGAATGTTGTTTCTTAATCAATCAACATTCAACACTATAAAATCATAATCGGCCCTATGACTGTCTTGTAGAGGTAACCTTTTTGCTTAAGAGATATATTTTAACTGCATGGTACATTAGAAGCACTCCACTAAATACAATTCAACCACGTTACGGCTATCATCTATAGATTGAATGAAAACATACATTTGATTTCCAGAAGAGCCTTTTAACAACAGTAACTCCAGAAAAAGTGCTTGAGGAGGCTTGAGTTTTCCAGTCATTGGAACCCCTGTTTTAGGGCTTTTCACCTGGAAAGATGCCTCAATTCTCCCTTTGTACCTCAAAAAATTATTTTTTCACATTTCACCTTAAATGTCATAAATTGATTTCAATGTAACCTTCGATCTATTATCCGTTTCAGATTCTATTAANTCCACTTCGACTATTTCATGAATACACTTATTTACCATCAAGTAAAGTGGTCTAATAGAGTATCGATCTTACTCCTCATTTTGAGGTTGACAGTTCGAATCTTGGAATCACCATTGAGACTTGGTGGTTGACCACTATACTAGTCTAATTAGGTCTGATCTTGAGAGGTGTTCCAGATGCGATCAGAAACTTTATGATCCCACCGGTAAAGCCTATCAAGATGGTCGTTGGACGCTCTTCATTACCCCCATCTCTTTTCTATCACAACAACTAACCTAATTAGGTTTGGTCCTGAGAGGTGTTTTAAACGCAATTAAGAACTTTATAATCTCATCGGTGAGGGCCTATCAAGGTGGTCGTTGAACGCTTTTCCTTACTCCCATCTCTTTTCTTTCACAACAACTAGCTTATCTAGGTCTAGTCCTGAGAGGTGTTTCAGGCGCAATCAGAGGTCTTCTGATCTCTCTGGTGAAGATTTATCAAGGTAATTTTTGGGCGCTCTTCCTTATCTCCACTCCTTTTTTTTCACAGCAAAAGAGTACACTTATTTGATTTTCTCATCCTGTCATTTTTAGCTTAACCGTAGGTCGTATTTACATTGGCATTTCAATCACAAATAGTTTCCTAGAATGTTGTTTCTTAATCAATCAACATTCAACACTATAAAATCATAATCGGCCCTATGACTGTCTTGTAGAGGTAACCTTTTTGCTTAAGAGATATATTTTAACTGCATGGTACATTAGAAGCACTCCACTAAATACAATTCAACCACGTTACGGCTATCATCTATAGATTGAATGAAAACATACATTTGATTTCCAGAAGAGCCTTTTAACAACAGTAACTCCAGAAAAAGTGCTTGAGGAGGCTTGAGTTTTCCAGTCATTGGAACCCCTGTTTTAGGGCTTTTCACCTGGAAAGATGCCTCAATTCTCCCTTTGTACCTCAAAAAATTATTTTTTCACATTTCACCCTGAATGTCATAAATTGATTTCAATGTAACCTCCGATCTATTATCCGTTTCAGATTCTAATTAAAAATTGAAACACGTGTCACCCACGTATATTGCTCTCGGACAAAAATATAAGCTCACAATTCATATCTTTGAGTGACATATATATTAATTTTTAATGGAATCTGAAATAAATGTTAGTCCGAGGGTCACATTGGAACCAATTTATGACGTGCAATATGCAATGTGAAAAAAATAACCTTTCAAGGTGCAAAGTGAAAACCGAGATATCTTTCGGGATGCAATGTGCGAAAAGCCCCCTGATTTATACATCTTAATGGTACAATAGAAAAAAGGGAATTGAGTATATCCAAATAACTTGATATGCCAATAAACTGAATGCTGTAACTTCAACTTTCGAAAAATGTAGATGAAGAATCACCAAGGTGTGTGCAAATGCGGCTAAGGCCAGGCTCTCCATCAGCAGTACCTTCCTTCCTCCAACGCTCTCTCACCCTATAAGCTTCAGTCCACATTCCTGCTGTTGCATAAACATTATAAAGAGCAACACAAGTTGTAGAGACTTGTTTCTTACCATCTAACATCTTCTTAGCAACCCTCCTTCCCATTTCCACATTTCCATGCAATTGACATGCTCCAAGCATTGCAGCCCAAATGGAACTGGTGATACATCCACTGCTCAATTCTCTGTCCTCAAGTTCTTCCAGCAAACCCCATGCTTCCTCAAGTCTTCCAACACGTCCCAACAAATCAATCAAACATGTGTAGTGATCTTCCCTGGGAACCAAACTGTATTTCTCTCTCATCAGCTTAACGTACTGCAACCCCTCATCCACCAAACCACAATGACTGCAAGCAGTAAGCACGGAAACAAACGTCACTTCATTTGGTTCAGTACCCATGTCCAACATCTGCTGAAAAATCTCAAGTGCTTCAAACCCAAACCCATGGACTGCATAGCCTGTAATAACTGATGTCCATGCAAAAACATTTTTCTCCAACATCAAATCAAAAACCTTCTTGGCGTTATTCAAATAACCTGATTTCGAATACATATCCACCAAAGCTGTTCCAACAATCACATTACTAATATCAGCATTTGTCAATGTCCTAATGAGCTTTGCATGGATCTGCCTTCCCCTCTCCATATCTGTTAAATAGCTACAAGCTTCAAGCCCCACCACAAAAGTTGAGCAGTTACCTTCTACTGCAGATCCATCCTTATTAGAATACATTTTACATAATAATTGTAAACCTTCATCTGGCATACCATTTCGCACATACCCTGAAATCATGCTTGTCCATGTAACTACATTTTTCTCTGGCATATCCTCTAACAATGTCCTAGCTTCTTCAATTAAACCATTAGATATACAACCTAATATCATTGAATTCCAATGTGAAACATGCTTGGTAGGAAGCCAATTCTCAAAAGCGTTTTTAGCTTCCCCTACACTTCTACACTTGCTATACATATCGATTAAGGCACTCCCAATGATAGCCCAATCCTCCTTCAATGAGTAAATATTGCTAAAAGAATTACTCAGAGTAATAAAAAGGCCATGAACCTGCTTTCCAACATTAAGCAAAGAAAGCTTTGCACATGCAGATAAAATCGGCACAACTATAGTGTAATCCAACTTAAAAATTTCGATAATGTTATTTTTAAAAGCAACATATTTCAGTGCATCTTTATATCTCTGATTGAAGGCATAACCTCTGATCTTTATAAGTTTTGAAATTACATCACCATCTACTCCATTCGAAACTTCCTCGGCACAAGGAACTTCACCGCAGAAAAAATACATGTTAGCGATTGAATTCACACAACTCAACTCAAAGCCACCAATGATTGCATACCCATGAACTTGAATTCCCAGCACTAAATCTTGAATCAAAGCACAACTGGACAATACAGTCGCAACACTAAACTCATCAGGCAGATACATCTCTTGACACTTCAACATATGAAACAACTCCAAACTATGCTTTTCCATACCATTCTGAGCATACCCAGAAATCATTGCATTCCAAGTAACCAGATTTCTGTGAGACATTTCATCAAACAAATTACGAGCACAACCTACGAGGTGGCATTTTGAATACATATCCACAAGAGCCGTCTCCACAACGACATTTTTTGGGATAAACCCGGATTTCAGCACATGCGCATGGATGCTTCGGCCCAAACAGAGGTCTTCTTGGGACGAAGCGATGGCGCGAGCTATAGTGGCGAAGACGAAGTTGTTGGGTTTCTGATCCGGCTCGGCTTGGTGTAGCATGAGAGAGAAAAGCTGGAGGGCTTTGTGGGGGTTGTTGGAGCGAGTGTAAGCTGAGATGATAGACGTCCATAGGACCGTGTCTTTTCTGGGCACTTGGTCGAACAGTTGGTGTGCCTGAGACAGTGAATTCGGAGTTTTGTATGATACGTAGTCGTTAATGAGTTTAGTGGCGAACACTGCGTTGTTGTCAAGCCCGAGTTTGACAAACCGAGCATGTTTGTTCATTCATGCTCTCTCTCTCTCTCTCTCTCCCCCTGGTAAGTAGGGACCTGCTAACTTTCTCGTGAAGTCAGTAAATTACAACAATTTGTAACGGATCTAGAAATCTGTCCAGAATAACTTTAAATAGGAAACTGGTGTGTTCTCAGCCGAACTATTTTTGACGCCTAAGTCAACAAATTTTATCCAGTAGAAAGCTGTGCACGGTGATTCTAGCATAACCAACGAATTGACAGATTTTTCTTGCCATGAACTCAAATTTACTTGAAAAGTCGAAAATTTTGCCACGTATACCTTGAGGGTGTGTGTGTGTGTGTTTTTCTAAAAAAAAAATGGTTTATTTTAACCTTTTATTAATACGGGTTTTTATAGTTAAGATTGAGTGATATTTTTGGTTTAAGAGGTCATCATTATCACTGCTAATTATGCATTACTGAGTGTGTATTGAGTTTAACTTGTGTATGTGCCCCCATACCAGATGTGTGCCAATAGATAATTCAGGTGACGATTGATCTAAGAGGGGTCCGAAGCCTGGACTATATCCATCACNACACCTGCATGGACGCAACTACTACATGTTATACGGTGACTAGCTTGAAAAGCCTAAGATGTTCGAGCAGCTAGGTTTGATATAAAGAATTCAACAATTGCGTCAAGCTTACGGAATAATGATAAGGGTAGGAAACAAATAAGTGAACACAAATGACTCGAAAAACCTGGCTTCATAGGAATGTATAATAAAACTATATTCCTCATTGGAACAAGAGGAAACCATTTTTACAACACTAACAACANTAAGTGAACACAAATGACTCGAAAAACCTGGCTTCATAGGAATGTATAATAAAACTGCATTCCTCATTGGAACAAGAGGAAACCATTTTTACAACACTAACAATANACTCTACAACATCTTTCAATGGTCGAATGACATCTAAGTGAAGGAAGAATGTATTCAAAATGACATATCATGTATCCACAACTTTTGTATTCTATTTTCCCTCAATATTTAGTTTTTGCCTTCCATATTCAAAGAAAAGATGAATAAAAAGTGAATTTTACTTTAAACCTTTTCAAATATTAATTTTTTTATATTATACTTATAAATATGGTCCTTCCATTAATCTCTGTTGTTTATTCTATCAACGTCAATAGTGTAATTTTTGACTAAATAAAAAAGAAAAAATATCTATATAATAAAACAAATAAGAGTTTGAAAGTTTATCTCTTATACATTTTTTTCCTAAAAATNGCAGGAGGCTCAGCATCAGAACCTCTACAAGAAATTCCCTGTTCCCTTGCAACCCATTGCGGTCAAGTTGCTTCACTGCCACAATCTGAATTAAAATGAAACTGTTAAGCTTAATTCCCAAATATAACAAGGAAGCTACCAAGTCCAGTACTCTGAGCATTCTGAAGTTCTAAATCACCTGGCCAGTTTTCTCAAGTCGACCCTTATAAACGCGCCCAAATCCACCTTCCCCTACCAGACTTTCTTGTCGGAAATTCTTTGTAGCTGTTGCCAGCTCACGGAAAGTGAATGTTTCAGCTGCAATATTGTTGTTGCCACTTTCTTTAGTTGTAGGTTTATCGTTTACAGCCCTATTATTTGTAGCTTCAGCTGTGACCTTTGCAGGATGCTCTGTAAAAGATAAGTTTGAGAATTTAAGTGTCCCTCCAACATTAATTTACCAGATGCTAGACACTGAATCATAGAACAAGGCTAATAAAACTACAATGTTGTCTCGATTTACGTGCTACAATCCTATTGAATTCCAGTTAACAAAAGTTTTGGGCAGATAATAAGGACTTTTTATTATCTTTGACAAGTTTGGTCACTTCAAACAAGAACATCAAAGCTCAAACTCAACTGCAATATAGATAGCTTCAACATCACTAGAAATTAAACTTACTTGCTATGCTTCAATGATTACAAAAACCAATGTACTTACCAGGTTTTGGCTGTGGGCGTGGATGTGGACCAGGGGACATTGGCTCCCTATACCTCTTAGATGCTTTCTGTTCATGGGAGGAAAAACACGAGAAACAACTCATGTCTTGAGCCTAACAATATAAAGTGATGAAGAATTTCCTTTCGACTTGAAAAGTGATCACCCTTTATCCACCAGAATCACAATTCAATCAAATGCACCTCTGGAAATGCTATCTTGAAGACTTGTAATTTATTCAACCACTAAAGTTACACAGCCTCAGAGGGTTGTTTTTGACATAAAAGCACATGAATACATGAAATTCCAGCTACAAAAGTAGGAACTCAATTTATTTTGCCACCAGCAAATTGAAACTCTGGCATTAAATTTCTAAAACCTATTGTCTTATGTCTATAAATTAAAAAGTTGCTTCCAATTCAAACCTCAAAAGGTGAGAATATGCAGAGTGTTAAATTCCTCGATCAATTAAACTTCCAAACGCCAAGGTCCCAAAATTTCAATATAGACTTCACCTTTGGAATATCAATATTGACAATGTGAGCCACAAGGTTTCACAGGCCAAAAGATTGAAAACATCAAACGCATAAAAACCCCAGATGATGAAAGTTATAACCACCTTAAAAAATACAAGAATTCCAAAAAAAAAAAAATGGGATGTTAAATTCGGCCAAAAATAAGCCCAGAACAGGAAATGTATAATAATCCTGGTACGAGACAGCTAAGGTTAACTAAAGAAAGAAAATGTATGAATATTTCTGGCCATATACATTAAGGTAAGGTGGCCTGAGGAAGACATGATATGAGAACGTGAGAGAGAGAGAGAGAGAGAGAGAGAGAGAGAGATGAGTTGTTCCCTCTGAATTACCGCAGAAAATGGAGACAGAAAGGAAGGGAGAATTTGAAGGGGTGTGTCAAGACTTTAGAGAGATACAAGTGTGGGAACCAACACGCGGGGAGTCGGAAAGCCTCTCGAGGTTGTCATCATCAAATTTTGATTCGCATTCGAATTTTAAATTCGATTAATTAGATATAAATTAATATTTTTTATTGATAATTTGAATTTAAATTTGATATCTTATATTTCATGGATTTAAATTTAAATATATCTATATATATGTTCAAATTATAATTCAATTCGAATTTTTATATATTTTAATATAAATATTAAAAAAATTAAATAATTATTTAAAAAAAGTTAGTTGAAATTTACGTATAATTTGTTAAATTTTATTTGATTAAGTTATTCGAATTAGATCAAAAATTTAAATTATTAACAAATTCGGCTATAAACAAAAAAAAAATTATTGAATTATNATTTTGTTAGCTGCCATAAAACACAATGCATATGAAATATTTCTTAAATGGTGAAGGCATCAATGTGCAAAAAGATGCCCCACACTGATGGAATTGCAGTGTACTAAACAAGCAAGAAATGAGCTTTGCCTACAGCGTTCAAATTTGTAACTTTCTTCTAAAAACATGTAGCCTAAACTAAACTGAATTTATAACACACTGCATGAATAACCCGCACCCAGATGGCGCGTGTTTTCCCCAACTAGTCTGCAAGCTCTCATTCCTTCTGAATTCTAATACTATTTGGGGGGACATGAAAATTTTAGTGGCAGACGGATACGATACGATATGGATATGACGATACAACAAAATCCAAAAAAAATAGGATACAGATACGGCCAGGATACATCTATACTATTATCTATTTTCTAAAAAAATTTATCCTTATATTTAATATAACAATTATAATTTATAAAGTAACAAGTGAATCACACAGCTATAAAGACACGGTAACTACTAACTAACCATTCGATCCTTCATACATTATACACATGCATAATTTCCAACAAGTTTGCATAGCCAAAAAATAAAAAAGACACCATGTTGCATAAACAAAAGAAACACCAACAGGCAACAATTCAAAACAATTTACAAATAAAAGGGTACTTCAGATTGCGTGACTATGCAACAATGTTGAAGTGGAGATTCTCAAACAAACACCAACAGGTCCAACACCAAGCTACACATCCGACAATGTTGCACTAAAACATTCACAAGTCTGTTTTTCATTTGTTCCTAATTTATGTGAACAAAAAAAGGAAAAAAAACCCTTATTTCAAATTGCAAAAAAAATCCTAATTGCAAATACCAATGTTTTAAAACCCAACCCGACCCGTCCCGTCCGGGATTTAGTTTCTTTGTTCTCATCCATTTGAGATGTTCCATCGCTTGAACAAGGTGACTCTTTTTNATATATATATATATATATATATAATAAGATAGCTCACAAGTTAAATTTTATCACATATACATTTTTTCTCTTAAAATATCATATCATTCATTTCTATCGCATGTCTAATTATTTTAATATTTAATTAATTTATAGTTTAATATGTTTTTTATTTTAAACATTATCCATACACGATAGGATACATATGTGGAGAATATTTTGTCAAATTATGTATTTAAAAAAAAATTATCAAAATTTTTAACAAAATAATGAATAAACATAGATTTTAAATGATGTAATCAAATAAATGAAAGAAAGAAAAATTATTATTTCAATAGTTGGACAAATTTTTTTGGACGCACAAATTTTATATTTCATCGTACCTTCAGACACGAATTATAACTAGTAAGTACATATTTTAATATTATATCTATATATGAAATCAATGTATGTATAATATGTAATTGATAAATATGATAAATTTATATATCAAAATTTATATAGATAAATAACATATTTTAACACACATAATTAACTTTCCATTTACTTTTTCTTCCAATTTTGAAGAAATTAATTTTAGTTAGTTAAAAAAAAAATTTAATTCATCAACTTTTCCTTTCAAAAATAATATTTTATCTATATTTCCAATTTTTTATCATTTCAACTTGTCATCGCATCAAACTAATGTCATCGTATCAAACAAAACATTAGTGATGCTTCACCCTACATTCTAATTCTCTCCTTCGCCTAGATGTTCCAACGTGCTTGGTTACTACAGATTGCCGGTATCTTCATTCGTTTATTCTTCCATCAAGTCTTCTCTTAAATCAGATTTTCAAGAGCAAAGTTTGCTACCAAAATCATCTCATCCCCCGAAGTTTACAGGACTATTGCCACCATACCCACTGCTTTAGTTCACACTCCTTTGCAACTGACATATCTGCTATTCGGCTGCTTTTAATTTCTAGCTTGCCCAACAATAAAGAACAACGCTTGTCAGGTATGTAACAAGATAGCTTTTGCAAAGAGGCCTCGGCCTCAATCTAAAAGGTCTTGCTAAAAAAGCTCATAGAGGATGCTAGGCGCATTAGTCAGAAACTGTGCCTTCCAACCATTGAAAATACTCATACAAGCCTGCATGCGAAAGCAGATCAAATCTGAATGCATAGTACAGAAAAAACACCTGCATGGACGCAACTACTACATGTTATACGGTGACTAGCTTGAAAAGCCTAAGATGTTCGAGCAGCTAGGTTTGATATAAAGAATTCAACAATTGCGTCAAGCTTACGGAATAATGATAAGGGTAGGAAACAAATAAGTGAACACAAATGACTCGAAAAACCTGGCTTCATAGGAATGTATAATAAAACTATATTCCTCATTGGAACAAGAGGAAACCATTTTTACAACACTAACAACACAAGAATAACACCATAATCATGGTGGTAGCTCACACTGCAATATAGGTTACTTAAGAGAAACATTGATGTCAATAGAAGAGTCTGTTAAAATAATATCTTTCAAATTATCTGCTTTTGGGTGGTCGCGGCAATCAAATTTTAGCTTCACGTGTAAAGGTCTCATGAAGATAAATTCTCCCAGATCCACGTTTGCCTTCAATAAATACTGAATGCATGGATCTCTTCCCATCCTTCCACTTCCTTTCAGGTTCAAAATATTTGCTAGCCTATCCATTTTTTCTTCCCCACTTTCCTCACCAGAATTGGGATTCCGTTTCATTTTTAAATACAGTGCCGCACAAACAATGACCTGGGTTTTAAGAATCAGAAATAAAACGGTAATCGTAAAATTCAAAATAATCAACTCAGGAAACCTAAAAATGCTGCGACAAGAAAATAGATTTTGTTAGCTGCCATAAAACACAATGCATATGAAATATTTCTTAAATGGTGAAGGCATCAATGTGCAAAAAGATGCCCCACACTGATGGAATTGCAGTGTACTAAACAAGCAAGAAATGAGCTTTGCCTACAGCGTTCAAATTTGTAACTTTCTTCTAAAAACATGTAGCCTAAACTAAACTGAATTTATAACACACTGCATGAATAACCCGCACCCAGATGGCGCGTGTTTTCCCCAACTAGTCTGCAAGCTCTCATTCCTTCTGAATTCTAATACTATTTGGGGGGACATGAAAATTTTAGTGGCAGACGGATACGATACGATATAGATATGACGATACAACAAAATCCAAAAAAAATAGGATACAGATACGGCCAGGATACATCTATACTATTATCTATTTTCTACAAAAATTTATCCTTATATTTAATATAACAATTATAATTTATAAAGTAACAAGTGAATCACACAGCTATAAAGACACGGTAACTACTAACTAACCATTCGATCCTTCATACATTATACACATGCATAATTTCCAACAAGTTTGCATAGCCAAAAAGAAAAAAAAGACACCATGTTAGCATAAACAAAAGAAACACCAACAGGCAACAATTCAAAACAATTTACAAATAAAAGGGTACTTCAGATTGCGTGACTATGCAACAATGTTGAAGTGGAGATTCTCAAACAAACACCAACAGGTCCAACACCAAGCTACACATCCGACAATGTTGCACTAAAACATTCACAAGTCTGTTTTTCATTTGTTCCTAATTTATGTGAACAAAAAAGGGAAAAAAAAACCCTTATTTCAAATTGCAAAAAAAAATCCTAATTGCAAATACCAATGTTTTAAAACCCAACGCGACCCGTCCCGTCCGGGATTTAGTTTCTTTGTTCTCATCCATTTGAGATGTTCCATTGCTTGAACAAGGTGACTCTTTGTCTTGTCAAATTTGTGGGGTTGTAGGGGTTAATCATCTATAGCATTGGCTAGTGGCTTGTGGGTGATCGATCAACACCCATTTTTCTTAGCATATTATTGATGTGGGTTTTTGTTTGATCTAATAATTATATGTTGAGCATATTTATTACTATTAATAATTATTTATTATTTTTTTATTATATGATCAGTTCGACCAGGGTTGAAAGACAAAGAAATATGCGGAGAGACGGGGAGAGAGAGGAGAGAGAATCAATGCCCTAATCCGAACAGTACTTGGATAGTAGATTGGACTGAATCAAAAACCCTCAAAAAGCCCCCAACAATCTCAAAATTCCATTTTGACCTCACTCAAAGCGACTTTTTTCGTTGAAGTCGAAACAAATCTCCTTCGATCTCACAGTCTCGAACAAGAGAAAGGAGAGAGCTTACTGATCTCTATGGATTTCACTGTGATACTTGATGTTTGATAAAGAAGGAGAGGGAGGAAAGAGAAAGATCGCAATCGAAAGGGTGCGACGTTGGAGGCAAGACTTCGTCGAACGTGGGTTTTGGTCTGAGGACTTCTTCACCTCATTAGACATGAGATTTCCTTTTTGTTTTTTTTTATTTTTTTTTTTTCCAGATAAGGCCATTAATTTTTTGCTCCGGTGCCCCTGATTTTTTTAAAAAATACACATTAAACTCCACCATATCTTAGGACGTATCCTAACCATATCCCAATGTATTGAAACGTAATGGTGGTGTATCCAAAATTCAAACTTTAGTTTTTTTATTAAAGGATACACCCCCTGGTATATCGGATATGTTATCAAACGCGTATTGGTATCCGATACCGATACTTCTACCCTTTTGAAGTATTTGTGTTTCATAGGTATCCGATACCGATACTTCTACCCTTTTGAAGTATCTGTGCTTCATAGGTGACAAAGTAGCCTTAAAATCGCTAGTAATGAAGAGCTATGTTCTCTTGATGCATTAATTCTTAAAACGAAATGAAGAGTGTTGAACTTTTTCCTTCCGTCTCTTCTCCTAGTGGTAACTGGAGATTGATCTAACCACCTTCCTCATCTCTTCTCTTCATTAAAAATGACCACTTAAGAATAACAAACCAGGTCTCCACTATCTCAAGTAGCCAAAACAAAAAAAAAAACTGCGCTGAAATGATACATAGTTTTTTCGAGGAACTTGGTCCTAAGAATGCACCACTAATCAATCTGGTCAGATTAATCCAGGAAGATAATTATCTTGGCCACTGATTGGTCCTGGTCTTAAAATTTTAGCTATGTGACATAACCCTATCAGTCATGGGGGGACATCTCCCTGCAGCAACTGCATGCATAAATGACATAACCTGATCATAGACACTTGTAAACATATACATATAATGAATCAAAAGACTATTGCAAATTAAACTTCATATTTCCTCCTCTCTCCCCCTATCAAATCTTCTTCAGCCAGAAACAGTAATAAAGCAGATATCAATCTTAACTAGTAGTTTTTAGCACCAACAGAAGATAATAATTTTTTTTTTTTTAAATTTGGTGAGGCATAATTTTAAACTCATTTGCTTTAATTATACATCTCAGTTAAAAGACCNCCCTATCAAATCTTCTTCAGCCAGAAACAGTAATAAAGCAGATATCAATCTTAACTTGTAGTTTTTAGCACCAACAGAAGATAATAATTTTTTTTTTTAAAAATTTGGTGAGGCATAATTTTAAACTCATTTGCTTTAATTATACATCTCAGTTAAAAGAGCNATATAAAAAGTCAAACAGACACTCTTAATATTGACCACACTTCACCAAGAATAATCAAACCCTACATGTAAATCACAACGGCTAATTTATGTCATAGAAAAATATTAGAGAGAGAGAGAGAGAGACAGGTGTTTGGTTGCATGAATATGGAGAGCACCCAAAACTTAATAATGTCAACTTCAAGGTGCTGCATCCTCCAACTTTGACAGATAGCTTGTGTCTTCATTTGGTATTAACTTTAACTAATATCAATTGCAGTGCCAACAATCACTAGAAGGATTCATTAATATGCCATTTTGAGGAGAAGGCCAGGAAGTCCAAAATCTAGATTCATACTTGGCCGATAAATGTGAGTCTACCAAGCATCCCAAATCCCAAGTGTTTGTTCCAAATTCTTATTACAAAAATGCTGAGTAACTTTGCAGCACGTTCTGGGAAAACCATAACGCCAAGTTTGAAGTTATTACCACTGTTGCTTCTACTAGAAATAGGATACCTATTTCAACAATCACATGGTACACATTTAATATTCACAGTTTAAACAGCAAAATACCTGGCAACAAACTGAAACTCTGAATATGATCAGCCTCAACTCCAGAAACTACATCACCACTGTCACATCAGCAGAGATACTTGTAAGAAAAAAACTCCATGGAGTCCAGANATGGAGCAGATTCCCCATTACATATAAAAAGTCAAACAGACACTCTTAATATTGACCACACTTCACCAAGAATAATCAAACCCTACATGTAAATCACAACGGCTAATTTATGTCATAGAAAAATATTAGAGAGAGAGAGAGAGAGACAGGTGTTTGGTTGCATGAATATGGAGAGCACCCAAAACTTAATAATGTCAACTTCAAGGTGCTGCATCCTCCAACTTTGACAGATAGCTTGTGTCTTCATTTGGTATTAACTTTAACTAATATCAATTGCAGTGCCAACAATCACTAGAAGGATTCATTAATATGCCATTTTGAGGAGAAGGCCAGGAAGTCCAAAATCTAGATTCATACTTGGCCGATAAATGTGAGTCTACCAAGCATCCCAAATCCCAAGTGTTTGTTCCAAATTCTTATTACAAAAATGCTGAGTAACTTTGCAGCACGTTCTGGGAAAACCATAACGCCAAGTTTGAAGTTATTACCACTGTTGCTTCTACTAGAAATAGGATACCTATTTCAACAATCACATGGTACACATTTAATATTCACAGTTTAAACAGCAAAATACCTGGCAACAAACTGAAACTCTGAATATGATCAACCTCAACTCCAGAAACTACATCACCACTGTCACATCAGCAGAAATACTTGTAAGAAAAAAACTCCATGGAGTCCACANCCTGGTATATCGGATATGTTATCAAACGCGTATTGGTATCCGATACCGATACTTCTACCCTTTTGAAGTATCTGTGCTTCATAGGTGACAAAGTAGCCTTAAAATCGCTAGTAATAANTAAGAGAAACATTGATGTCAATAGAAGAGTCTGTTAAAATAATATCTTTCAAATTATCTGCTTTTGGGTGGTCGCGGCAATCAAATTTTAGCTTCACGTGTAGAGGTCTCATGAAGATAAATTCTCCCAGATCCACGTTTGCCTTCAATAAATACTGAATGCATGGATCTCTTCCCATCCTTCCACTTCCCTTCAGGTTCAAAATATTTGCTAGCCTATCCATTTTTTCTTCCCCACTTTCCTCACCAGAATTGGGATTCCGTTTCATTTTTAAATACAGTGCCGCACAAACAATGACCTGGGTTTTAAGAATCAGAAATAAAACGGTAATCGTAAAATTCAAAATAATCAACTCAGGAAACCTAAAAATGCTGCGACAAGAAAATAGATTTTGTTAGCTGCCATAAAACACAATGCATATGAAATATTTCTTAAATGGTGAAGGCATCAATGTGCAAAAAGATGCCCCACACTGATGGAATTGCAGTGTACTAAACAAGCAAGAAATGAGCTTTGCCTACAGCGTTCAAATTTGTAACTTTCTTCTAAAAACATGTAGCCTAAACTAAACTGAATTTATAACACACTGCATGAATAACCCGCACCCAGATGGCGCGTGTTTTCCCCAACTAGTCTGCAAGCTCTCATTCCTTCTGAATTCTAATACTATTTGGGGGGACATGAAAATTTTAGTGGCAGACGGATACGATACGATATGGATATGACGATACAACAAAATCCAAAAAAAATAGGATACAGATACGGCCAGGATACATCTATACTATTATCTATTTTCTAAAAAAATTTATCCTTATATTTAATATAACAATTATAATTTATAAAGTAACAAGTGAATCACACAGCTATAAAGACACGGTAACTACTAACTAACCATTCGATCCTTCATACATTATACACATGCATAATTTCCAACAAGTTTGCATAGCCAAAAAGAAAAAAAAGACACCATGTTAGCATAAACAAAAGAAACACCAACAGGCAACAATTCAAAACAATTTACAAATAAAAGGGTACTTCAGATTGCGTGACTATGCAACAATGTTGAAGTGGAGATTCTCAAACAAACACCAACAGGTCCAACACCAAGCTACACATCCGACAATGTTGCACTAAAACATTCACAAGTCTGTTTTTCATTTGTTCCTAATTTATGTGAACAAAAAAAGGAAAAAAAACCCTTATTTCAAATTGCAAAAAAAATCCTAATTGCAAATACCAATGTTTTAAAACCCAACCCGACCCGTCCCGTCCGGGATTTAGTTTCTTTGTTCTCATCCATTTGAGATGTTCCATCGCTTGAACAAGGTGACTCTTTTTCTTGTCAAATTTGTGGGGTTGTAGGGGTTAATCATCTATAGCATTGGCTAGTGGCTTGTGGGTGATCGATCAACACCCATTTTTCTTAGCATATTATTGATGTGGGTTTTTGTTTGATCTAATAATTATATGTTGAGCATATTTATTACTATTAATAATTATTTATTATTTTTTTATTATATGATTAGTTCGACCAGGGTTGAAAGGCAAAGAAATATGCGGAGAGACGGGGAGAGAGAGGAGAGAGAATCAATGCCCTAATCCGAACAGTACTTGGATAGTAGATTGGACTGAATCAAAAACCCTCAAAAAGCCCCCAACAATCTCAAAATTCCATTTTGACCTCACTCAAAGCGACTTTTTTCGTTGAAGTCGAAACAAATCTCCTTCGATCTCACAGTCTCGTACAAGAGAAAGGAGAGAGCTTACTGATCTCTATGGATTTCACTGTGATACTTGATGTTTGATAAAGAAGGAGAGGGAGGAAAGAGAAAGATCGCAATCGAAAGGGTGCGACATTGGAGGCAAGACTTCGTCGAACGTGGGTTTTGGTCTGAGGACTTCTTCACCTCATTAGACATGAGATTTCCTTTTTGTTTTTTTTTATCTTTTTTTTTTTCCAGATAAGGCCATTAATTTTTTGCTCCGGTGCCCCTGATTTTTTTAAAAAATGCACATTAAACTCCACCATATCTTAGGACGTATCCTAACCATATCCCAATGTATTGAAACGTAATGGTGGTGTATCCAAAATTCAAACTTTAGTTTTTTTATTAAAGGATACACCCCCTGGTATATCGGATATGTTATCAAACGCGTATTGGTATCCGATACCGATACTTCTACCCTTTTGAAGTATTTGTGTTTCATAGGTATCCGATACCGATACTTCTACCCTTTTGAAGTATCTGTGCTTCATAGGTGACAAAGTAGCCTTAAAATCGCTAGTAATGAAGAGCTATGTTCTCTTGATGCATTAATTCTTAAAACGAAATGAAGAGTGTTGAACTTTTTCCTTCCGTCTCTTCTCCTAGTGGTAACTGGAGATTGATCTAACCACCTTCCTCATCTCTTCTCTTCATTAAAAATGACCACTTAAGAATAACAAACCAGGTCTCCACTATCTCAAGTAGCCAAAACAAAAAAGAAAACTGCGCTGAAATGATACATAGTTTTTTCGAGGAACTTGGTCCTAAGAATGCACCACTAATCAATCTGGTCAGATTAATCCAGGAAGATAATTATCTTGGCCACTGATTGGTCCTGGTCTTAAAATTTTAGCTATGTGACATAACCCTATCAGTCATGGGGGGACATCTCCCTGCAGCAACTGCATGCATAAATGACATAACCTGATCATAGACACTTGTAAACATATACATATAATGAATCAAAAGACTATTGCAAATTAAACTTCATATTTCCTCCTCTCTCCCCCTATCAAATCTTCTTCAGCCAGAAACAGTAATAAAGCAGATATCAATCTTAACTTGTAGTTTTTAGCACCAACAGAAGATAATAATTTTTTTTTTTAAAAATTTGGTGAGGCATAATTTTAAACTCATTTGCTTTAATTATACATCTCAGTTAAAAGAGCTTTGGATCCACCATTAAAGCCCCATGTCCAAAAATTATAACCTCTTTTCAGCCGTTTGTAGAGATGCCTCATACAGTTTCATATATATTCTTTGTCGCTAATAAGCGTTAGTTTTAACCTATAGGACCATATCCCAATAGTTTTTTGCTATGAAATTGTTGAACTCAATAGTTAATCAACTTTTGTTCAATTTGGAGTAAATTTCTATTTTACCATAATTTCAGTGCGAGTAGCCTCGCTGAAGTCTCGAACTCTCCATGCTTTTGGAAGGTTCACACTGAGAGATAAGCAAATAGGCATTTTAACAAGCATACCTCGCTTGTTCCTGGACTTGTATTGACAGCACAATTAATACCAATTCTTCCCTCTTGTTTTTTATCATCTGTAGCTTTGCTTTCCTCTTCTGCACTCAAATATATATCCGGAGTTGACAATGCAAGGTTATCCAACTCATCATACCACGTTTGGGCAACACCAACCTGCACACATCCATAGGTTTTAATTCTTGACTTCTAAGCTAGTAAAACTCTAAATAATTCCACAATGGTCTAATACTAGACATCTTAAAAGATATATTCAAACAAAGAAATGAATTAAACTGATTAAAACACTGGTAGATACCTTCTCTGATGATGATACCCTGCTCTCTGCCACCGAGACTTCAGCAGCGGCCCCTCTAGCCTGGCGCCATACACAACCTTCTTGTAATTGCTCTACAAGTTCCATATCTTCTGGGATATCTACATTCAACCGTATATCAATCCTACCTGTTTCACAAGGAGTAAAGAAGCAATCACTAAAACTGATAACCATGTCGAACCTGCAATCTACACGTCAGTTAAAAACCTCAAGATATGGGAGCCAAAATTCAATTCAAGAGAGAAAGAAAAGAAAAGAAAATAAAGAGGATACCAGTTCCGATTCATTTCGCATTCAATAAGGAAATCTGAAGCAGTATTGGCCAATTTATAGGCAAAACCCAAATAATGACCATTGAAATCACACCTCACTCCCCACCAGCTGTATCAAGTGGGTCTTCCATTTCCCCACAAGTATGGGAAAAAATGGAGCAGATTCCCCATTACATATAAAAAGTCAAACAGACACTCTTAATATTGACCACACTTCACCAAGAATAATCAAACCCTACATGTAAATCACAACGGCTAATTTATGTCATAGAAAAATATTAGAGAGAGAGAGAGAGAGACAGGTGTTTGGTTGCATGAATATGGAGAGCACCCAAAACTTAATAATGTCAACTTCAAGGTGCTGCATCCTCCAACTTTGACAGATAGCTTGTGTCTTCATTTGGTATTAACTTTAACTAATATCAATTGCAGTGCCAACAATCACTAGAAGGATTCATTAATATGCCATTTTGAGGAGAAGGCCAGGAAGTCCAAAATCTAGATTCATACTTGGCCGATAAATGTGAGTCTACCAAGCATCCCAAATCCCAAGTGTTTGTTCCAAATTCTTATTACAAAAATGCTGAGTAACTTTGCAGCACGTTCTGGGAAAACCATAACGCCAAGTTTGAAGTTATTACCACTGTTGCTTCTACTAGAAATAGGATACCTATTTCAACAATCACATGGTACACATTTAATATTCACAGTTTAAACAGCAAAATACCTGGCAACAAACTGAAACTCTGAATATGATCAGCCTCAACTCCAGAAACTACATCACCACTGTCACATCAGCAGAGATACTTGTAAGAAAAAAACTCCATGGAGTCCAGAAGATATAAAATTAAACTCATCACTCCTAAAAAACAAGAATACTTACACAAGATAAACCCTATCCAAAGAAAATGACAACCAATAAGGTAGACCAAGGATCCCAAAGTTTGAGAACTGGAAACTTGAAATCAACCCAGATTTTCTACTCACTTTCAATATCCTCTGGCAAACTTTGGACAGACACTTATCAGCAAACCAATCAACTACAAGAAGGCATTTAGTACATAAAAGAACTAGAATGTATTGCATCCTTTGGATGTATCGGTACCTGTATCACAAATGACTGTATGATCATGAAAGGTTGCTACCGTGGATATGGAATCAGCATATGGAATTCCCTCCAATGAACAATTAGAACCATCCTGAAGCTGCAACCAATCACATGGCATCTGCTTCAAGAGGGACAATTTTTCCTCAATCACCTGTCCACAGATCTCCAAAATCTTTGGAAATCCTTTGTAGATTAATGAGTTAAAAACAGACAGCATAGCTGACATAAATAGAGAAAAAGAAAAACATAGGGAGGTTACATTCCAAACCTTTGGTAACTTGTTTGATAACCCCCGAGACCAAATCCATTATCCATAAAGTTTCAAAGCTGCAAAAAAAAAAAACTAATCAACAACAACCACTCTAAAGCTTGCATTATTGATGAATTATGATGGACGTCAGACATGCAGGTCAGCAGTGGAATTGTAGTTCATAAAAGAAAATATATAAATACTCGTAGTGGACAATTTGGACAAGCACTGAGCAAAACTGAGAATTGAAAAAGGTCTGCCAGCTTTGTTTATAATTTTGTTCATTGGAATTCTGAACCTCATCCCATAAAGACAACATGTAACAATTGTGGTGAATCTCTTTTTCTTTTATATTTTACTCTTCAGTTTTCAGTGCTAGGTCACAAAATAGGAGAAGGAAAGAAGCAAAACAGAAAAACAGCAACATCGGCTCCAAACAAGCATTTCCAGCCTTGACGATTCTGAGGTTGAGAAAGTGAGATTAGCAAAGCCTCAGCAATCAGAAAAAGTATATTTCCACAGCTACCTGGCAGGAGTCTTTGTAAAGTAGCAGAAAGATTAGTGTTGATGCTGACTGTCTAAAATCTTTAATGCTCATAATAAACCAATCAGAACAGCCGAAATGGTTTATTATAGAATTTATAACCGATCAAGAATATCCTTTGCCATTATGTTGTCAGAATGGGCTTTTCATGAAGCCAAAAAAACAGCTCCGGCTTCTTCCATCAGGGGAGTATGGTCTTGATACATAAAGCATTTCTGCCGAAGAATAATCCTTGAAGAATCCGGACTAGAAAACCTACACATGCTTTGGATTCCAGCGAGCAGCATGACATTTAACAAAGTCAAGTAAAAATGTCTAAATTTTAGTTGGAGTTTTTTGTGGTCTACAACATTCCTAACAGTCAAATATTCTTAGTTTCCCCATTTTAAGTCATAGTCTTTTGAGTAGTTAGAGAGAGTTTCAAACTCTAATTATACATTTAACCAAAACAATTTAATGCTGCTGATTTATGAGAATTGCGTTATGTTGTATGATGTTCCCTAACTCTTGTGAGTCTTAACCTTATTCTTCTTCTTCACTTTCGTCTTCCTCCTCTTGTTGTTCTTCTTTGTATACTTAGTGCAATAATAAAGCCTTTTAAAAGCCATAACTTTAACTGCTAACACAATACCATCCCTCAATAACTTCAAGTTAACAAATCCAAGAGACCCATGAGAAGGCCTTGTTAATGTTCACAGCCTGAAATAGTGACCCAAACCTGCTCTTACTTGCCCAGCTTCAACCTCAACCTTACCATCTTCTTACACCTTTCCTAATCTGAAAGCACATATCTTTTTATCAGCCTTTTAGCTACAAAACCTAGAGATAACATCCGTAAAGGTCACATTCAAGTTTGGACTTCCACTTTCTAGGAGTATGTTATACCACTTGCCCTACATCAATATCAACCAACATGAGAGACCTTGAAGTGGGTAAACGAAGCATCAAAAAGAAACTAGCAACCATTAAATTCATTTAAGAAAGATATGACACTTCCAGTATTTTTTGTTACCTGCGGTTAAGAATCAAAATATCATCATCCGATGATTTCATCACATGCCAAGGAAATAAAAATGATTCCGGACCAAGATCCTCAGACTTCATCTCATCATCACTTTTCATCTGAAACTTATCCATGATCCAGCTCCATAGAGTGTTATTCTTCTTATTACTGTTAGATATAGGATAAATTGTCTCCAAAACTCTCCTCTCCAGATCAGCTTTCCTGATGGCATGGTTCTTCAAAGACAGACAAAACATGATAATATAGAACATAATCATATTGGGGGGAAGGAAAAAAGAACAGATCAGAAAACCAAGCAACAAAAAAAATTAAATAGAAAGTTCAAGATTTACATCTAACCTTAGGACAAAAAAATAATAGCAAGATGAGATAGTTGCAAGAGAACATCATCTTAGGCATATTAATGAAAAAAACTTGAAGATATAGGGAATCAGAGTAATTTGAATACAATCCTTGACTTTGAGTTATAGCTCATTACAATTTGGGTTTTGGCCAAAGAGATACTATTAGCTAAATTAATTCCCCTGTTAACAGTTAACATGCTTGTAGAAATAATTCCCACTCTAGTTTTATTTTTTTCATGTCAGCTATTATGTGATCTTAGGCATATTAATGAAAAAAACTTGAAGATATAGGGAATCAGAGTAATTTGAATACAATCCTTGACTTTGAGTTATAGCTCATTACAATTTGGGTTTTGGCCAAAGAGATACTATTAGCTAAATTAATTCCCCTGTTAACAGTTAACATGCTTGTAGAAATAATTCCCACTCTAGTTTTATTTTTTTCATGTCAGCTATTATGTGATCTTAGGCATATTAATGAAAAAAACTTGAAGATATAGGGAATCAGAGTAATTTGAATACAATCCTTGACTTTGAGTTATAGCTCATTACAATTTGGGTTTTGGCCAAAGAGATACTATTAGCTAAATTAATTCCCCTGTTAACAGTTAACATGCTTGTAGAAATAATTCCCACTCTAGTTTTATTTTTTTCATGTCAGCTATTATGTGGTGAGATCTCCCTCCCTCCGTGTATTTGCCTATTTGTCTGTAGATGATGAACAAGCTACAGTTTCTTATAGCCATTGATAGATCAATGCCATCTTTCAATTGCATAGGAACTGTAAGTATGTTTTTCTGTTTGGTACTGCATCTATAACTTTTACATTTTGAGTTCATTTTTCAATGTATGTCTATCAGTAGCATTTACAAACAAAAGTGAGGCCTCCTACCATATATGGTGGGTGTGCTTAAGTGAAATTGAAGGAAAAAATATTGGTAGGGGATCTGGGAAGGCTTTCGGCAATCACATTTAAAATTGTCTCTTAGATCATAAAATCAATTCAAACAGGGTTTTGTTTTTGACATGGGTGACATGGCTAAACTAACATTAGGATTGGAATTATTTTTCAAATAAAGATTAACTTCTGCCTATAGTTAGCAATTCAAGTAAGTACATCGAAACATCAAATGGAAGGAGTTCAAAGTCACAATATGTATCATACATAAGTCAAAAACTTCTGCAAACGTACCTCTGAGTCCGCAAAATATAAGCAATCCTCCGCAGCCTGATAAAATGAAGCTGCAGGACGCACTAACTTGGCTGATTCAAACTCTCCATCCTCAAAACCAGGAGAAGAACCAATCTGACAGAGAAACAGCATAAATGTGATAAAAGTTTCCAACCCCACTTTGCTCTATTCTAGAATTTGAAAATTTGCATTCAACTTCAACACTCAGATAGTACAACTTTCTTACATACACAGTCTAAAATCTTCCCATTGCCGTCAAAGATAATTATCCGATGATGATTGGTGTCTGATAAGAACAAGCGATTGCCAGTTTCGTCAACAGATATGCAACCTGTAATGAAGTGCAGCATAGTTTCAGAATGTAAAGCTCCAAGTCATTCTTATCTAAAGAAGTTCATTCTATTCTCATGGACCAACAAATATAGGAATTCAACCTTTAGGAGAAAGCTTCAATGGTGTGTTAGGTGTAGGACTAGGAGGTGTAATGAAAGCATGGATCACTTAATCCTTCATTGCCGTATAGAGTTACATTTGTTGTAAAAGGTTTTGAGGGAGGCAGTTTGGCTTGGGTTATCACACATGATTGTGTTTCCTTGGAGAAAGATTTGACGGTTTTGGGAAAGGCGAAAGGGCTTCAACATTGTGAGGCTGAGTTATTATGCCATTCTTTTGGGTGGGCTGGATGGAAAGCAATAGCATCTGTGAAGATAAACCAGAGCTTGTAGAGTTTTTATGGGAGAGAGTCAAGTTCATGGTGTCTTTGTGGGCTGCTGCATCTAATGATTTTCATTCCTGTTTTTGTAGATCCATTGTAACTGGAAAGCAGTCTGCCCTTGATGGAGGTTTATAGTATTCTTTTTCTGCTTTTTTGTTTATCGGATGGATATCTTGTCCGCTTAACTGTACCTGCTCTTGATGTTAATAAAAGTTCTTGTTTTCCATTGAAAAAAAACCTAAGTTTTGCTCATTTCCTGCTTATTTAGGTAAATTAAACCTGCAGATATCTAGCTGTAGATCATCACTTATCACGACCTATACCTATAAATAAAAAGAAATGCATTTATTGCCTGTGGTGTACAGAGGAACATGACCAATTTATCAACTCAAGGTAGACTTTGGCCAATGAAAAAGAGCATGCAGCACCTTCCAACACAATTATATTCGTCTTCCTACTGGCAATAGTCCACCAACAAAAAGCACGTTAAAAGGGCATTTGAGGCAGCAGTCACCAAACCTCAATGAGTGACAGGACGAAGGCTCATAAATAATAATAACATAGCCAACTGGCAAGAAGATACATATGCTCAATCTACCACGTGGCATCAGTACACATTAACTGTCCCTAAATTATGTCCAAGTAAACAAAGACCAGACTGGTCCTAGAATTTAAGTAAGTTACGGGGGCATGGAGATAGACACCTTATTCATTAGTCTATATTTCAAAAAAGTGGAACTATGAAGGTCATAGTAACATACCCATCTGAAAAGGAAAGACCATCATGGACCACAGAAAAGCAACCAATACAGCATTTGAAACCTAGTCAATCTCGGCTTAAATACGTTTCTTGTCAAGTAGGAATCCAGGTCGATATGGCTACTAATTTTCTCTATCCTTGTTAAGATCAGTTACGGTCATCCATACTTCATTACCAATTTTACATGTCCCACCCTTCATTTATTCGAACAACTTAATAATAATACACACCCATGTTCCAGACAGGAGTTGATTATTGCACTTCCCTCTTTCATAGTGACAAGAACCACTCATCCATCCAGGAAAAAAAAATTGTCCAAAGGGGCGTATCCAAACATCCCATAAACAGTAGGGGCTTCAACAGCCCCAAAAAAGAATGGAAAATACAAGGTTGGTGAATATTGGAAAAAGTTAGTAGCACGAGAAGACCGATAACTCACAAATTAGATATACTTTATAGGCAAATTCAGCCTTAGAAACTATACCTGGGAAGTAAAGGAGTAAGTTCCGAAAGGTAGAACAAACATAAGGTTCCTTTATGAGTTCAATTTGCTTTACCCAAGTGCTTTTCAAGTTATGGATCAGCTTAGGTTTCTCATTGTGCTGCAAATTTAACTCCTTGATAGCTGCAAATATGACATCAAAATGAGAATAGACGAACACAGAGACATAACTCACTGATAAGGGCCAAATTTAACACTTTCCAGATCAAGCTAAGCACCAAATGACTAGAACTTCCATGTATGGACAAACACGTGAAATATGTCTAAACTATGACAAGACCAACACAGACACAACCAGGGGATATTACAGGCATTATCCTTGGAGCTATAGCACGTTGCAACTCCATTCTTTGGACATAAATATCACATTACAGCTATAGCATGTGGACTCCATTCTCCTTCATACCTTAGGTTGGGCTTTCAATCCTATGTAGAACTCATGGATGTCCATTAAACCTCTTCCTTTTTTTTCCTCCTTTTTGTAGGTATTTTGTGTACAAAGCCTTGAAAGCTCCCAACTTGGGAAGAAAAACTAACAGAATTGCTTTCACTAGTGACTTGATGTCTCATACTCTCATCTTCTTGCTCAATTCATTTCCAGTTTTATTTCTTTAAATAAGTTACATATTTCAAAACAAAAATAAAAACAAAGGAATCCTCAATTTGTGGTTGACGTAGGAACAGGAAACGCCAACTCACCACACTATCCCAACTATGTAATAACAGCATTATCAAGATTTCCCTATTTTCGAGCAACGCCAACTCACCACACTATAACAGCATTATCTCCATTTTCTTTCTTTACTTTTTTTTTAAAAAAAGAAAAGAAAACATCTACAACAGTCAAAAAACATAATTGATCCTTATATTGTTGCTAAGAGAGTCAAATCGAAATGGAAAAAAGGAAGAGTGTGCATACCTTCATCAATTAACTTTAAGTCTGCATACTTCTTATGGTAGCACAAAGGACTCTTAAAATCTTTAAATATGATGTAGCATGCCTCATTTGGTAACTAAACACAACCGACAAAAATGATCCAAATGAGAACAACTGAGAAGGGAGCTGATCACTTATTTAACAGCATAATGCCAAGCAGACAAGGAATAATTAGCAATCAAATTAAAAAGAATAGAAAACACAACCATTTGTATGTTTATGCTTTCTCTCCACAAAATTAACTCTAATTTCCAGAGTATAGTTCATGGATTTAAACAACAAGATAATTACATATGTTTATGCATGATATGGCAAAAAAAAAAACCAATAAGAAATATATTAATGCAATTAAATAAATACATAACAAATGCATAACATGATTAGGCAATAATGTACTGGGTAGGGAACCAATAATTTGAATTCAAAAGTACAGTTGTTTTACCAACTAAAGAAATATAAAGACATGTCTTTCTTTGGCCTATCAAAGTAATAAATCATAAGGCACACTAAGCATTACCAATGGCAAGAAGTCCAACAGCTTTTCAAATCTCTTGTGCATTCTTTCAGAAGACTAACGAATACTCAAATGTCAGGTAGTATTATGATAACATAATGCAGTAGTGCATGTGTTTAACAAAGGAACACCTTGTTTCAAATACACAAATGAAGGATGAACACGTCACCTCAGAAATATTCTTGCTAGACAATAAAACAGGGAATGTAATGTATTCCTTCATGATAATCTCCAGGAGACGCGTACAAACAGCCTCTGAGCAAATTGAACTGATAGACTGAAAACACATAATGTGAAGTGCAGGATACCTGCAACAGCAGAGATTTGAAGTGCAGAGTGATCTACCTGCTTCATCAAACCCTAAGAACATTCAAGTCTAGTGAAATAATAGTAACCCATTTCTACCTCTGCTGAAGTGCTTTTGCTTTTTTGAGCATAGTGACAGGACTGCAGTCTGATTCTAGAGAGTCCTCGAAGAGTGCACCAGGAAGAAGCAAGAAGATTCCATCTTTACTAAAAAAATTGGTATCCTCAGCTTTATTCAGCCAACAATGATAAGGGCCTGTATTCTCGTTTCATACTTTGGAAAATAAGCACAATCAGGTTGTCTACTACAGGATCAAGAAACTGGAAAACATGCGTGAATCAACGACGTTTTTCCTAACAAAATGGAAGGAAGAGATTGATAGTGCTAGTCTAGTAGAACATCTTGTCTCAAAAGCAAGGGCTTTGTCTAATTGAGTTGTCAAGTGCAAGAGCAGACGGGCAAACTGGTGCACACTTAGGAGCTATAATGCTAAGCTTTGGGGGCTAGTCCACCTTCTTTATATGATCTGGCACACGGATTTTAATACAATTCAGCGGTGGATGCAGCTTGATGTGTGAACGAACAGCAACATATTCCGCCATTCATAAATCCCCTGCCCTTAGATCAACACATTATGCTGCTCGCAAACAAAACAATAACATGTCCAGCTACCAAATCAAATACTGCAGAAAGATCAACCAATAAAGATTCAAATTAGAAGCCCCCAAAAAAGTCTCAAAAAATGCACAGAGTTATTCAAGCTAGGATTCAACATCGATACAATATTGCGAGTGCGAGACTATAATTAAAGTCCAAGACAAAATGTACTAACCAGTAGAGTAATGAAACCCTAGATACGATGCAGCGAATGCGAACACTATAAACCGTGAGGATTAGGGTTTGGAGAAAAAAAAAACCGAGTGATAATGGATAGCAATTTGTCAGCAAGCGGTGGTGATGAATGGTAGTGAGGTCTGAGGATTGGGTATGTGCGAACCTGGTTTTTCACATCAAAATAGTCCCCTCTCTCTCTCTCGTACCAAAGAATGTAACGGCCGAATAAGTGGGGGCACAGCACAAATCCAAACAGAGAGGGGTCTCTCTTGTCGCTGTTTTTGGGCCACTCTAGGCCCAAATAAGAAGATTCGACGTACGGACATGGATAAGCAATTATGCACCGGACGGAGCAGAAGTATTGCAACTCAAACTCGATCCGATCCATCCACCCCACAACCGCCTTTGATTTTTCATGTTTTTTNGATTCGACGTACGGACATGGATAAGCAATTATGCACCGGACGGAGCAGAAGTATTGCAACTCAAACTCGATCCGATCCATCCACCCCACAACCGCCTTTGATTTTTCATGTTTTTGGTAAATAATCGTTTTTTTAAAACGCAAAAGTATTTGACTGAGACTTATCTTCTGTTAATTTTTAACAGATAAAATTTAAATTTTAAATAATGATATTTTATTTAATAAAACNCCCACAACCGCCTTTGATTTTTCATGTTTTTTGTAAATAATCGTTTTTTTTAAACACAAAAGTATTTGACTGAGACTTATCTTCTGTTAATTTTTAACAGATAAAATTTAAATTTTAAATAATGATATTTTATTTAATAAAATAATATTATTTTGAATTGAAACAAGGCTATTTTAATTGATAATACTTGGAGTTAGACTCAAAGTATTTGAACTCGATCCCACCCACCTACCCACACGGCTTTTATATATATATATATATATATATATATATATTTTGGGTCATCCATCACTTTTATACAGGGGGTGTAACTCGGGTGGGTTGGACAGGTTAAATAGTTAATCTTAATCCAACCCTAAATATATAATCTTCAACCCTAACTTTAACCCGAATCGTACCTCTGAAGGGCTCAACCAGAGCACTGTCCGAGTTTAATTTTGGGCGGCTCGGGTTGAATTTAGATTATTGATTTCGGGCTGATTTTGATTTATTTTACGAGTTTAATTTGAGTTGAGTTCAGGTTGAGCCCCACATAAACTTATTGTTCTAAACCTGATACATATATAATATTCATCTAAATTAACAATTAACCATATCAATCAAGTTTTTAACATAAAAATCATAATATTAAAAACTCAATGTTTGAGATAATACAACAATAGTCATACAAAACACAAACAAAATTTTTTGCATAAATATAGACTTGAGATTAATCTTAGGATAAAATTATATTTATATAATATTAATTCGGGTTGAACTTGATTTTAATATTTAGGATTCAACCTATGAACCCGATGGCTCAACCCAAGGTCCGTCCAAATTAAATTCGAGTTGAGATTTTTTGATCTGAACTCAATTAAAATATTAAAAATTTTAATCCAAACTCTAAATTTTTCGGATAAGACTGGAGTTAAAGTCGGGTTAACTCGCCCAAGTCTTACCCTACTTTTGTATCATTTTTAACATTTTCTCCTCATTTTGGGCCTGCTATCGTCCTCTGAAACCCTAATATCAGTCCTGTTCTAAACCCTCTCCCGCTCTATCTCCCTCGCCCCGCCCTCTCCCCCCCTCCCCCCACCTTCTGAGCCGACGTCTGCCTTTCACAGTAAGAGCAAAAAATGGTGAAGAGAAGTAAAAGTATGCTACCCTAGTCTTCTCTTCATGCGTATATGTGTGTGTGTGCTTGTGCAGGAATGTGATTTTTTGTTGTGTAGTTCGATTGATTTTTTTGATATAATTGCAGAGAGTAAGAGCAAGAGAGTATCGTTGAAGCAGAAGTACAAGGTCATACGGAAGGTGAAGGAGCACCACAAAAAGAAGGCGAAAGACGCCAAGAAGCGGGGCTTGAACCGCAAGCCCAAGGTCGAGAAGGACCCTGGTATTCCCAATGACTGGCCCTTCAAGGAACAAGAGCTTAAGGCTCTCGAAGCTCGTCGAGCTAAGGCTCTCGAGGAATTGGAGGCAAAAAAAGCCGCTCGCAAAGAGAGGGTATTGTATTCATTTGATTGACGTGGGTGTGTTAATATGTAGCATGCATATATGTTGATGGGTATACAATGCTTTGACGATTGTTGCTTAAAGCACAAGGGGACTTGATTGTTTTCTCTGTTTCTCGTTGTATTTACGGTTGACGAAGATTTCATGGAGACTCAGAGTGATTTGATTTGCTGAATGGCTTGTTGTCATGTTTGGTGCTCAGGATATTTGTTATCCATGTTTTCGGGGTAACTCTGTCTGGGTTGGGTAAATTGCTATTAGTTTTGGAGTTTATGTTTATCTTAACATCCATTTGTTTTGGCTGGAGAGTGTTCTATTGTGTAATACTTGTCTGTCAAAGCACTTTGTTGAATTCTAGGTAAGCATAATGTTCTAATTTCCTGGTTGATGGGTTTGTTGCTGTCTTGGGTTTCACCCCTTGCCTCATCTAAACAAAGACCTTTCCTATTTTGTTATTTCCCTGTGTTGCTTTGTCATTTTGTGCCTTCAGCTGTTGACTGAAAGTGATTTTGCTTACTTCTTCAGGCTCAAAAGAGAAAGTTGGGATTATTAGAGGACGGTGACATCTCGAATTTGGCTGACACCGTTTCTGTGAAAGAACAGAAATTTGGTGAGAGAAGAGTTAATAAGGATTCTACTGGAATCCCTAAGAGTAGGGGTAAGTTATCAGTTATTGTCTTTGAAATATTCATCATGGATGGAAGATAGTGTTTATATGTTGCCTTTTCTTCCAGTTTTCTTTGATTTTCTGACAGTTTGTAGTTTAAGTACAGATAACTCGGACAGGGCTTTCTACAAAGAGTTGGTGAAAGTCACTGAAGCATCAGATGTCGTGTTGGAAGTGCTTGATGCTCGAGATCCTCTTGGTACCCGATGTGTTGATATGGAAAAAATGGTGATGAAAGCCGGTCCTGATAAGCATCTTGTGTTGCTCCTCAACAAGATCGGTAATACTTCCTCCACCCCCTTACTCATCCCCCCCTTCTCTGGATTTTGTTTTGGTGGGATTTTGATTACCTATAAAATTGGACATTATGTTTCTAAAGGGTATTCCCAATTTAAAAATGTAGTTATAAACCTTATAAAACAACAACAATTACCTAATCACATTGTTGCTTTAATGCTGTAAATCACATGTTTAATGTATGACATATATTTGAGTGTTGCTTTTGCAGATTATTAACAGAGTTCAAACCAGGTTTATGACAAATAGATCATATTTTGAACTTTATTTAATGATACCACAGAATATGAGACAATGGATGTTGAGGAAATGCTTGTAGCATTTTTACTTGCATCGTCAATTATTACTACTAATTGGCACTTGCATTTTCAGACCTTGTCCCTCGGGAAGCTGCTGAAAAGTGGCTCACGTATCTTAGGGAGGAATTACCAACAATTGCATTCAAGTGCAGCACCCAAGAGCAGAAGTCAAACCTGGGGTGGAAATCTGCCTCAAAGGCTGCAAAACCAAGCAATCTTCTGCAAACTAGCGATTGCCTTGGAGCTGAAACTCTGATTAAATTACTGAAGAATTACTCAAGAAGCCATGATGTAAGCTGATAATTTATTTCAAACAGCTCTATAACATTCTTATTCTGCCAGTAATTGAGTGAAATGTAAAACTTCTGTCATGAAGTTTGTTCTTTGTTTTTCCAGTGAACTTCCATTCTAATTATGCTCCAAGGCCATCTCACATATTTGATGCATTCAATGTGTGTGTTTGTCGTTGTGTGAATATAATTGTTCTAGTGTAAGTTTGAGATGCACATGGACAAATATAGAGTGATGCTATGGTAGAAAGGTCCACTCTTTTATTGAGAAAATAACATTGTTATTGTACCATTATGAAAGCATTTTGGGTCTGTATTTGGAATTAGTGTTTATGCTACTGAAATTGTGCTATGCATAGTGGATTTACTGTTATCTGTTATCACTTATCAGTATTTGTACATCGTACTTTTCTCAGTTCCCAAGTTATTGGGATAAGACTTAGTTGAATTGAATTTTTATCCTATCCCATTGATAGCAAGTTTTACACTGCAGATCAAGAAATCAATTACAGTCGGTGTTATTGGCCTGCCTAATGTTGGCAAGAGTAGTTTGATTAATAGCTTGAAGAGATGTCATGTTGTCAATGTTGGTGCTACTCCAGGATTAACAAGGTCTATGCAAGAAATTCAGTTAGACAAGAATGTTCGGTTGTTGGATTGCCCAGGGGTTGTGATGCTTAGATCTGGAGAGAGCGATGCATCTATTGCTCTTCGAAACTGCAAGAGAATTGAGAAGTTGGATGATCCAATTGGTCCAGGTAATAAACTCCATTCCCTGTGTTTGCCATTGGATCAACCTGTTTCTCTTGTTGATGTCGAGATAAAATAAAACTTGCATGTTGGTTGGTCTTTTAAATTTCCCTAATTACTTATTTTATATTGATGTTTCTGGTGTTGGATTGCATTATGCTTCTGGGTTTAACATGGATTCCCATCATTATTAATTATACTGCTGAAATCATGGTTTGTTAAAAGTGTTACTGGTTTTTACAACCATCATTTGGGGAATTGAGGGAGGATGGATTCCACTGCAATTTAAACTTGTGACAGCTGTGATTATTTACTTACTTTGAACTTCTAAGTCTGTATGACTGTATTGGAGCCGCTTGTCCTCTGTTGTGACATATGGACCAGTCACTCTGTCTCTCTGTGTTACACAACAGTATTTACTATTTCTGGAGGGTATTTCATTTTGTTTAAGCCTCTTCAGTTAACTAGCCAATCTTNGTTACACAACAGTATTTACTATTTCTGGAGGGTATTTCATTTTGTTTAAGCCTCTTCAGTTAACTAGCCAATCTTCAATCTTAGCTTTCTGAGTATGCATGTGGACGAAAAATTGCATTACTTTGGAGTTAGCAATGGTAGAACTGCCTCTCAATCTGATCTTGTGAAACACATGCATTACCACACTTCTTGTTTTGTGTGTCTCTCTGTACATGATAGAACTACCCATTAACACGTGAAGAATGTATTTTTATTTTTCTTTTGTTTTTCCAACCACCAGATTGTAGTTTATGGGTTTGGTTAATAATACGATCCTAGATGTCAGGCACAGATTAGCATACTGATTCATCTTGCCTGGCTTGTGGACTGTGCAGTGAAGGAAATTCTCAATCTTTGTCCGGCCAGAATGTTGGTGACGTTATACAAGATCCCCAGCTTTGAAGCAGTTGATGACTTTCTTCAAAAGGTTGCGATTGTTAGGGGTAAGCTTAAAAAGGGTGGGATTGTGGATGTTGACTCTGCTGCAAGGATCGTTTTGCATGACTGGAATGAGGGTATGCACCATTTGCATTTGATGAAGTTTTTCTGCTAGGCCACCTCACGAGCTCATTTTTTTTTTTCCCTTTTTCTTTACAAAAGCTTAGTAATGAGAACTATGTCATTTCTTTGTGGGAGAAATAGTAACTCAAGTAACGAACTTGGCACTTCTTTTTTCAGGTAAAATTCCATACTACACGATGCCTCCAACAAGGAATGAAGGCAAGCCTTTGGAGGCAAAGATTGTTTCTGAATTTGGAAAGGAGTTCAGTGTGGATGAAGTTTATGGTAGTGAGTCCTCATTCATCGGCAGCCTTAAGGGTGTCGATGACTTTGACCCTGTTGAAGTTCCGCCAAACAACCCTGTCAATTTCGATGAGAGGATGCTTGAGGTTTGTAATCTCTCTAAATTAGTTTATTTCCTATGAACTCTCTTGGGTTGGTTTATTCCCACCTTAATTTGTATGCTTATGTCAATTTGGATTGATTTCTTCCTTTGGACAAGAACACTTGCTAGTTGCTCGACTCCAAACTGATATAGCATTCTGTCATAAATTAGCGTAACAGATAAAAACTGTCAAATGCCATTGGAGTGGGTGTTTATTTATTTATGCAGTCTCTGTATACTTTTGATTTTGTCGATTATTTCAAGGATGTGCTGTACTTGAATTAAGCGGCTTTGACGCTGCAGGATGATGTACGGCCACAGCCATCAACTGGAGGCGAAATTCCACCTGGCAACTTAATTGACGGTGGGGATGACGAGTCCATGGGATCTGACAAAGATAATGCAAGAGAGGCAAAGGTCAAGACTGTGAGTAGCAGACAAAACGAGAAGCTGTATAATGCAGACGGTGTGCTTAACACCAAGTTGAGGAGAGCAGAGAAGAAAAAATGGAAAAAAGCCGGTAAATCATTTGGAACGGAAGATGCCATGGATGATGATTACAATTTCAAGGTGGATTATGTGAGGGGTGAAGCTGCCATGGATGTTGCTGAAGAAGGGGACATAGCTGATGATAACACTAAAAACAGGTTTGAGGTGCCCTCAGGAGTAGAGCTTGATGCTTAATGAAAGCAGTAGTTTTGAAATCAGGGAACCTTCATCATCACATTGTGTTTTCTTAGTCAGAATCTTGATGTATTTTCAAAATTTTGAAATGAGTTGTCGATTTACAATGCCATTTTTACAACAGATGGAAATACTGTGAGCTAAATATATGGCCTTTGGCTTCCAAATGATAGTGTCTGATCACAGAAGCCCAACTTTTTTATGGTACAAGAATTATTGGAAAATAAAATTAAGTCACTTTAGCAACTGGCGTCTCCCGCAAATTACCCGCAAATTATTTTTCTGGTGGCATCTCATTGAGTGTGTATGCCACATGGCCGTGCAATCTGGTGTATTAAATCCATTCTAAGTTTTCTCCAAAATTAGATACAAGATTATACTGTTCTATTTAGATTACTTACACTGTAACCTCGAGAAAACCCTACAAGATCCTTCGCAGCTGTTGTTTTACTCTTTGAACTCGGCAAGGAGAAACACAACCTGATTTCTGTTTTACTCTCCAGTCATTAACATCCACAGCATACCAGTTAATTACTTGAGATTAAACTCTCTCTCTCTCTCTCAAAAATATTCAGTTTAACACCGACATTATGTTGTCAACTCACATGATTTATAACTACCCTGTAAGAAAAATACCTATCCTTGTAAAGTGTAGAGTTCACATTGTCGATTTGTAAGTTTACTACTCAAAAGCAACACCACGTGACAATAAAAATATGGTAGGGATGATAATATGATAGGATGATGTGACAGTGATGATGTGGTGTTACCGTGACATCACAGAAAAAAGAATAGTATAGATATTGCTGAAAATTCTTTAAAACAAACGCCAGAGGGAATCACAATAACATAATTATTGGAAAGGTAGCCTACAACAGGAATAATACACATCAGGTAACTATGAAGTATTTTTGGGTATTGGTACACAAGGATATGAATTATCAGTCTTCAATTGTTACACCTAAAAGAGGGTCCTCATAGGTTGGGCCTTCCCCTAGATCAGTGGATTGGACGGTTGAGTTCGATGGTGAGGAGAGGAGTTCCGGAGTTACAGCATCAGTGGCTGATTCTGCAGTTGTTGAAGAAACAACATTAGCAACTGTTGATACATTTGCCGTAGATGACTTGAGAACAGGTCTTTGTGCTTCGACGGCTTCCCGTGCTGCTTCCTCCTTGGCTCTTTTAGCTTTTTCCAACACCTCTTCCTGCATGAGTATATTTACACATTTCATAACACCGTTTTGCCCTTTTAGACAAAGTTGTGGACACATTTTGCTTTTCTTATCCTTTTTTGTCGGTCATGTATGTAGGTGGCTGTTTTTGGGATGACTGCACACATCTAAACCAATGGAATGAACAAGAAACGATGCATATGTGTGTTTTGACAGTCCTTCAGAGCCTGAAAGATTTGCTTCGCGGACATGGTCACATAGATTTGAAGGTGATTCTCTTCTTGACACAACAACTACTCAAATAACATGACTAGTGCCATAAAGATTCCGAATGTGTGTTTGTCCTATGAAACAACTTAATACCTGGAAGTCCTGTATTTGCTTTTGTTGTTCACCTTGCAACCTACCAACAGCACTCAAAATTTCCCCCACAGAGGACTCGATACGCTCATTAAGCACTTCTGCTAGAGCCTTCCCCAAGAAAAATGCATCCAGAACACCCCTACTGTCACTCTCACCTGCAAAATTCAGAACTAAATTAGTTGGATCAAACATTAGATGCAGATGATATTATGCCACAGATAGGTTCTGAATCAACAAAAACAATATCTGTAACTCCATTAGCATAAGTACATAATTTTTACACTTCCACAAAGAGTGCCCAACTTCAGTGTTCATTTTCTAGTCAAGCATATAGCACTTGTTCAGCAAAGTACTACTGAAGTGGACATGCAAGCTGCAGGTAGAGAAACAGGAAACTCTTCTAATATACACTCATCAGGGGAAAGAAGAAAGAAGGTTGTAATGGAGCTGCAATGACAGTACAAAAAACAAAAGCAGCAAAATCTGTACAACTCCTTAAATTGAATAACACAAATCAAGGCCTGAAATTTTGTGGTGAGTCGCTATAATCATATGGCCACTGGATCAATTTATTTTTAACAAGTCTGACATGTCAATCTCCAAGAACACGAAACGTGATGAATTTGCAACATATAGTCAATTTGTTTCTCATGGGCAAGACTGTCACCATCACTTTCGCGATTCACTTCAACTGAACTCTTTCAAATGATTGTACCAAAACCAAATTCTTCATCACAACCATCATTCAACAGTGACTAATACATGAAAACCCATGGTATTTTTTATTTTTTTTTTCAAGTTTAACTATCGTCTTCCTTACAGTGCAATTACTTCTAGAGCTTCTAAGCTATAATTTGATGACCAACTCACTGCATTAAGTGAGGAAACAAAATCTATATAAGTGAATAGTGATTCCAAATACTCCTCTCAAACGATTGGTAATCTCATATCTGCAAATGGAAATGAGGACCATTCTTTCAAGTTCGAACTAGAAAAAGTAAATTTCACAGCATATGCTAGGTAGTCTTCATCGAATTACACAAATTTTAAGACAATCTCGTAGTCAACAAAATCACCACAATACCAAAATTTTCACATTTTGAATACCAAACATTCCATGAAATCTTAAAGAGAGAAAACCAAACAATCCATTCACAATTATCGTCATAGACCCACACATATTATAGAAAAAAGCATAGAAAACTATTAACTTGAGACAGACAGAGACAGAGACATAAAGGGAGAGTCCAAAAATCAGTGATTAAGATCCATAAACCGAATAAACCTGTTGCCCCAATTTCTAGAAACCCACGTCATGAATATTGATATTAATGTGTGTGTGTGTGTGTGTGTGTTAAAACATAGAAGGAGGAGGGGGAAGTGATACCAGGACCACCAGGTCCAGTGCTGCTATTGCACCGTAAATCAATTCTTTCTGGGAAAACTCCAGCACCAAATCTAGAAGGAGGAACTTTGAGCTTGAGATCTGAAGAACAGAGAGGATGGTCGCGTGATTTCCATGGAATACTAGAAGCTGATGAGCTCCATGATGGACTATTATGTGTTTTCGATACAATACGAGGAGAATATGTGGAGGATTGAGGTGGGGATGACAGTGAAACTCTCCCACTCATCATTTTCTTCTCTCTCTGACTTGCCCTCTCACCCTTTTCTCTCTCTCTTTCTCTCTCTCTCTAGAATTGGGTTCCAGAATTTTCAAGTACAAGTTCGATCGTCGGAATCGGATGGTTTGATTTGAGTGTAATTGCTAAAACAGAACAGCATTGTTCCATCTGAGCCGTCCATGTCTGCGTTCAGACCCACCTTGATATTTCTGTCTCTGGCTAGTAATTGGGCTGGACTTTGCTGTTATACACTCGACGGACGCGCCGAAAGTAACATGGGCTGTCGTTGGGATAAGGTTGGTCAATTTTGCAGGCCTCAGTTCTTTTTGTTTGGACCTATTCTACCTCTATGCCTCGGGAAATTTAGAAATAACTTTAAAAATTTATACTTAATTGAGTTAAATTATATTAAAAAAATTTATTTGACCCTAAATGTATTTTTTTTTATAAAAATACTAAAATGTCAGTTATTACTCTATTACTCTCTCTCCCATTTTCTCTTCATTACTCTCTCTTCCTTGTTTCTCTCTGTCTCTCTCACACATACATTGATAATTTATTTATTTTTAAATATACAAAATTTTGATTTAATTTTTTTATTTCTCCCCCTATTTTTTTCTCTCTCTCCCCCTATTTTCTTTCACTGTTACTTTTTCTCTTTCTCTATTTCTTTATATCAACGTTACAATTACACAAATTAATTACAATTATTCTATGATACACTAAGCAATTATTCATGTGTTCTAATAAAAATATAATAGTTATATTAAATAATTACATGAAATTATAACACCAATCAATTTTATCATTCAGTCGTTTACATAAACCAAAAAATTACATTATTTAGTATCACAACATTATTACACCAATTATATATACTAATTTCAATTTATCATTACACAAAATAGTTTACTATTATATCAAATTTGGTAGATATAATTGGTGTAATCATATCGTGATATTAAATGATGCAACTTTTTAGTTTATGTAACACAATTGAATAACAAATTGGGATGTTGTTATAATTTTGTGTAGTTGTTTAGTATAATTGTTTGATTTATTATAATATATGAATAATTATTTGGTGTATTATAAGACAATTGTAACTAATTGATATAATGATTAGTGTAATTATGTTTGTTGTAATATTAATATAAAAAGGAAGAATAAGGAGCGAGTAGAGACAAGAGAAAATATGAGGGAAAGAGCGAGATAAAAAAAAATTGGAGAGAGAGATGAAAAAATTAAATTAAATTTTTACATATTTAAAAAACAAAATAAATTATCAATGGGATATAGATAGAGAAAATAGAGAAGAAACGAAGAGAAAATAAGAGAGAGAAAGTCAAAGAATAAAAATTATACATAATTTAAGGAGGAGTAAGAAAATAAAAAACTTTAAATGTCAATTAAATTTTGTTACTAATCTCAATATATTTTATTAAAATTAAATTTAATAAAATAAAATATTCACTCATACATTTTCCCTAAAATAAATCTAAAAAAATATACCCACACTCAAAAAAAACCCTTTATGACTTCCCCCACTCTAACCCTATGAATGGTCACAGACAAGCCCGGTTGGGCCATGTAGTATTTCAAAACACCAGGCTCCAGGGTGGCATTTCCGTAATTTCCCCAGACGCAGATGGGTTGTCAAGACTCAGGACAAGCACAGACGACTGCCTAGCTTCCCATCTACGAAAGGTAGGAAAGGGATATCTCTCTCTCTCTCTCTGGTACAAAATCCTCTGCGTAAAATCAAACGCAGACTCGCCCATCGCCTGTCTCTCTCTCAGTATACATATATACCCCATACCGTATATCTTCTTTGGTTCTCTACTTTCTATCTGCTGTACAAGAAGAGCTAGGGTTTTGTGAGAGAGNTATACCCCATACCGTATATCTTCTTTGGTTCTCTACTTTCTATCTGCTGTACAAGAAGAGCTAGGGTTTTGTGAGAGAGAGATATGGGGCAACAGTCGCTGATCTACAGTTTCGCGGCGAGAGGAACGGTGATCCTCGCGGAATACACTGAATTCACGGGGAATTTCACGAGCATAGCCTCGCAGTGTCTCCAAAAACTTCCGGCCACAAACAACAAGTTCACCTACAATTGCGATGGCCACACCTTCAACTACCTCGTCGAAAACGGATTCAGTGAGTAGTCTCTTCCCCATCTGATTCGTTTTCTAAGCTCTGATCTATGTGTCGGTCATTCACTTTTTTTTCATCGGACTTTGATTTTTGTTTATGCTTTGAAGATCATCAGAGTCTTATTTTTCATTGGATTGATGATGAGAATTTTTGGNATTCACTTTTTTTTTCATCGGACTTTGATTTTTGTTTATGCTTTGAAGATCATCAGAGTCTTATNTATGTGTCGGTCATTCACTTTTTTTTCATCGGACTTTGATTTTTGTTTATGCTTTGAAGATCATCAGAGTCTTATTTTTCATTGGATTGATGATGAGAATTTTTGGGGAGGATAGAGTAATGGATTCTGGATCATTGTAGAAAGACGGAGATTCGATTGATTGAGACTGGAGATTTTTCTTTGTTCTGAAATCGACCCAGCATTTAGCTTAATGTATTTTGTAGGAGATTTATCCGCGCGTTCCCGGATGTCCTCCCCCACGGAAGAAGGATTTTGGCTGACCTGGTTTCGCCCCTCTTGAGGGATATTCACCGGTAGTCTTTACCCCTCTTTGCCCGCAGGAGCTTGTTCCGATGGTCTCCCCCCTTGCATATAAGCCACTAGCCACTAGTGGGTACCTCCTCCATATGAAGCCAAGACTTATATGCAAGGGGGGAGACGACCCTCTTCCGAGGACATCCTGAACGCCCGGATAAATTCCCTACATATTTATTTCATTTCGTCTGAAAAGGAAACCAAGCCGGAGTGTTTTGTTCTGTTACCTTGATTAGATNGGGGAGACGACCCTCTTCCGAGGACATCCTGAACGCCCGGATAAATTTCCTACATATTTATTTCATTTCGTCTGAAAAGGAAACCAAGCCGGAGTGTTTTGTTCTGTTACCTTGATTAGATTACTACCAAGAGTTATTAAATTTTCTTCTCGGTTTTGATCCGAATCACTGAGCTTATGTGATCAGTTCATCGATCAGTTTGGCAAATATTATTGCTGGACGGCGTTATATGTTCAAGTAGATCTCATTAGTTGGAGCCTACTTCTTAGTTCTCTCCTTGAGATTGATGGGTGGGTTATGGCTATGTCGATATAGAGAATTTGCTTGACTAGTTTGCCGTCTTGAATCTGTTGCTTCAGTCAAATGAAATGGTGATATAGATAATAAGATTTCTGCGGTTTTGTTTCCTGGTTTGATTTTTTCCTCTTTATATCAAGTTGCTTTGCTCTTCTTGTATTAGTTGGATCATATGCGGTGTTTGGGTTTTTGTGGGTCTTTTAAATTTTTTTCATGTTAAGTTACTTTTTGTGTATACCGAAATTTCATTACAATATTTGCTGCATAAAATATATCTTGGATGTGTTTTTTTTTTCAATTTCTGAACGTTAAATTTATCAGATTACGTGAGCTGTCTGGTACATAGGATAATATTTTTTGACTTCCAAGCTTCTGGAGTAGTTGAATCTTTGAATGCCTCATTATTTTTTACTTGGTTTGTCATGTCTGCCCTTTTTCTGACGCTTGTTCTGGTGTATGTCCATTGCTTGCTTTGACTTTCTTTCTGCCTTTTACCTGATGGAGCATCATTTTTGAGACATTATTGAAAGTCCCAGTTGCTTGGCAGCATTTTTGAGTGATCTCTGTTGTTGATTGATTTTACATTTTGATATTTTCCCCAACATGTGTAGAGATGGGGCTTTGTAAATAACATCAAGCTTGTGTATTGAACGCAAAACAGTATGTTTAAGTTTATTCATGAAAATGACAATGACTCAAATGCTAAATTGCTACCATTACATGTTTATGCAACGAGATCCATTGATGCTGGGTAATTTGGATGGTTATCAACACAAAACATTTGCATGCCACTTGGTTCCGTTTCATTCTCTAGTCCTAGTAATATCCTTTTCTCTCACTCTAGGCTTGAGCCCTATAGTGTGTATGGGAAATGATGGTTTCCTCTGATCGTGTTGTGAAGTATGAGGACCCAGGTAATAAATTTTTGAATACAACCTCTTTGCTTTTATCACTTCGGTATATCTAGTGAAGTATAAAGATCTCAACCTTGAACCTATGTTGAAGAGGGGCGTGTTTCCATATTTTAATATTGCCAAATTCATCCTTTTTGGGGATAATTATGTGTAGAACTGTCAATTGACAGTTTCCCAATTGGAGTTAGATCTGACACATTTTTGCGAGCATGAAATTTTGGCTAGAAGGGGAATTTAAGACTATTAGTTTAAAAGTTGGGATTAAATTTTCCTTCAATTCCTACTTCAAGGTATGAGTTCAATGCTTCCAAGCACAATGCGAATGTAATCAATTCACTTGAATTTGGTGAAAATTTTGTGTATGCCTATATATACCAAAATATCACTTGAAAATCTTGTACAACATATGCTGTCTTCATATGTGGTTTGTTCTCTTTAAGCAGAAATTAATATTAGTGAGGTGTATATGCTGTTTAAAAACAAAACTATTACTAGTCTATTTTTTTCAAATATTTGACGAGGGTGAAGAGCACAGGGTATGTTTACACATGATGTAACTTTTTTTTTTTTTAATCGAGATGTAACTTATATGTATGATATTACAACACGAGCAGATCAGATTGGCTTCTTGTTTACCTTCCATAAAGTTCTGCAGTTCTCAGACTAGATTCTGGTGATGTCCAGGTTAGCTCTTTTCTGTACTTACATCCTTGGTTCTAGAGAAAAGAGGAGAAATTATAATTTATTCTTGTAGTAAAGACTAGGTTGTGTAAAGGAAGAAATATAGGAGAGTCTATGAATATGGAGACAATGTGTTTGGTGGTTGCTAGTATCCTTTCCTTTCCAGATTTTGGGGCTTCAGAATTCTTTACTTGTTGCTATATGAATGTTTGGGCATATTATTTTAGTAAGAGCTTTAATGGAAGGTAACGAGTCAAACTGTCTATTCTACAACATACCAACGCAACTTTTTTTGATTTTTACTTTTGATTTCATATGTTGTATTATGTTCTACCACCATTTGGTATGTTGGTTTTACTTGATGGTCATGCATATGCTCTTCTGCTGGAGACATTTTCTTCTTGAATTTTGAAAGTTTGGTGTATTGCCTTTTCTTTTGGCCTGAAGATTAAATCAAAATTTCTGCAATATTTTCGTTATTGATTTATGCAACTGACCATTAGAATTTCTAGAATTTGAATTTAGTCCATTATTTCAGTTTTGCTCAGCGATTTTCTAAAGGGACATGAAAATTCAACTTAAATTATCATTTGTTAACAAATAATGTAGAAAAAAACTAACACCAAATCCTTAAAACTTTAGCTTTTGGCTAAAGTTAAGCTATTGTCTATGAACCTTTAATATGCGCATGAGTTGGTTGATAAAATTGCATGCGTTGGGTGCTTGGTCAATCAATCATCTGTATTACTTATAGTTGGCTTTCTGTTTGTCTTTCAATCTGAGTCTTCCATCCATGTTCTTTTTATCTGCTCAACTGCACTAACGTATATATTATGATGCAGCATATTGTGTTGTTGCTGTTGAATCTGCTGGCAGACAGCTTCCAATGGCATTTCTTGAGCGAATTAAGGAGGATTTCACTAAGAAATATGGTGGGGGCAAAGCTGCCACAGCTGTTGCTAATAGCCTCAACAGAGAGTTTGGGTAATTTCCCTCCCCTTTCTAATAATTTTTTTCCATTCCTTCCATTTAATTCCTTGTTTTATTGTATATTTGTAATTTTCTGTATAGGCCCAAGCTGAAGGAGCAGATGCAGTATTGTGTGGATCATCCAGAGGAGATCAGCAAGCTTGCAAAGGTGAAGGCGCAGGTTTCAGAAGTCAANAGATGCAGTATTGTGTGGATCATCCAGAGGAGATCAGCAAGCTTGCAAAGGTGAAGGCGCAGGTTTCAGAAGTCAAAGGGGTGATGATGGAAAATATTGAGAAGGTAAGGCATAATTTGTATTTCAGTTGGTGCACTGCATGCTCTTCTGTGAAGGTCTAGTGTGTTTATTTCGAGTCCTGATATATGAAAGGATTTGAAAATTAGAAAAATGGTGCATTTTGGGTCCAAACAAAGTTTGAGTTTGCAGGTTCTTGATCGTGGAGAGAAGATCGAGCTTCTAGTGGACAAAACAGAGAATCTTCGGTCTCAGGTTGGTGGATGCAAGTGTATAACTTATTATTTAAACAATATTGAGCCGTGTTTCTATTATATGGTTAATGTTTTTTGAACTGTTACCCATTTAATTAGATGCTTCGTGGCTACTGTGTAACACATTTTTATTACACCGAAAAGATTCTGATGACGGACTGTAATATTTGTATTTTCATAAAAATCAGAGGAAAACTGTGGCATAATTGAAGTCATAACTGATGGCATAATTCTGTAGAACACTCTACGTTCCATATAGCTTTGTCCCCCAGATATGTCCAAACATTCCAGAACAAGGCCTGGATTCAATTACAGGTCAATTAGGTTTTAAAATCACCAAAAAGCTGGACATTTTTAAACTTTTTCTTCAGTAGGCAGCAGTAGCTGCTCTTAGTGATGATGTTTTCTTTATATGGATTTTGTTCAGTTCTTTTTTGCTGCTGGACTTCTGAGTATATGGGAGTTGCCCTAAGATTGTAAATTTTGTGATTTTCCCCGCATCTGTTTTTAGATCAGTGGCCTCTTCCCCATAGTTATGCATAGGTTTTTTTTCCTGTTTATGTCGTTGTTTTGATGATTTTACATGAGAGTATGATGTTGCAACATGAGAGGTGCCATGTTTGCAGGCACAAGATTTCAGGACACAAGGAACCCAGATGAGGAGAAAGATGTGGTTGAAGAACATGAAGATAAAGCTGATAGTTCTGGGTATTATCATTGCCTTGATTCTCATTATAGTTTTATCAGTTTGTGGTGGCTTCAAGTGTCACTAATATCAGTCCTCCATCCGTCTGACTGGGCTGTGTATTCGCAAGAAGTTGTGATGCTTTTTGTTACAATAGTTTGGTGTTTGTTCGCTGATTTTTTTTTTTTTTTGTTGACCCTTTTCTTTCTGCTGTAACCTTTATTGTGAGACACTGCTTGTACAGTTTGTATTCTCGAATTCTTTCAATATACTAGTAGAATAGTCTAGGTACTACGCTGAAGTTTGTCTTGCCATTTTCATTTGTCCTCTTATTTTGCTAAAAGTTATCTTTCCATGTTACTCGGAGCATGAATTGGGATAATAGTGTACAGGAGGGGTCAGCAAAAATATTGACTATGGCATTTGTTTTGCTGGTGCTGCCATTGTTGAGAAATTTTTAAATGAAAATCTGCCACATCTCACTGCAAGTTCGAGGTCCTGCTTGCATGGCTCATGGTCCTCACTGCCGAGTTGATCAGACTCTGCTGCCCTGCCCTGCTTTTCGATCAACATAAGTTTTCAACAAAGATGACAGAAATATTATTGGTTGGATCTTTTTCCCACTTCCCTTTTCTCTGAAAACTTGTATACATATTATTTAGTTTTGTCGGAATTTCAATAAGTTTATTAAATCAGTATATATGATGTCTTAATTTAGACAAAAAAGAAGGATATATCAGAACATGCTCCGCCACGACCACGAATAAAAGAAGTTCCATGCAGCAGAAGGATTTTAGGTCAGCACCCACCGTCTATATACCGATTTTAAAGGCTAATTTCCATGTTGTCAATCAGTCTGACCTTCCCAAACCATGCAGCAATGCAAAACACAACCGGACTCTTAATCTCTTCAACAGATTCCAAATTCTCTTGTTCTACAATCTGCGTGCGATGAATCAAACAGCAGATCAGCACTTCCATAATTTCTGGTGGAACTAAACTATTGCATACTAAATACGACGTGCCAATGCGTAAATCACATATAAAAATAAGTGTTTGACTTAATATTAATAAGGTCAAAAGACACAGAGAAGGATGATGTTTCATGTCTCACCTCGGCATAATCAATTTTCCCACCAGCCTCATGTATGGCATGAATGACTGAGTTTCTCAACTCTCTGCAATTAACTTGACCCTTTTCTGCAGCACACTTAGCTTTCGATAGGGACCGGTTTATTGACAAGGCCTGCCAAATATTACAAAAGCATATGAAGACGCATCAGTCGGAAATGTCGAAGGAGAAATATAAAGCTAAACTGGCAGCAGATACGTTTTCCAATGTGGATAAAGGATCAAGAAGGAATTACTTCAGAGTAGATCAATAGATGATAGGAAANGGAAATGTCGAAGGAGAAATATAAAGCTAAACTGGCAGCAGATACGTTTTCCAATATGGATAAAGGATCAAGAAGGAATTACTTCAGAGTAGATCAATAGATGATAGGAAAAACATGGTTAACGAAAATGTGAGGTCTAATCATTCAAAGTGCATAATTTCTTATTCACATTAAGGATCATAGCATCATTTTGTAAGCGTCATCTTATATGCATCATTTATTCTCACGCATATAAACACTAAACTATAGAAATACTAAAGGATAATCTCTATAGCATGGAGCTAACCTGTTCCCTTTCTTCAAGTGAGAGGTGCACATTACGGGAGCTCATTGCAAGGCCATCACTGTCTCGTACTATTTCAGAACCAATCACTTTTACAGCAAAATCAAGATCTCGGACCTGATATTACAAAGCAAATCATAAGAAAGCACTCCCTGTAGATTTAATATGTCATTAATCTATCAACATGTTTCCATATGCTCGGGTGTAGAATTGCAATGGTAATGTGTCCCAAGAACTGAGAATAATGAATAAAGAAAGACAAATTCGACTTTGACCAACACCAAAACTCAGGTTTTACCAAAAACCAGAATCAATCATAAACTGAACCAATGTCCTCAAGGTTTTGAATTCTGCTTTGGTCGTTTTAGATTCGGAAAGATTGAATGGCAACACTCATCACACATTATATGGATGAGCAGCTTCAAAAAAAAATTTTGGTAGCATAACATACTATGCACCTCTAGTTTAACAGTTCTTTTTAATGGTCCAGTAGCTTATATAGAGTGAAGGTGCAAAGAACAATCTATATCATTAATCACTGCAAGATTTCGATTTAGCATGATTGTGATCAAGTAGACTTGTTTAAAACAACAAACTTTGACCAAAGGTGAAACACTACTAATCAATGTAGAGGCGCATATTTGATAGGGCAACTTATCAAAAGCCAAATGGACCTTCAATGGTTTTTTGTATACTGTGGTTATAAAGCAGCTACTTCAGCCACAATTCACTTAAATACCCGCAAACCCCTGCATCAATGTAATCTAAGTACTGTCTACCAGGAGTCCCCAGAGCAAGGTGCTGAGAAGGTACACAAATATCAACAACGCTGCAAACAGAATTCCATTACCCCAAAACTAAATGTTGAGTTTGACACTACCTTTTTCTTAAAAATGTAGCATTACAAAAAGAAAGAATTTGGTCGCCCTCATCCATGTAGGGCGGCATGATGTAATCTGAGGCCTAAGGCAAAAAATTTAATGAGGCCCTATTGTTCATTTCAAGTAATAGGCAACAATAGGAATAAAAGGACGATTTTTTTCATAGGGAAACTAGGGAGAACGAAGTAAAAAAAATGAAGAAATAACCTTTGAATCTCCACAACTTTTGAATCATCTAAAAAAGGATAATGAGCAGCATTCACTTTCCAAAGAACATCTATTAAAGTGACTAACCTAGGGGAACCATCGAGACGGTATGCAATAACAGGAAAAGCCCAAAACGCAGTGGCCGGAGCAAACCGTTTTTCAATCAGTGAAGTGAGATAAATCTAAGCGTAAGAACAAAATGACTAGCTGCACAATAGATTTCATTTATGAGCAGAATGATAATTGAACAGATAAATTGCAAAAAATCCTTGAAAACTTACCATTCTTCGAATAATTCGCCACTGCTGATAATCTTTCTTGCCAAAAACCGCAACATCAGGCTCAACTATGTTGAACAATTTGGCTACAACAGTAGCAACCCCTCTAAAGAAAACAGGTCTACTCTTCCCACACATACCCTTTTCCAATCTTTCAACTCTAACCCATGTTTCATGCCCCAATCCCTTATCTTCCACACAAGACACCACCACTCCGTCTTTTTCTCTCATCCCTTCTTTCTGTAACCCATTTCCATCATCCCCACAATTGTTGTTTCCATAGTCATACAAATTGTGGGGGTGAAAAACAACATCAACACCACCAGGAACAGCCATGAGCTTCTTGATATCACCATAAAAATCAGATGGGTAAGTGGAGAGGTCTTCATTGGGAGAGAACTGACCAGGATTGACATAAACAGAGACCACAATGAGTTGGGTGTGTTTGTGGGCTTCGTTGAGAAGTGAGAGGTGACCCTCATGAAGATAACCCATTGTGGGGACAAAGCCAATGGTCTTTCCTTTGGCTCTCATGGACCTTGACCACTGTCTCATCTGGTTCTTGTCTGTGATTATCTCTGGTTCTTTTGCTGCCATTGATTGGGTCAATTAGGGTTAGGGTTTTGTGGCTTGTGGTTCACAATCAACAATTTGTAGGTTGAAGTATCTGCTCCAATGTTAGGACAACAAGAATGTTTCCTATGAACTATGATCGTACTGTGATGCTTTCCCAAAAGATCTGAAAATAGGATTGAGAAGATTGTTGATCGACTTATTTTACCAGAAATAGAAAGATTGTGAGTGCCTTTTCGGTTTGTATTTAAAGGATGGGGCAACTGAAATTATTCGTGGCGGCTAGCGTGCTCAATTGAATACTGCNGACTTATTTTACCAGAAATAGAAAGATTGTGAGTGCCTTTTCGGTTTGTATTTAAATGATGGGGCAACTGAAATTATTCGTGGCGGCTAGCGTGCTCAATTGAATACTGCCATTTACCTTTGTTAAAGGAAAAGAGTAAATTACACATATACCTCCCAAATTATAATTTTTGTATCAATTAAATATCTGAATTTTTTTGGTCAATTAAGTTATTAAACTCTTTAATTATGTTAATTGAGTCTTTATATCTACCTCCATCAGAGTGTGTCACTCATATTGCCTCAAAAAGATTGAAGAGTTCAATTGACATATTCGAAGTCCAGGTGTTTAATTGATATACAAAAATTTAAGGAATTAATTGATATAAAAATTTTAATTTGAAGGTTATATATATAATTTATTTTAATAAAAACACCTAACAGAAGGGCGTAGGGGGCTCAATAATATTAACCTTAAGCAATTTGTACATAAGCAAATCCACGAAGGGAGGTATGGTATGTCTCAAGACTAAATCGCTTAATCTCCGAAACACTAAGGTGTGTTAAAAAATACTTTTTTTTATAGAAAAAATGAANTAAAAACACCTAACAGAAGGGCGTAGGGGGCTCAATAATATTAACCTTAAGCAATTCGTACATAAGCAAATCCACGAAGGGAGGTATGGTATGTCTTAAGACTAAATCGCTTAATCTCCGAAACACTAAGGTGCGTTAAAAAATACTTTTTTTTATAGAAAAAATGAAAAAAAAAAATTTCTATGACAAAAATTAAAAATATAAAATATGTTTAATATCATTTATATTTTAAAAATTATAAAAATAAAAATAAAAAATANTATGTCTTAAGACTAAATCGCTTAATCTCCGAAACACTAAGGTGCGTTAAAAAATACTTTTTTTTATAGAAAAAATAAAAAAAAAATTTCTATGACAAAAATTAAAAATATAAAATATGTTTAATATCATTTATATTTTAAAAATTATGAAAACAAAAATAAAAAACATATTTATTATTATATCAAAAATTCACTACTCAAACCCCCTTCAACCACCCAAAGCCACCACCGAAACCCACCCTCGTCACCGAAACCCACCACCCAATCGCACCACAGAAACCCAACACCACAACCCCCGAACCCCACCCACCGAAACTCACCCCCATTATCGAAGATCTGTCTAGATCTGAGTCCCTTCGCATGCTTTGTGAGAGAGACAAAGAGAAGAGAGAGAAGATGAGGAGAGANAACCCACCACCCAATCGCACCACAGAAACCCAACACCACAACCCCCGAACCCCACCCACCGAAACTCACCCCCATTATCGAAGATTTGTCTAGATCTGAGTCCCTTCGCATGCTTTGTGAGAGAGACAAAGAGAAGAGAGAGAAGATGAGGAGATAGTTGGCCTTTTATATGGTGAGGGAAAAAGATAGATTTTTTGTCGGTAATGAATTTCAAAGTTCAGACCTCACTAAATGGTTTTCTTCTTTTCTCTTCTTTTCTGTCTGATTTGTTTTTTTAGATGTTTTTAAAAATATCATTTTAGATATTTTTAAAAACTGGATTTGTTTTCAAAACGGATCAACAAAAAAAAAAACAAAAACATTAACCAAATTCACAATCACTTGCAACAAGCCCATTATTTTGCATATCTGTTATGAATAATCTATTTTTTTCAATCACAGCCTACTGCCCAAATCCACAAACTCTACAATGCAACTGATTCATAACCTCTAAAGGTTAGTCACTGTTATTTTTTAGAGGACATGTCTTTAAATTAGCTTAAATTACGGTGATTGGCTCAGAGTTCAATAAAGTAGTCGACGCAAATTTAAACACCATATAACAAAAAAAAAAAAAAAATCTGATAAACAGATATGACTGAAAAAATGGATTAAAAAAAAAAAAATCTGATAAACAGTTATGACTGAAAAAATGGATTTAACAGTCCAACTGGTCTCTAAATTCAGAGATCTCTTCAAAGATGGGAAGCCTTCTTGATCGTTTGGGGGCCCATTGTTTTTATCAATCTCGCAAGCCCATCAGCAAAATCATCGTCTTCCAGACCAAGGCCAGGAGGATTAGACGATAAAGGTGGAGGCTGCCATGACTCCACTTCTCTCCACAAGTCCTCAGCTCGGTTTCTTGACTTGATATCACCAGCTCCTGGAAGTTTACCTTGCAATACCTGTTCAAGAACTGAACGTGCCTCTTCGTGCCGGGCCTGCTTGATTAGGCAAAAGCCCAGGTTACAGGCCTTGTTGGCATCAGGGTAATCATTTGGGCTTTTCTATACACCACCTCTGCTGCCAAGTAGTTTGTTTTCTGTATATAGGCCCACCCCAAGTTCCCCTGTAACAATTCATTTCAATTGGTTAAGTAAACAGCCGATAAAGAGATACCCTTTTCTCATCATGCAAAAAATCATTTTACCCATGTACTTTGGTTTGAATTACTTGTAGCCAGTGATTACAAAAATAATAATAAAAAAGATGAAACACACATTATGTTTAATGTAATTGATGACTACAAATAACTGATTGTACAAGGTTATTATAGGTGTGGACAGAATCCTATGCACCCAATTTTATCTCGTGGGTTGAAAATCAATGTTCTATAACAAAATCAGATCAGCTACAATGGCAAGGTCATTATGGGTCCATTCTGCTTGCAATTAAAAATCAATGTTACCGAACTAGTTTCAAGTGCGAGCATACCAATATTCTGGAAGTTTCTTGTTTGATGGAGGCCTGAAATTTCTTGCTATGAGAGCGTGCTATCTTTGTGGGTTTTCCATTGAAGATCCATCCTTGATAAATCAACCTAAGTTTCTGATTTAGCAGTTTTATTTGTTTATCTACTTTTCCAATATTTATGCATCATTCTTCTCTTTTTTCTTTTTTTTCTGCATCATTCACAGCTGGCATTATTGCATGATTTTAATTAATGAACAATATGACATTGTCTGTTTTGAATTAAGTCCACGCTTTGTTTAGAAAGTGTTGTTTTGAAATAGGTATTGATGATATCGAAAAAATATATGAGGAAGCAAACAATAAATAAACTACTAGAAGGGGGCAGAAAAGAGTTTTCACCATCAAACCATATATCGGGCAAAAAAGCCACACAGAATATTCTCTGAATATTTTCTAAATATTCTCCTAATATCCTAGTGATCTCTATGTAAAAAGGGGGCCTCAAGTAAGGAAAAAAAATTTATTGTACTCTTATTTTTCAAGAAAACAATATACAATCAAAGATCAAGAGCCTCCATTACAGTGGATTAGCTAAGTTTTTTTGCTGATGAACCACTTATTTTCTTGTGTATTTTCATTCATTTTTACACACCCACCAAGAGCTCATCCAGCTCTCCATCTCATGACTCTCATCAGGTATAAATCTAAAATATTTTTTAGAAAGTGTTGCAATATAAGTATAAAGTTCAAGTGGTTTGTAAGTGTGAACTTTTACCTATACGGTGTTTTAAAGTTGGTCAAGATCTAGGGCATGACAGTGCAAACGGGCATATGTACCTTGTATAAATAGATGAGGAGATTATCAAGTGATTCTTGAGTTTGTTTAGGGCAGAGGCCCCCTAAAAACTTGATAGCTTCAATGGCCTCGTCAGTCCTATCCAATTGCTTCATTACCACAGCAATGTTTTTTAGGGCACTGTCTACTCTATCTCTCGCATTTATAGCCCTCCAAAATAAAACTATTGCTGCTTCCGGATTCTTTTCAAGTAGCTGTACTTCCAAGCAAAAATGGAACATAATAATTAAATAAAGGTGCGTTATTTATATGATCATCTCTCATTAGAAAAACTAACAAGGTGAGTGGGATGAAACTAGAAATTCAGAATTAACGGCCAAATCAATAGTAGAATAGAATAATATATGAGAAACAGAGGGCTTATATTTTTAAAACAAAGTTAAGGGGGTCATCTTGAAAATAAACCAACAATTTCGGTAGTTCTTATAGAAAATTTGTCGGTGTGTTCATTCGCGAAGAAATCTTTAGGAATTTATTGAATCTTAACATAACAAATATTGTATTATGGAAAAATTTAGAACATTACAAACCTAAAGTTGAGAACATCATTCTGTGCCAGGTTCAACTATCCTGATTGATGAAATAATTAAAAAAATAGAACGAACTATGAAAAACAAACTATATATGTAATTGTAAAAATCAATTAACTTATATAGTAGAAGTTGTCCTTCCTTGTTATATCAGATCCATTGACATTTGACACTCATCGTGTACGAAGAAGGAAAAAAAGCACACCTGAGCATGCTTGGCTCGAACATCAGGCCGTCCTTATTGGACTTTTTTTCTTCCACTCACTCTCTGTCGAGACACTTTTTTTCAATGAACGCCGATATTTGATTTGAATTAGTGAGAAAAACTGAACCTGAATGATATTAGGTCCACATTCTTTACAGTGAGGGGTACGTTAAGGGGACTCAAAATCAAGCTGCTACCCAATAGAGTAGGGACACGAGTTAGTCTCTGCCTCAAACATTTTAGGGGCTGATCGGTATGTTTTTTTGGGATGAGTTTAAATTGGTTTGTCCAAATTTAAAGATGGAACTCATGTTTGATATGCGCATGAATATATGACTATTATAATAACTATATATATGATATATGAAGATATAAATATCATTTATATGTTAAACCAATTAACTCACATATGAAATCCACCTTTCATGGGTTTCAAACCCAAGTTCATGCGTTTTTGGGTTTTATGACCAAGTTGGATTTCAAATTTTAGACTGAATACATCGTTGCCACAAACTTGGGTTTAAGAGAATTTAATCCCCAGGATCCAAAACTCCCTCGAATCCACAATACCAAACAAGCCCTTAGAGAGTTGTGTCTTAGTTGGCTAGTTCATGGTGAAAGTAAAGACTTCTCCAAAAAAATGTCATCGTGTGATCGGAAGTCGGAAGTCTTGCCTTTTATTGGCACGGTTCCTCCGCTGTTCCTTTAAGATTAAATTATAATTTTTTGAGGTATAAATTATAATTCTAAAAGACATAATGGATTATAGAATATTAGAATTAATATCTTATTTTTTTATGGTTGATCATGACTTCCCTTGAACAATTATAACTTCTTCTTTTAAGTTTATAATTTTATCATACAAAATAATAATTGATGGTACAAATACCAAATTTTTTTTCGATAACATAGATTTTCCCAACAACATAAGAGAAATGATTCCTATGGTATTATTTTTCATCATCTCATTAATTGTTTCTAGTGATTGTCTTTCATATCATTTACAAAATATTGTCAATGTTTTCACAACTTAGTGATAGCCCGACCCAGATTAGACTTAGTCTAAAATTACAAACAAGGCATAGCTCATAGGTCCAATTTTAAAATACAGACAAGTCCTAAGTCACAGGTGTAGTCCAGCTCAGCTCAAAAATACAAGCCAATAAGAACCAAACCCATCGTTATGAAAAATTCAGTCTACTAGTAACACACGTGAAATCTCTATCTTAGGAAAGGTATCAGAGTATGTATCGTAAGCCTCAACTATCTTATCCGTTATGCCAACATCACAGAGCCACCCACTCCCGCCACAAGGGTGACGCCTTAATCAGGACTACTCACGATGACGCCTCCATCAAAGTCCACTTCGGAGCGCAATAAAGACTATACTTACATATAAATTGTAAGCCTTACTTACAAATGAAGACATCACACATATTTCAGCACACTACACCGTCATCATTCCCAGTAGAGCAAGTCAACTTGATCGAACCACCTAATATCTGTGTTTGCTTGTTTTGAACTCTCTTTACTTCATCCTTGATTGATTTGTGCATAATCACTTTTCTGCATCATCACAGTACAATTTATAAATGTAAAATAATTTGCCAAGTGACTATTTATACGCATTCTAATTATACGCGACAATCATCTATATCTATTCTATACTACTTCTAAAAGTGGTTAAAGGAGAAAAACTTTTAATTTTCTTATTCATCCTTTAGTAATTTTACAATCTCTACTTTATCCTTATTTTAGGAATTCTCATAGATTTATTGGTTACATTAATTCATCTTCTCTAATTTATTATATATTCTATCATATCCTTTCGTCTTCTTAAATTAATAATGTACATAAATATAAATAATGTACATGAATTGGACTCTATTATATTCATTTGAGCTATAATAATTATTTTAAATTTTCTATTTTTTTTCTGTACTCAAATCTTATTTATATCTATATTCTATGTATCTATCTATCTGTATTACTTCTAAATTTATGTCTCTCTATACTGCTTCTAAATTTATATCTAACTATACTATTTCTAAATGTACACATATAAGAAAAAAATTTGATTCACCATTTTTGTCCATCTAAAAAAGAATAAAGATAGTCATATGATTTGTTTATATACTGATATTTGTGAACTATCAGATGTAAGATTTTATTGATTAATTTCTTATTTTTAACAAACTAATTAATAATCAAAATGTAAACTTAATTTAAATGCATGCGTGTGCGTATTTTTTGATGATCTATTTGCTGAATAAACAAGGTAAATTATAATCTTTGACTCCATTTGGATAAAAAAATTAAATGATTTGGAAACTTTCACAATATTTTTTTTTTTAAGAAAAGTGGTAAATGTTTTATTCGTATGGAATATCAGAGATAAGAATGACATTACAAATTCATGTGCTTGCTCCTTTTCATACAATTAAACTCTCCATAAATCTCGCATGTTTAGCAAAATGATGTGCAATCCGATTGTCATTCCTACGGATTAAAGCCACTTCACAAGTTATTTAGAATTGGTTGTTACATTCAAGCAAACTACAAAATGATGTGCAACCCGATTGTTGTTCCTGTGGACTAAAACCACTTCACAAGTTATTTAGAATTAGTTGTTACACGCAAGTAGACTATCAATATAGGGATAATTTGGATAAAACAAACCTAAAATTGCAAGTCAAATTGATCCACGTATAACGTACGTGTGCATAAACTAGTAAATTTAAAAGACAAGTAGTTAAAACAAAACTGATATCGATCATGAAGACGAACACATAATACCTTAGGGAATCGAGTGCTTACCCAAGAAGTCCGAAATCCCATGTACTTGCAACAAGCCCTTTATTTTTGCAAATCTAATATGAATAATCTATTTTTTCAATCCCAACCTCCTACCCAAATTCACAAACTCTACAACCCAACTGATAAACAGCTATAACTTAAAAAAAAAATGGATTTAACAGTCCAACTGGTCTCTAAATCTAGAGATCTCTTCAAAGATGGGAAGCCTTCCAGATCTATTGGGGGCCCATTCGTTTATCAATCTCTCAAGCCCATCAGCAAAATCATCGTCTTCCAGACCGAGGCTCGGAGGATTCGAGGATAGAGGTGGAGGTTCCCATGACCCCAGTTCTCTCCACAAGTCCTCAGCTCGGTTTCTTGACTTGATATCACCGGCTCCTGGAAGTTTACCTTGCAATACTTGTTCAAGAACTGAACGTGCCTCTTCGTGCCGGGCCTGTTTCATTAGGCAAAGGCCCAGGTTACAGGCCTTGTTTGCATCAGGATAAATCATTTGGGCTTTTCGATACACCACCTCTGCTGCCAAGAAGTTTGCTTTCTGAATGTAGGCCCACCCCAAGTTCCCCTGTAACAATTGTCATTCCCATTGCTGAACAAATAGCCAATAAAGAGATACATATTTGTTTATGCAAAAACTTATTTTACACATGGACTTTTTCGTTTGAATTACTTGCAGTCATTGGTTACAAAAATAATAGGGTAATAAGCATATATAGTTGCTACCTGAACTTTGTCTTTGGTTTTAATTTGATTTATGAACTTTCAATTATGTCAATTTAGTCCCTCAACTATTAATTTTGTCTTAATTAAATCATTCCAGCAATTTTTTTCATCTTTGGATCGATAGAAATGGACGGAAGGACTTCCTTGTGAAAAAACTGATATCAAGGGACTAAATTGAGATAATTTAAAGTTTAGACTTTATAGACTAAATTGAAACCGGCAGCAAAGGTCGTATGCACCCAATTTTATTTCGCCTCCGGTTATACTATATCAAAATAACAAAATCACCTACATTGGCAAGAGAGCAAAATAGAAGCAATTTTTATTGTGAGCATACCAGTATCCTAGCTGTTTCTTGTTTGATGGAGACCTGAAACTTCTTGCCACGAGAGCGTGCAATTTTTGTGAGTTTTCCATTGAAGACCTCTCCTTGATAAATCAACCTAAGCTTCTGCTTCAACAGCTTTATTTCTTCATCTACTTTTCCACATTTCTGCATAAATATGCTCACTTTTAAACTAATGAATAGTTTTAATCCAAACGCAGTTATAAAATGGTATCAATGGTAGTCTTTATCCTATCCCAAAATAATATTAATAATAATAATAATAATAAGATGGTTATATATGAATGCCCAAACCCATATTTTATGACATTGTCCATTTTGGATCAAGTCTACGTGGCTTTTAAAAAACGGTGTTTTGTCCTAGGCCTGCAAGGTTTTTAGAAAATGTTTGTACAATGTAAGTCTAAAGCTCGAGTACTTTAGAATTGTGAGTGTTTACCTTTATTGTATAATAATGTGTTTCAAAGTTGTGTCAACCTAAACCAAAGTTCATGATATTTTACAATAATATACATCTAGAGTGTTAACAGTTTGTATGCGCATATGTACCTTGTATAAGTCAATGAGGAGATTATCAAGTGATTCTTGAGCTTGTTTAGGGCAGAGGCCCCTAAAAGACTTGATAGCTTCAATGGCCTCTTCAGTCCTATCCAATTGCTTCATTACCACAGCCATGTCTTTAAGGGCACTGTCCACTCTATCTCCTGCATTTATAGCCTTCCAAAATAAAACTATTGCTGCTTCTGGATTCTTTTCAACTATCTGAACTTCCGAGCAAAAATGGAACATAATTAAGTACATGTGTGTTATTTATACGACTATCTATCATTAGAAAAACTAACTAGGTGAGTGGAGCGAAGTCATAAATGAATTCAGAATTAGCGGCCAAGCCAATGGTGGAATAGAATAATATATGAGAAACAGAGTTATTATATTTTCAAAACAAAGTTAAGGGGGCCAACTTGAAAATAAACCAACAATTTCAATTTGGCGAAGAAATCTTTTAGGTATTTATTGAATCTTAACATAATAAATATATATATATATATATTGTATTATGGAAAAAAAAAATTAGAAAATTACAAATTTAAGGTTAATGGAGGGTAACTTGAAGACTAAAGAATATCATGAAGGAAAGTTCATCAAAAAGATTTGGATGGTTGGAAGATCAGTGTCGGGTAATGAAATTAACTCATTTATGAATTAATTAAATAAAAAAATTATCATTTATGAATATTAGTAAGCTTGATGATCTTTCTACCACGTCCAACTGTTGTTATTTTATATGATGCTTCAACCTCCACAGGATGAAGAAAGTCACCTTAAAATCTTTTGACAGTAGTAGTATTTAAAAAAACTAAATCTGTAATAATATCATTTCTACGTTTAGGGTTCAACTTAATCTTGGTACCGTATCTTTTTTTTTTTTTCTCACCTAATTGCAAGATGATAGGTGAAAAGTTTCTATTATATTATTCAGCTTTCGAGCAACTTTACACAATGAAAAAGAGGAAGAAAAAATGAAACATTTGATGCAAATTGTCATCGGTTCCTAATAGCTCCTATAGGAAGGAAGGAAGGAGAATAAGTCTTTGACAGATCTAACTAGCTATCAAGTTTGGCTTCAATTCTCATTTGACAAGGAAAAAATTAAGAAAATAGAATGAATTATTCAAAACAAACTATATATAATTATAAGAATCAATTAGCATATATCGTAATGAATTTTTCAAAATTTATCAGATCTATCAACACCCGTCGTGTACGATTTCTGTGTGAGATTTTTTTTTTGGGGGGAGGGGGTCGAGAGCTCATATAAAGAAGGAAAGCGCACCTGAGCATGCTTGGCTCGAGCGTAATGATCATCACCAGGACAAACCTTGTCAACTACATGAAAGAGGTTCTTCTCTTTCCCACCTGGACTCATCTTCATTGAACTTCTTTCTTCCATTCTCTCTCTCTCTCTCGAGACACTTTTTTTTTTCTTCAATGAACACTTCCTACTTCCTAGAAGTAATTTTTTATTTTTTTATTTGGAACACGCTTGTGTATTTCTGCCGGAACAAAAAATGCTTTGGATTTTTTATTTTGAATTAAATGATTTACCATAAAAAATAATAATAAAATTATAAAAAAATATAAAAGTGACACAATTACATTAGCTAAATAAATTAAGGGAAACTAAATATCTAGACTATATGAGGTTTGTCATTTAATCACTCAAATTCTCTGACATTTACTATACACAAATTTTTTAACGTTTGTACGCGCATAACACTTATACATCTGTCATCAATGTCCGGTAATATATTCGTTAGTAAATTATTCTTAGACCTCTAAAATTTGTAAGCATGTAATATATTTAGACTAAAAAAACTCTAAACAAAGATAAAATATCAAATATTTTTAATATTTGATTGAAATATTTTTGGTCAAGATATTATATTTTTGGTCAAATATAATATTTTAAACTTGAATAGTTTAAGTATTACACACCTATAAACTTCAAAGAATCTGAGTATAATTTATTGACGTATATATTAACGAATATCGACAACAAGAATTTAAGTGTTATGCGCGGATAAACATCAAAGAATTTATATGTAACATTTCAAATATAGGGTGATTTGAGTTATTAAGTAAAAAATTATAAGAGATCTAAATATAATTTTTTTTAAAAATATATATTTCGATGCCATAACACAATTCTAAAATTTTGTCCTAAGTTGCATGAGAGAGATAGAGATGGAGACGTGGCTGATCTATATTCGCACACAACCAATAAATAAGAAAAATGAACCTGGATGATATTCCGTCCACATTCTTTACTGTGAGGGTGTACGTTAACGGCACTCAAAATCAAACTGCAACCCAATATTAGTGTGTGGGACATAGTGGTCCCTTTGACCAAAAAAGAAACGGTTAATCTTATTTTGTACCTTCAAAGATCGTTCGAATCTCAATTTACACATTTAAAGATTAAAATTCTCAATTTATACCCTCAAAGATAAAAATTTGTATCAATGTACACCCCAAAGATCAAAAATCTTAATTTGCACCCTCAAAGATAGAAATCTGTATCAATATACACATAAAACTAAATTGATAAATTATACCTAGATCCCCTCATGTTTGTCACTTAATCATTTGAACCCCTTCACATTTAGAATATTACTCCTACATCTCATGACATTTGTACATGTGTAAATATAACCACTTTTCGTTGATATCTATTAATATAATTGTTAAAAAATATGTTTTTATCCTAATAAAAAATTATAATTTCATATTACCCTCAATATACTCTAAAGTTCAAAATCAAGCTTACCATTTGAATGTCTAATAGAATGTAGATATTTATAAAAAGGAAAATATGAAAAACATTATATAAATATCTACATTTTATTAGACATTCAAATGGTAAGCTTAATTTTGAACTTTAGAGTATATTGGACCCATAAAATAAGGGTAATATGAAATTATAATTTTTTATTAGGATAAAATTATATTTTTTAACGGTTATATTAATAGATATCAATGAAAATGAGTTACATGTTGTACGTGCATAAATGTCATGAGATGTAGGAGTAATATTCTAAATGTAAAGATGTCCAAATGATTAAGTGACAAACATGAGGGGATCTAGGTATAATTTATCAATTTAGTTTTAGGTGCATAATGATACAAATTTATATATTTGAGAGTGCAAATTAAGATTTTTTATCTTTGGGGTGCACATTGATATAAATTTCTATCTTTAAGGGTGTAAATTGAGATTTTTGATCTTTGGGGGTACACATTGATACAAGTTTCTATCTTTGAGGGTATAAATTGAGATTTTTATTCTTTGAGGGTATAAATTAAGATTCGAACTATCTTTCAGGGTATAAAATGAGATTAACCCAAAAAAAAAACATAGACATGGTGGTGCCGACATTTTCCACTAGCCGGTCAAACTACTCGGTGGTCAAAATAATTTGATTGGTAGTTTTTTTTTATATACAGACTTGGTTAAAAATTATGTTACCTCCAAAATTGGATTTTTTTTATTATTTTTGTGATAATTATTTTTTATCACTTTTCTTCAATATAAAATTATTTTTTGTTATTATGGATGTTTTTATAACTGTTGTAGTAATTATTTTTATTATTTTTTGGTACCATAATAATAATAAAAATATTAATAACAGTGATAAAAATACTCCCTAATATGATAAATATTAGTACGGTATTGAAATATTTTTTTTCTACCATAGACAACTCCTTTGTGCTCTCTTTAGATTCTGTCCTAGTAGAGAGAAGTCGAATCATAAACAAAATATTTTATACTATGGTGTGATTGGTAGGATCCATAGAAAAATAGAATGATGAAAAATAAAAATAATATATTTTTTATCCTTGAGGCTCTCTCATTTGTCCTTGGTAGGATGGGTTAATTTTAGTGTTCGGTAGAATAAGAAAAGTATAGATGTATGTTTTATTATTGTATCTATATATGAAATTAATGTGTACATAATTTTTAATAGATAAATATGATGTATATATAACATACATTTTAACGCATATAATTATTTCTTGATTCATTTTTCTCTCAATTTTCGGAGGGATAAATTTTTTTATCATACCAAACAAAACATTAATTAGCGCTAAGTGGCAGTATCATGTGATTTATCTTATCAGATACACATAAAAATATACAATATTTTATTGGTTCATTTTCTAATAATTTACAATATATACTACTACGATGTACAACATTTTATGTGTAATATAATTAAGGGTGTTCATGGGTCGGGTTAACCTACGAAATCTGTTATTTGGACCGAAAAAAATAGGTTTAGAGTCCGATAGACATAATACTTGTCTTGAACTTGAGCTTAATATCTTTCAAAAGAAGGTTTTAGTCTATCCCCCAAACCCACTACTTGACCCAAAACTTGGCCATTAACCTTCTCGCAAAAATCCGACCCAAGAAGTTGTTCGCCAAGTCCAGTCCAGCTCGCTTGTCCACCCTTTTGTTTGAATTTTTTTTTGTTAAGTTAGGCTAGCGTATATATAATTTATTACAAGATGAGACCATCTATTGATTTTATAAACGATGCATGTGCACTCATGCACATCAGCACACGTTTTTTATTTTTTATTTTTAACAGAACATGTTTTGGAACAAAAATAACGGTAAAGAAGTGGCTATATTTTAAAACGAATACGTACATATATATATATAGAAGTTTACCCATTGTCCAACAGTCTGTTCAGTGAGCGGGTTGTATTGTCGATAGTTTATCTCTACTCGAATTTTGGTCTAACTCGTCCGATAATTCACATGAGTGAAAATGGAACATAATTAAGTAATGAGTGAAAATGAAACATAATTAAGTAAAGGTGTGTTTTTTATAGGATTATCTATCATTAGAAAAACTAATAAGGTGAGTGGAGCGAAGCCATAAATTCAAAATTAGCAGCCAAGTCAATGGTGGAATAAAATAATATATGAGAAATTGAGGGATTATATTTTTAAAACAAAGTTAAGGGGGCCAATTTGAAAATAAACCAACAATTTCAATTTGACGAAGAAATCTTTTAGGAATTTATTGAATTTTAACATAATAAATATTGTATTATGGAAAAATTTAGAAAATTACAGACGTAAAGTCGAGAACATAATGGAGGGTAACTTGAAGACTAAAGAATATCATGAAGGAAAGTTCATCAAAAAGATTTGGATGGTAGGAAGATCAATGTGGTGTAATGAAATTAACTCCCTATGTATTATAATTTATAAATTAATTAAATAAAAAAATTATCATTTATGAATAGTAGTAAGCTTGGTGATCCTTCTACTACGTCCAACTGTTCTTGTTTTATATAATGCTTCAACCTCCACAGGAGGATGAAGAAAGTCACCTTAAAATCTTTTTACAGTAATAGTATTTAAAAAAAATTAAATCTGTAATAATTCATTTCTGCGTTTATTGACTTAATTTTTAATACCGTATCTTTTTTTTTTTTTTCAAGAGGATAGGTGAAAAGTTTTTATTATGTTATTCGGCTTTGAAACATCTTTACAAAATGAAAAAGAGGAAGAAGAAGAATGAATGAAACATTTGATGCAAATTGTCATCGGTTCCTAATAGCATAGCACCTATAGGAGAATTAGTCATCTAACTAGCTATCAAGTTTGGCTTCGATTCTCTTTTGAGAAGCAAAAAATTAAGAAAATAGAACGAATTATTAAAAACAAACTATATATAAGAATCAATTAGCATTTATCGTAATGAGTTTTTCAACGAGTGTACGATTTCGGTGTCAGATATTTTTTTTGGGAAGAGAGGAGGTGGGTGGAGAGCTCTTAAAGAAGGAAAGCATACCTCAGCATGCTTGGGTCGAACGTAATGATCATCACCAGGACAAACCTTGTCAACTACAACATGAACGAGGTTCTTCTCTTTCCCACCTGGACTCATCTTCATAGGACTTCCTTCTTCCGTTCTCTCTCTCTCTCTCTGGACACTTTATTTTTTTCAACGAACACTTCCTAGAAGTAATTTTTATTTTTTATTTGGAACAGCTAGTGTACTTCTGCGGTAACAAAAAAAATGATTTTGATATTTGATTTTGAATTAAATGATTTACAATAAAATAAACACTTGAAACATTTACATATCCAAAAAGAAATCGAAAGAATTACATTTAGGCTTTATAAGATTTGTGTTCGATAGTATATTTGTTAGTAAATTACACCTAGACGTATTAAAATTTATAAGCGTATAATACTTATTCTCTTCAAATTTAAAATGTTATAATTAGACTAAAAATACTCTAATCAAAGATAAAATATCAAATATTTTAAATTTTACAATCAAAATTCATATTCAATTATTTCATTTGTTAAAATAAAATTAAAATTAAAATTTTTAATTTTATTTTTTCTTAAAAAATTGTAATTAGTATACAATTATATTATCTATTAGAATAAAATTAAAAAAATCAAATAAGGGATCTAAGTCATTCATAATAGAACATTAATATTACAATCAAAATTCATGTTTTCTTATGTCATTTATTGAAATAAAATAAAAAATAAAAATCTATTATGTCATTAATTGTATACTAATTATAATTTTTAAAGAAAAAATTAGATTTTTATTTTTAATTTTATTTCAATAAATATCATAATAGAATACAAATTTTGATTGTAAAATTTAAAATATTTGATATTTTATCTTTGATTGAAATATTTTTTGTTTAAATATAATATTTTAAACTTAAGTGGTCTAAATATTACACGTTTACAAACTTTATGTGGTCTGAGTTTAATTTAATAACAAATATACTAACGGATATTAATGATAGAGGTCTAAATGTTATGCGTGTATAAATTTTAGGGGATCTATGTATATATCAGATAGTTTGAGTAATTAAGTGACAAATTTTAATGAGTTTTAATTTAATTCTCTAAAAAAAAATAAAAGAAAAAAAATATACATCCCCATTCCATAACACTTTTATAAAATTTTGTCTCAAGTTGCCTGAGACAGAGAGACAGAGAAATGGAGAAATAGATCCATTTCTCTTCTGTATCATTTTCCACCAGCCAGTCAAAGTACTCGGTGGTCAAAATAATTTGATTAGATGTCTTTTTTATACGCGGACTTAACTATGGTACCGAAAATATTTTGTGACATACCTCTAAAATTTATTATTTCAATGAATATTTTTATTATTTTTTTGAATATTAATATCATTGTTGTAATAGTTATTTTTATCATTTTTCTTTAGTACAAAAAAAATTATGACTATTATAGGTGTCTTTATCACTGTTATTTTTATTATTTTTTTCGATACGATAATAATGATAAAAATATTCACAATTGTGATAAAAAATACTCACAAATATGTTAAATATTATTAAGATACCAAAATATTTTTTTTTCCATACCAGACACAACTCCTTTGTATGCCCTTTATAGATTCTCTCCTCTCGGAGAGAGGTCGATCACAGACAAAATATTCTATTCTTATTGGTAGGATCAACAGAAAAATAGAATGATAAAAAATGAGAGTAATATATGTTTTATCATTCTGGTTCCTTCATTTGTATTTGATTTGATAGATAAAAAGTCAAAAAGATTAATTTTATGTGTTTGGTTGGATGAAAACAATATAAATGTATATTTTACTATTATATCTATATATGAAATTAATGTTTATATAATTTCTAAAAGATAAATAAGATGTATATATAACATACATTTTAACATATATAATTAATTTTTCTCTCAATTTTGGGAGGGATATATTTTTCTATTATTTCAATTTTTCATCATTTTATTTTTCTATCATACTAAACAAAACATTACTTGACGCTAAGTGGCAGTGTCATGTGATTTATCTTTTCAGATATACATAGAAATGTACAATATTTATAGGTTCATTTTCTAATAATATACAATATATCTATACAATAAATTACAATACAATTCAAGTTTCAAAAAATAAACAAAATGACTTTTATTTTTTGAGATTGAGATCTATTTAAATTTTACTTTAAAATTAATTCGACGGCTAATATTAACATCTCAAATTTAATAGATAAAATAAGTACATATGGATGTGTTTGAGATAATTTTTTAAAAGTACTTTTAGAACTTATAACTTTTTATAAATACTTCAAAAAAAAAAGTAATGTTTGGAACTACTCCATCACCATCACCCCAGCACCATCATTACTACCACCATCACTGTCACCCCACCACCACCATTATCATCACAATTACCGCCACCGCCACCAAACCACCACCTCTGCCACAATAACCATCATTACCACCATCCCGCCCATCGCCCCACCACCACCACCACCACTGCCACCACCCTACTATCGCTACAACCCCACCACCACTTTTTCTATAAGAACCACCATCGCCGCCCCACCACCACCACTACTATCACTGTCGCCGCCCCCACGCCATGTCTGCCACAACAACCACCACCACCACTACTATTGTCGCTACCCCCTATGATCACCACACCCATCTGCCCAATAACCACCCTCATCGCCCCACCATCACCATCGCCACCGTTGTGGCCACCCTATCACCACTGTCGCCGCTCCACCACCACCACCCCACCAGTGCCCCCAACATCATTCTTCCCACTACCACAACCACCATCGTTGTCGCCACTGTCCCACTATCACCACCACCCTCATCCGCCCCACTATTACCATCACTATTGTAACCCACGACTGCCATCATCACAACTTGTCATCACCGATCACAACTATCATCGTCTCCCACTATAACTATCACTCGCCCACACTATAATCAGTGTTTAAATTCCTTTCTATCTCTTCTATCTTTAAAATTTGATTTTAAATGTGAATACAAATATGTTTATTGTTGATTTTTATTATTACTCCGTGTCTTTAGACACAAGAAATAACTAGTCTATATAATAAAGTATAATACAATTCAAATCTTAAAAGATAAACAAAATGACTTATACTTTTCGCGATTGAGATCTCTTTAAATTTTACTTTAAAGTTAATCTAACGGCTAATATTAATACCCTAAATTTAATAGAAAAAATAGGTTCTTAAGGGTGTGTTTGACATATTTTTTAAAAGTGTTTCTAAAACTTACAATTTCTCATAAGTATTTTAATAAAAAAAAAGAAGTAATGTTGAGACCGCCCCACTACCACCACCACCCCTACCGCCCTACCACCATCACCATTACTATTACCACCACCATCATTACCCCAACAACACCATCACCACCACTGCCCCACCCCCACCGCAACCGTCACTCCACTACCACCTCTACCACAATAACCACTATCACTATCATCGTCGCCACTATCACCACTACCATCATTGTCGCCACTCCCACCACCATTATCACCATCCCCACCGCCCCACCACCACCACTATCACTACTATTGCTGTCGCCACCCTACCACCACCACCACCACAATCACTATCTATCGCCTTACCACCATCCCCACCACCACCATTGTCGCTGCCACCACCCCACTACCACCATTACCGCTACCACCACCTTACCACCATTGTCAAGAAAGCAGATTTTAGCTCCCTCATTCTTTTATTGTGCCGGTAGGCCTAGGAGAACGAGGTAGGGTTAGATTAGAGGGAGGGGGACTGCAAACGTCCGTCCCATGAATCGCCAGGGAACCATGCATTCCTCCCCGGCTGGGCTTTTGCGTGCCCGGGTTCGATCAGATCAATTAGCGACGGGTTTACGAAACAAGGACTTAAGCAAGGGCTAGGTTCTTTCATCAATCTTCTGGCCGAAGCCCTATTATAATGCTGAGCCGTTGTGTTCAACTCCGTGGTTGTCCCACCACCACTACCACCGCCCCATCACCACCCAACAACCATCACCACTACCACCGCTACTGTCACTACCCCACCATTACCACCGTCGTCCATCGTCCACACCATCACCACTCATCACTATTGTTATTTCATTCTTTTATTTATTACCACTACCATCACCATACCATTACCATCGTCGCCCACTGTTAGCACCCACCATTACTATTGTTGCCCATCACCACCCAACGCCACCCACTACCACAACCCACCACCACCTGTCGTCGCCCATCTTCGTCATCAATCACTGTCACCCACCCCTACCACAACTACTACCACCACCACCCATCATCGTACACCACTGTCGCCACCCATTGTCACTCACTCCCACCACATCTACCACCACCACCACTCATCACATTACTGCCTAAAATTACTCGTCGTCACTCACCATTATCATCATTATCGCCTACCACCACCCACCACCACCATCACCACAGTCGTCACCCAAGCTGGCCACTACCATTATGGTCATCCAAAACCCGTCACCGCCATCACCATCACCGTTGCCACCCACAGCTGCCACCACCACCATTGTCACCCATTACTTACCACCACTATAATCGATGCTTAAATTCTTTTTTCCCTCATCTATGTTTATAATTTGATTTTAGGTGTGAATATAAATATGTTTATTATTGACTATATTTTTACTACTTCATGTCTTCAGATATAGACAATAACTAATACTACTATGATGTACAAAATTTTATGTGTAATATAAATAAGGATGTTCATAGGTGGGGTTGGCCTATAGGACTTGTTATTCGGACTGAAAAACTAAGTTCGAAGTCCAATAGATTTGATAGTTGGCATGCTTGAACTTGAGTCTAATATACTTCAAGAAATGGCTTGAACCTACCCCTAAACTCAATACCCGACCCAAGAATTCTCGTCAAGCCCAGCCCAACTTACCTGTCCACCCACTTTGGTTGATTTTTTTTATTCAATTAGGTAAGTTAGGTGACATATTCATAATTTATTACAAGGTGAGACCATCTTTTGATTTTGTAAAAGCTGCACATTTACTCATGCACATCACCGCATGTTTTTTGTTTTTTTTTTTTTTGAACAAACACAACCCATGATTCGGTTTTTGTGCTTCGGTAACAAAAACAACGGTAAAAAAGTGGCTACATTTTAAAATGAATATATATACATAAAGTCTGCCCAACAAGCTTGCCTAGTGAAGGATAGATCGGACTATAGGTAGTCTATCCTTACCCCAAGGTCAGCCCGGCTCGTCCGATAACTCACACGAGTGAGGACTTCGCTCTAACAACACATTAACTTAGGGAAACGGGTACATTTCCCCAACACAACAAGCCCAGAGTACCATGTACAGAAGTATCGACAAGCACTTGTAACAGGCCCCCTTATTTTGCAAGTTTCTTCCTACCTATGGCTATAACCCAACTTCACAAACCGTAAAAAGACGGGGAGTAAAAACTAAAAGTGCAAAATGGATTCAACAGGCCAACTCATCTCTAAATTCAGAGATCTCTTCAAATATTGGAAGCCTTCTAGATCTATTGGGGGCCCATTCGTTTATCAGTCTCTCAAGCCCATCAGCAAAATCATCGTCTTCCAGACCGAGGCCCGGAGGATTCGATGATAGAGGTGGAGGCTGCCATGAGTCCAGTTCTCTCCACAAGTCCTCTGCTCGGTTTCTTGACTTGATATCACCGGCTCCTGGAAGTTTACCTTGCAATATTTGTTCAAGAACTGAACGTGCCTCTTCGTGCCGGGCCTGTTTCATTAGGCAAAGGCCCAGGTTACAGGCCTTGCTGGCATCAGGATAAATCTTTTGGGCTTTTCGATACACCACCTCTGCTGCCAAGTAGTTTGTTTTCCGCATATAGGCCCAGCCCAAGTTCCCCTGTAACAATTGCCATTCCCATTGGTAAGCAAAAAGCCAAAAAAGAGATACACATTTGTTATTATACAAAAAATTATTTTACACATGAACTTTGGTTTGAGTTACTTGTAGTCATGGGTTACAAAAATAATAGGGTAATAAGCATAAATAGTTGCTACCTGAAGTTTGTCTTCAATTTTAATTTGGTTCTTGAACTTTTACTTGTTTTAATTTAGTCCATCAACTATTAATTTTGTCTTAATTAAATCATTCCATCAATTTTCATTGTTGGATTGGTGGAAATGGACGGAAAGACTTAGTTGTGACAAAATTAATAATTAAGGGATTAAATTGAGACAATTTAAAGTTCAGAGGCCAAATTAAAACTGACAGCAAAGGTTGTTATAAGTGCAGAGAGAATCGTGTGCACCCAAATTTATCTCAGGTGCGGTTAAAAATCAAATATTCTCTATCAAAATATCAAAATCACCTACATTGACAAGAGGGAAAAACAGAAGTAGCTTTTACTATGAACATACCAGTATCCTAGAAGTTTCTTGTTTAATGGAGACCTGAAACTTCTTGCCACGAGAGCGTGCAGTTTTTGTGGGTTTTCCATTGAAGACCTCTCCTTGATAAATTAACCTAAGCTTCTGCTTCAACAACTTTATTTCTTCATCTACTTCTCCACATTTCTACATAAATATGAACACTTTTAAACTAATGAATAGTTTTAATGCAACATAGTTATAAGATGGTTATATATGCATGTAATGTCCAAACCTATATTTTATGACATTGTCCGTTTGGAATTAAGTCTACGTGGTTTTTAAAAAATGGTGTTTTGTCCTAGGCCTACACGGTTTTTAGAAAATATTGTACAATATAAGTNTTTGGGCTTTTCGATACACCACCTCTGCTGCCAAGTAGTTTGTTTTCTGCATATAGGCCCAGCCCAAGTTCCCCTGTAACAATTGTCATTCCCATTGGTAAGCAAAAAGCCAAAAAAGAGATACACATTTGTTATTATACAAAAAATTATTTTACACATGAACTTTGGTTTGAGTTACTTGTAGTCATGGGTTACAAAAATAATAGGGTAATAAGCATAAATAGTTGCTACCTGAAGTTTGTCTTCAATTTTAATTTGGTTCTTGAACTTTTACTTGTTTTAATTTAGTCCATCAACTATTAATTTTGTCTTAATTAAATCATTCCATCAATTTTCATTGTTGGATTGGTGGAAATGGACGGAAAGACTTAGTTGTGACAAAATTAATAATTAAGGGATTAAATTGAGACAATTTAAAGTTCAGAGGCCAAATTAAAACTGACAGCAAAGGTTGTTATAAGTGTAGAGAGGATCGTATGCACCCAAATTTATCTCAGGTGCGGTTAAAAATCAAATATTCTCTATCAAAATATCAAAATCACCTACATTGACAATAGGGAAAAACAGAAGTAGCTTTTACTATGAACATACCAGTATCCTAGAAGTTTCTTGTTTAATGGAGACCTGAAACTTCTTGCCACGAGAGCGTGCAGTTTTTGTGGGTTTTCCATTGAAGACCTCTCCTTGATAAATTAACCTAAGCTTCTGCTTCAACAACTTTATTTCTTCATCTACTTCTCCACATTTCTACATAAATATGAACACTTTTAAACTAATGAATAGTTTTAATGCAACATAGTTATAAGATGGTTATATATGCATGTAATGTCCAAACCTATATTTTATGACATTGTCCGTTTGGAATTAAGTCTACGTGGTTTTTAAAAAATGGTGTTTTGTCCTAGGCCTACACGGTTTTTAGAAAATATTGTACAATATAAGTCTAAAGGTCGAGTATTTTGGAAGTGTGTGTTGGAATTTTTCTATGTTGAACTTCTATTAATTGACAGTTGATTTTGAGTTTGTGAAAAGCGGGTTGAATTTATGATCCAAAGAGATAGGTCCAATATTGTTAACTATTCCATTTTGATGGGCTTATGTATATTTTTGAATAGATATGATTAATGCGGTTAAGTGTAGGCCTTAATGTAATTATGACCCGTAATAGGAGAGTCTATTAGATTCATTATAAATAACATGTTAGATTCCCTCTCCACTTCATAACATAATTTGGTTTATCTCTTTGGGAGTCACATATTGCTTTGAAAAATGAGAAGAAGATATTGTCATTTCGCGAAAGAAACCTAGAAATCTATTATCATGGCTTACACATGCATGGTCTAAACTTATATGATCTAAATTTTATAACTCAGGTGTTCTAAATTTCATATACAAATTATTAAAATTCTTACATGTGATATCAGAGCCATCGTATATGAATTTAGAACCAACAAAATTTATTTTTTTTGTATATTTTTATTCATTATATTTAGGAATTTCAAAACTTTTTTTTATTAAACGAACTTGATATAGGTTTTTGAATAACTCATAATATGATTGACACATCAAAACATGAGATCTTAATCTTCTTGATAGTAGTCATTCTAACATAGTAGTCTCTGGTCATTGTATCTCAATTCCCAGTAGTGTTGGTCAACAGTTTGGTGGCTATAAAATTTATGAGCGAAAGTAATATATTGAGTTTGTCTTAAAAATTGCTAATATAGATTTAGCATTGCAAGAAAATGAACCTTTTAAACCTAATAGTGAGAGCTCCCTGAAGTAAAAGAATTTTATGGAAAGTGGAAGAAATTTAATCGATTGAGTATGATTGTCATGAAAAAATCTATATCTAAACACCTTATGAGTGATTTGCCTGAAATCAAGAATGTCAAGGAATTCTTTACTGCTATAAGAGAGAGATACAAGATATTCAATAAGATTGAAGCAGGGGACCTAATGAATGAACTAACGAGTATGAAATATGACAATGTAAGTAATGTTATGGAGTATATCCTTACAATGGTTCATGTTCAAATTAAGCTCAAAGTTTTCAAAATTGCTATTTCTGATAATTTCATTTTTCATCACTCTCAACTTTTTTTGCCTCTCGAGTTTAGCCAAATCAAAATTGCCTACAATACCCAAAATGAGTCTTGAACAATAAATGATCATATTTCCAAGTGCGATTCTAAGGAAGAAAAACTTAGAAAAAAAAAGAGTGAAATTGTCTTATTTGTTTCTTAGCCTAAATCTAGTTTTGAAGATGGGTATTAGGAAAATAATAAAAAACTTAATCATAATATTGTAAAAAGAATGGTTGGAATTTCAAAAGGCATGGTACTGGTTAGAATATGGGGGTCCTAAGCCTACTATTCGAAAAGATATCATGTGTTACTTTTGCAAGAAATTGGATCATAAGAAAAATGAGTGCACTATATTCAAGTCTAGGTTAGAAAAGAAGAATAAAGAAGGTAATTCACTAGCTTTTGTTTGCTTTGAATCCAATTTAGTTAACGTCTAAGTAAATTATTGGTGGATTGATAGTGAGACTTCTGTTTTTGTTGTCATGACTTTGTAGAGATTCACAATCAAACGGAGGCCAAATGAATGGGAACCAAACTTAAAATAAAAAACAATAATGAAGTCCATGTTGAGTTTATAAAAATTATTGGATTGAAGTTAGACACTTGTTTTCAACTTATTTAATAAAATACTTTATGTGCCGTCATTTAGACGAAATTTAATTTCAATTTTCTTACTTGATAAAATTGGATATTGTTTTAATTTTGGTATGATAAAACTTAATTGTTCTTAAATTCTAAAATTGTTGGTCATTGTGTTTTGCCACATGATTTGTATAGTATATGCTTGACTACAATATGGTTCTTCAAATATTGTATCTAAAAAAGACTTCTAATTAAAGAAAGGTCTTCATAGTTGTGGCATAAACGCTTGAGTCATATTACTAGAGAAATAATGGAAAAATTAATAAAAAAAAATGATATTCTTCCAACCCTTTATTTTGGAGACCTTGAAAATTATATTGACTGCATTAAGGTAAATTGATCAAGACTGAGAAGAAAAATTCAACTCACAGTTTAGATCTTTTTAAAATCATTCACACTGACATTAGTGAACCTTAGTCATATACTTTGTATGGTAATAAATACTTTATTTCATTTATCAATGATTTCTCTGTTTTAAATATATTTATTTAATTAATGAAAAAATTTGATGCCCTTGAAAAGTTTAAAATTTTCATGATCAAGGTAGAGAAACAATTGAAAAAAATCATCAAAATTGTTAGGTCTGACTGTGGTGGTAAGTATTATGACAAAAATATTGTGTCTAGGCAGCATTTGAGATCATTTGTCAAATACTTGTAAGGATGTGAGATTATTATTCAATGTACCATACATGGTAGTCTCGAATAGAATAATGTGGCTGGAAGACGTTATAATTTACTTAATTATCTTTGGAGAGAAACCATTACAACAACTTTGTACATTCTTACTAGGGTTCCTAATAAATCTGTTTCAAAAATATTTTTTAAATTATGGACCAATAGAAAACCAAGTCTTAATTATTTTTGTGTCTGGGGTTATCCAGTTAATGTTAAAACCTATAACCTTTTTATGAAAAAGACATTATCTTCGCAGTAAGTGTTCTTGGTAGGTATCTTTCTAAACTAAGATTAGATTACTGGTTGACATCTAAGAAAATTATGAGATACTTGTAAAGAACATGAAATTATATGTTTATTTATCGAATGGTTGATAGTCTTGAAGTAATTGGTTACTCATATTTAGATTTTATTGGTTGTATGGATGATTTAAAATCCACGTCAAAATAAATTTTTATGGAGGAGTAATAGTATGGAAAAGTGTCAAATAAATTTTTACAACTTCTTTCACCATGTTAGGTGAATTTGTAGCTTACTACGGAGCTACAACACAAGCTATATGAAAAAGAAGTTTTATTTCAGGGCTTGTGAATGTTAATTCTATCTTTAGACTACTAACAATTTATTGTGATAATAGTGCAACTGTAATCTTCTCAAAGAACAACAAAAATTTTAGTGAGTCTAAACATATGAAAATTAAATATATTTTTGTTAGGGATATTGTGAAGTATGTAACATTGTGATTGAACATATTGATATAAAATCAATGCTTGATGATTCTTTAATCAAGGAACTAAGACATGTAACTTTTAAAAAAAATGTTGACAACATGAAAATTTTGGGGGCTTTTGATGTACTTGGTTGGTGGAAGTTTATTTATATATTAAGAATTTCTATATTAATTTAATTCTATGTGATATATGCTACTCATTATAATTGAGATGCATCTATTTGATGAAAAATAAATATTTGGATGATCATCCTTATTGTTAGCAAAATATTCTTTCTATGTTATATGTGTGCACATTTATGATATGTCATTTTATACAAAATTTTAAGGTTTGATGTATGTCTTAAATATGACTGTTTTGTCAAATAGAGTATATCTCTGATTACACAATTGATAAAATCTAGAGATTTTAAGTTTGAAGACGTACTAGCTTATTATTAAAGTTAATGGATTTCTTTAATTTATTGTTGAAACATATTGTTAAAGAAAAATCATTTAGAAGATTGACAATGAAAATAACATGTTTATCAAATCACATATTGAGATGTTATTTTCTTAGTGCCACATCTTGATCTATGTCAATAAGATTATTATTTTTTGTAATCATGGATTGGTCTTATGTCAATAAAGAATATAAAGACAATCATGGTTTGAAAATAATAATTTTATTAGATCGGATTGTGTTAGAGATGTTATCTTACAGCGTGAGCTTTTATCTTTATTGTATAATGTGTTTCAAAGTTGTGTCAACGTAAACCAAAATTCATAATATTATACAATCCGAGTCTAGAGTGTTGGAGTGTGTATGCGCATATGTACCTTGTATAAATCGACGAGGACATTATCAAGTGATTCTTGAGCTTGTTTAGGGCAGAGGCCCCTAAAAGACTTGATAGCTTCAATGGCCTCTTCAGTCCTATCCAATTGCTTCATTATCACAGCCATGTCTTTAAGGGCACTCTCTACTCTATCTCCTGCATTTATAGCCTTCCAAAACAAAACTATTGCTGCTGCTGGATCCTTTTCAACTAGCTGAACTTCCAAGCAAAAATGGAACATAATAAAGTAAAGGTGCGTTATTTATTCGATCATCCATCATTAGAAAAACTAACAAAGGGGCGAAGTCAGAAATTCAGAATTAGCGATCAAATCAATAGTTAAACAGAATATTATACACGATATGAAGAGATTATATTTAAAAAATATTTTTTTAAGGAGGTAACTAGAAAATAAACAAACAATTTCAAATCTTCTTGTAGTTATTTTCTTTTTTTGTTTTTGTTTTTCCATTTTTTTTTTGGTTCTTCCCCAAAGAAGGGTTGGATATAGAGAGTTTCGAAATCCAAGAATAGATCTTCACTTGAGGATTCCACACAATGAAGAAATTGAGTGGCAGTCAACGCGGATACATTCATTTTAAGAGAAGATCGAGTGACTTCCCCTTTTAGAGCGTATAAAAGGAGGAGAAAGATATCACACGATGGAGAGACATATATATATATACTCATACAGAGGCTAAAACTTATTTGTGGAAGAATTAACAGTAGTATCTGCAAAAAAATTATTTCTTGTAATAATATTATTTCTTCGTTTATAGGGTTAGACTTAGTTTTGGTACTGTACCTTATTTTTTTCATCTAACGAGATGATAAGTGAAAAGTTTCTATTATTTTACTAAGCTTTTTAAAAACTTTATACCATGATAAAGAAGAAGAAGAAGAAGAAGGTTTGATTCTTATTTGAGAAGACAAATTTAAGTAATTAGAGCAGACTATATATTAAAAACAAATTGTTTACAATTGTAAGAATCACTTAATAGAAATCGTAATGGATTTTTCCAAATTCATAGAAGGTTATCCCTCCTTGTTTCATCAGAACCATCGACTCTCATCGTGTGCGATTGTGTGTGAGATTGGTTGAGGTGGTTGGGCTTTGGGTGGGGAAGGGCGGGAGGCGGAGAGCTGTTAAAGAAGGAAAGCACACCTGAGCATGCTTGGCTCGAACGTAAGGACCATCACCAGGAGGAACTTTGTGAACTACATGAAAGAGCTCCTTCTCTTTCTCAACTGGACTCATCTTCATTGAACTGCCTTCCATTCTCTCTCTCTCTCTCTCCAATCACACTTTTTTTTTTCAATGAACACTCTGCCGTACTTCCTAAAATGATCCCAATCTCTAATTTTGAATTAAATAATCTATTACCTTCATTTAGAAAAATTAATAAAAAATTTTAAAAAATGTACACGTGGCATATTTTCATTGGTCAAAAAATAAAAATAAGATAACAAAAAATGTTTTAGTCCCCTAAATAATGTCTTAAACTGCGTGCATTACATGACCTTTTGAGCGATAAAAGGAGAAAGTGGCTGATATATATATTCGCATACAATCAATGAGTCAAAGAAATGAACCTGGTCGATATTGCGTCCACATTCTTTAACGTGTGGGTGTACTTTTAACCCGGACCCAATCAAACTGCTGGCCAATAGGTTCTGAGACATGTGTTAGTCTCTGGTTCAAAAACTGTAGAGATTTGTCTTATTGGTCTCGGTGAAAAAAAATATCATCCCACGAAAGATTAAATATTTAGGGTAGCGGTGAGATCGCGTCGTCTAGTATAATTATTTAATAATAAATTTATAAATTGATAAGGTAAACCTCTTTTGATAGTTATTTTCGAACTTTGGTTGGTTATCAAATAAAATAGAAGAGTGATTATTATCATATGTTAAATCCAATTACTATAATACATACGGTGTTTGAGATGGTGTAGTGAACGCCGGTGTTGGGGGTTTCTGGGCTGCCGGAGTTATTTTGGGATAATAATTTTTTAAATGTAAAGATAATTTGTTTGATAGTAAGATCATTTTATTGTAACAATTACCAGAATTAATTATGCATTTTAATCCAACAACCACGAGAAGGTTAAGTAAGTGTCATTTTAAAACACGAGGGAGGTGATGTACAAATGGATCAAACTACAACCCAACTTCACAAACAGTAAAAAGAAAGAGGGAAAATGCTTAGTAAAAATGGATTTAACAGACCAACTGATCTCTTACTTAGGTATCTCTGCAAAGATGGGAAGCTTTCATGAAAAATGTTTAAGGGGCTGACCTAATGACTAATTTTATTCTGACCATTGAATTAATACAAAGTGGCCCCACGGTCAATTTAATAGTTGTAATAAATTAATTTTTTTTTTGTTTGACGATTATAAGTGTTCAAATCAACTTACGCAGTTATATGTATCTCAACTAATCTTTTCTACGATTTGGTCATAAGTAAGTCATCCACGTTATGACTGACTAAGACATTCAAAAGAGATAATTTTATTATGGTCTGACCTCAAGAGTTTACCAAGATTTGAATTCAGGATGTCTGAGTTTATGAATATAATAAATTTGGTTAACAAATTAGGTCAATAAATTAGATTTCAATAACATTACTCTATTCTAATTAATGGCTACATTAAAACATGAATAGCAATAACCTTGGAGATCTTTCTACGTCCAAGTGTTCTTGATTTATATGATGATGTTAGCATCACAATGATTGAGAACGATTAGTGTTTCATATTTAGCCATTAAGCATGAATTGAACCTAGACGGGATGAAGAAAGTGACCTTAAAATCTATTGTGGAAGAATTGAAAGTAGTATTTTTTAAAAAAAAAAACCAATTCTCGTAATAATATCATTTCTTCACTAATTTTTCTAGCTTTTTGTACCATATTTTTTTTTAAAAATATATATTATTAAGAGATGATAGGTCAAAAGTTTATATTATTTTATTTCACGTTCTAACAATTTTATATGATAAGAGTTGGAGTCACGAATTAATACAAGGGCGGACCCTTGAAGAGAGACTAATTATAACTTTTCACAATTAACCTCTTTACAAAAAAGACATTTGGAGGGCCGCAATTGTGGAAGAGTCGAACTTACCATCTTGGCATTGCTGCTTCTCCCTTGTTTCTATATTCTCTATCACAAAGTGTCAGTTGGTTTGTGCAGTGATCTAAGAGGTAATTTGTGAATACATTAATGCTATTGAAAAATAATTTAGGGACTTAATGCATTATAACCATTAGATTAATAGTGTTGGAGCCCATTGATAATTTAATGATGGAACTCACCGACAATCTAAGGGATATATAATTATTAAGTCCTAAAATTATATTCTCAAATTATATCCCAATAGTTTTACTCCAGTGAATAAGATGAATAAATAAAGAGTGTTTTCATGGATCATGGGAGTGGATACCACTAAGTATAATGCGGACATGGGCTCATGGGTGGGCACCAGCACCATCACCATCAGTGAGATAACTCATAGTACCTCTATCATTCATGTAAGTAATAAATAGAGAAAAATTTTCAGGGTTTTGGCCCATGATTGTTTCCGGCCACGAGGACTAGAATGAAGAAGAAATAAAACGTTTTATTTAAAATTGTCACTGGTTCCTAATAGTTCCTAGGAGAATAATTCTTCGACAGGCTTATCTAGATAAAAATAAAAAAAAATTTCAAAAAAAAAAAGGTATCGAGTTTGGGTTCGATTCTTATTTGAGAAGAGAAGTTTTAAGAAAATAAAATGACCAGGATGAACCTTGTGAACTACATGAAAGAACTCCTTCTCTTTCGCACATGAACTCATCTTCATTGAACTGCCTTCCATTCTCTCTCTCTCAACACACACTGTTAGAAGTAAATATTGGGGTAAGGCTACTGTAGTTCCTGAAAAATGATCCGAATCTATGATTTTAAATTAGATAATCTACTCGGTTCAAAAAACGAGAGAGAGAGAGAGAGAACTAAATAATCTACTACCATTAGGTGAAAAAAAATGATAAAGTAATAAAAAATAATGAAGCAAGAAAATGCAACTTGATGGGTCAAAAAATAAAAATACGATACCAAAAAGTGCATTTCGATTCCGAAATAATCCCTTAATATTGGGTCTATTTGGAGTTGCCTCTTTTAAGTGAAAAACTATGGTTTAAAAAGTTTTATAAAAAAATTAGAATTAAAAAAGTCACTCAAAACTATTTGAGCTGTTCTAAAAAAATTGGAAAAGTCGTTCGGAATGACTTTCTTTATTTTTTCGTTTTTTGTGTCAAAATAAAAAAAATAATTACATGTATGTATAAATTATGCAAATAGTTCATAAATTTTTTTTACATCACTAATAATATTTTAAAAATATAATAAACTAAAAAATTATGTGAAATCCACGATAAAACTCAAAAAAGTCAGAAAAAAAGTTCATAAACTCAACTTATTGAATTAGCTTAAGTAAGTTTTTTTGGGTCTAAAAAACTAATGCATAAACTTGTAAAAAAATCAAGGTCCAAACAAGCCTGACTTATTTTATTCCAAAACTCTTAAAATCTATATATTTAGGAGGTGTTTGATAAAATTAAAAATTGAAGTCTGAAAACCGAAAACTAAAAGCCGAATGTTGAATTTGTTGACTGTTTAGTATATACTAAAATTTAAGTATTTAATTAAATCAAACTATTTGATGACTACACAGAGTTGACATTTGAAAATAAATTTAATTTTTATTTTACTCTTCCATTATTTAATTTAAAAATATTTATAAATATAAGTGAATAATAAAATCTAATAAAAAAATAATAAATAATTGAATAACAATAAGTGAACAATAATATCTGATTAAAAAAAAACAATAACAAATAAATAATCAAAACACAATAAATGTACAATAACAAATTAAATAACGCAATAAGTGAACAATAACATCCAATAAAAAAAAGAATAATAACTAATAAATAATCGAATAACAATAAGTGAACAATTACAATAACTAAACAATAATAAATTAGATAACACAATAATTGAACAATGATATTTGATAAAAAAAAAAAAAAACAACTACTATTAAATAATTGAATTGAAAAAATAGAATAAATTAAATTTCATTAATAATGTGTGTGTGTGTGTGTGTGTGTTGAAATATGTGTGTTGAAGTATACATGTTTGAATCCGACAATAGAAGAAAAAAAAAAGAAGAAGATCGAAAAAGACTTACTTGTTGTTGAAGAAGACGAACAACAAACAAGGAGGATATATAAGTTAGAAATTTTAGAGTGAATAGTAATTAGAGTTTTAATAGGATTATAAAATATTTCGAGATATCATTGTTACATTGTAAATATTATTAAAGATAGTTTTGTTAAGTGCTCTCAACTTTCAAAATTAAATAAGAGATCTCCTGTTTAATATGAGTAATGGTACATAAATTTAAAAAATAGACTTGAAAACTACACTTGATAATCTCAACCATTGAATAAGTAGTGGATCCCAATAAATATTAGAATCCACAGTGAAATCAACGATTGAGATTATCAAGTTTACTTTTTAAATCCATATAGTATTACTCGTTTAATATTATAGCCTATTTTTAAGGAGTACTACACATATTAAAAGAATTTAAATTTTAATTATTAAATAAATTTAATTAATAAATACTGAATATATTCAATTTAAATGTTAAATTTAGATTAACAAACACAACCTTAAGCCAACTGTAAATAGGGCTATTGTCTTAAGCTTCATTATATAACCTATTAGACAGATAAATGGGGGACAGATTCTTTATTGTACAACACAGTTGCTATTCCTCAAAATGTCAATGTTTTACAAACAAACGATACCATTTTATACATAAAATAGCGAAATGTTGTGAATAAAACAACGTCGTTTTAAAAACAACATCCTCTGCTCTTCAACAAGGATCCGAGTCCAATAAATGGAGAAGCGACCGGTATGTATATGCATACAACGAATGAGTAACCTGGACGATATTGCGTCCACATTCTTTAAGGCGCGGATGTACGTTAGCTGGACCTAAAATCAAACTGCTCCCTGAATAGGTTATGGTCACGTGTTAGTCTATGGCTCAAACTGGTCCCGGTGAAAAAGAAAATATCATCAGATCAAGGACATTTAGTGGGTCCCGATTATATGCTAAGCCGACACTTTCCACCCTCCGATCAAACTACTCATTATGGATTGACTCACTGGTCAAAATCATTTGATTACAAGTCTACTTTACAAACGCACGAAACCAAAATGAGTAGTTTCGTGGATAAATTATATTTAAAATTTCTAAATTTTGTCATTAAAAAACACAGACTCATATTATATCAATAACGAACATCTAGCCCACCTAACACAAGTTATAAAATGACTATTTTGTCCCAGCCTAGCCCATACCCAAATTGATACTTACATCATCCTAATCAGACCCACCCGCCCACCTATGAAATATCTTCTCTTTGTTCTTGTGAACGACA